TAGGGTTATATTAATAGGGTGTTATATAGGCTAATAGATATCTTCTATATAGTATATCTAGATAATATTCTTATTTTTTAAATATAATTAAAGAGTACTAGCAATATATTAGTAAGGTGCTAGAGAGACACTATTAATACTAGCTTTATATAGGCCTAAAAAAGTCCGCCTTTAATATTATAGAAGTTAAGTTTCTTAGCTATATTATATAGCCTAATAGCGTGAAGATAGATTCTAGCTAGATAGAAGTAATTACTAAATACAAGTTACCTATATTATATAAAGATATCTAGGTCTTTCTATACTTTATAAACTTCTATTAGCGGTTTATCTATAAATACTCTATAATAGCTAAGCTGATTACAAACCTACTTAAAGGCTTATAAAATAAATAAAAGATAGGGCCCTTTAAATAGCCTAAAAAGGCTAAGACGGTAATAAGAAAGCTATACGCCACCTTTATAATAACGCTGCTTTTACACTATTACTCTCCTAATAAGCTAATAAGGCTAGAGACTAATGCGTCTATAAGTAGGCTAGCTACTATTGTATTATAGTTATATAATAATAGCTAGTAGTACCCTATAGCCTTTTAGTCTTAAAAGATTATCCTAGCTAAAAGAAACTATAAGATATATAACTAGGAGCTACTTGCTATTGTTATAGTAGTAAAGTACTAGCAGCACTACTTTAATAAACTAGAGAGAGGCTTTAAAGTCCTTACTAACTATAATAATCTAACTAGCTTTACTAAGATAAAGGCTCTAAATAGGCGGTAAGCTAGGTGGATAATAGCCCTTACTACTTATAACCTAGTAATTAAGTATAGGCTAGATAGGATAAACTCTATAGATATACTATTAAGGCGACTACTAGGCGTAGAGAAGCTGCTAGAAGAGAATACTATACTACTATTACTCTAAAGGACTCTAGAAATATAGAACTACCCTATAGGAATATATATTCTATATAGTATTATATATAGGAAGCGTTCTATAGATACTTCTATATTAGGGCTAACTATAGGTAAGATACTTATAGATAGTAAGGGAGGTACTTACTTCTAGTTTAACTAGGATACTAGTGTAATTACGATTCTATATTATATACTCTAGGCTTAAGTTAAAATTACTACTATAGGCAAGTAAGTCTATAACCTAAGTATATAGCCTATAATTAAGATAATCTAATAATTATAAGACTCTAATAGCTTTATTAAGAGTAAACACTTTAATAGTATAGTATAGAGCACCTACTAGTAGCGCGCGAAGGTGGATTCTATATAGCGTTTTAACTCGTCTAGCCTTCTAAGATAGAGGGGTAAGTTATATATTCTAGTAGAGCTAACTATCTATATAGCGCTTCTATAGCGGCACTATAACGACTCGCTAGTAGGCTATTTCGGTAAGAATAAGATAATAGAGCTCTTATTCTATAAATACTACTAGAGCTTAATAAAATAAGATATCTATAAGTATATTTCTATATACGATATATACTAGCGGATATAGGCGCCCTGTTATTATTCTTATAGTAGAATATAGGTATTACCCTATCTAAGCCTCCTGTAGTAAGAGATTATAATAGATTTTATTATAGAATTACTACTAAGTAAGTGTAGTACTAGTATGTATAATATAATCTATATATTTATTAACTACTATACTAAGATAGTGTAGTACGTTCCTACTATTAAGACTCTAGACTTAGTCTAGCTAGCTAATATCTTTATTAAAGAGATTATATAGCCTTTTAGTGTCTCTAAAGGATTTATCTCTAATAGAGAGGCTATATTTACTAGTAACTTCTAGTTGGACTTCTACTTCGCTATAAAAATAAAATACTAGCTAAGTATAGCCTTCTATCTATAAATAAATAGCTAGATAGAAAGGTAGAACTAAATACTAAAATATTACCTATAAGTCTACTATAATAAGAAGTAGAGTAACTAGGTATAGCTCTTACTACTTATAGAGTTTATATATAATAACGCCGCTTATATAATAATAGGTATTAGTCTATTCTATACCTACTATAGTTACTACCCCTAAGTAGAGTATAAACCTAAAGTAGTAGAGAATAGTATAGTGCCTACTATAGTAGAAAGAATTAAGGAACTATACTATAAACGCGAAATACTAGCAAAACGCTAGAAAGCCGCTATATAATTATAAACTAAATACTATAACTAAAAGCATCTATCTAAGAGCTACTATAAGAGAGACTTAGTTATACTCTCTACTAAAAACCTTAACTAGAAACGCCTAAATAGGAAGCTATTAGCTAAATATATTAGATTATTCTATATAGATAAGCTAATTAGTAAGTAGGTATACTATCTATACCTCTCTAGCTTCTACCACATCCACCCTATCTTCTATATTAGCCTTCTTAAGCTATACTAAAGATAGTAGGGTAATAGTGAAGAGCTAATATCTAGCCTAATAGATCTTAGCAAAGAAGAGCCTACTAACTAATATATTATAGAAGAACTAAGGGATAAGAAAATGTAGTAGGAAGTTATTAAGTATTTAGTTAAATAGGAAGGCTAGTTAAAGGAGTATAATAAATAGATTATATAGAATAATATTAATAAAGGCCTTATCTAGAAATACTAAGGTAAGCCGAAATAGAAATATAGGAGGTAAGTAGATGAGGCGTAAATTATAATTATATAGAATAATATTAGGAGAACCTATAAAGTAGTGTTATTAATAGGTATAAGGCTCTAAATCTATTACGCTAGTAAAAAGCTAGTAAACTACTACTACTTTCCTTATATCTCTATATTATCTAGCGTGTTAGATAATAGCGAGAAGCCGCCCTTACTTACTATATTCTTTACACCTACTAGCTCTAGGCTCGCCTAAGAAATATTAGTAAAAGAACTATAAACAACTATAGAACGCCGCCTATATTATATTATATAATATTATAAATACCTTCTAATACCTTATAGATTCTCTAGGCCTTATATAGTAGGGTAAGCTATAGCTTCTTACTCTAGAGCTAGTAGTAAATCCTCTATTTATTAGCGGCGCGAATGAAGACCTTAATAGTCTTAATATAGGAGATCTAAGCCTTTTCTAAGGCTATAGCTACAGCCTCCGCCTACGTACTACTAGTAACCTATAAGGCTACTACCTTATTACTTATACGGAATAGCTTATTTAAATAAGCTATAAATTCGGCGGGGATCTTACTAAGGGCTTATTAGTAATTCGTATAATATAGTGTGAATAATAGCGACTTACTAGATTATAGGGCTTACTAATTTTAGTGTAATAAGTATACTTAGCAAACTCCTCCTTAATATAAAAGCCCTAATTACCTAAGTTAACGCGCTTAGAGTAGCGTAAATAGATAGACTTAAGGGGCTTAAGAGGAGTATAAGCTAAGTGCGAAGTAATTAATTTTTAATAAGAATTAGCTAGTAAGCTATAGAGTAGTTATACTAAATATATAGGTTATACTAAAGAAGAAAAGATTTTTATTTTTTCGAATTTCTATAATATATATTTAGAGTCTTAATCTTAGTAGATCTATTATTAGATAAGATTTTTATATCTAAGTTTCTTTATTATCTAGTAAAAGATTCTCTAGCAGATATATTAATATATTAATTTTAAGTATTTCTTTACAGGTAGTACTTAAAGTGTAATAAAGATTATTATAAAATAGTAATTTTAATTAAGGGGTTTAGGAATAGTATAAAATATAATAAAGTTAGGTTAATTTTAGGTAATAATTAATTAGGTATATTGTAAGAATATAAGATTCTAATCTTAAGTAAAGTATACTATTCTAAGAAATTAGAATAGTATTACTTATATACTAAAAGCTAGAGTAGATATTTTTATACTTTACTTAATCTACTTAGTATAATTAGTTCTAATTATACTAATTATACTAATTATAATCTTAGTAGACTAGAGGTAGTTAGCTACTATATAATACTTAGTACTATTTACTTTAAATTAAGCCCGCTATAATCTAGTTTATAATACTTTAGTATTTAGATTCTCTATTATTCTAGAGTTATATACTTTATATAATACGGTTTTTCTTTACTAAGCTTACTATACTATCTAAATATTATATAATATTCTATATATTAATCTAATAAATTAAGTTTCTATATTAAGCATTTCTATATTATTCTATAGTAGTAAAAACTTTTACTATCTTTAAGATCTTAAAGCTACTTCTAAGATCTTAGAGCTACTAATTCTATATTTTTCTTAATAGTAGCCTATAAGATAGCGCGATTTAGCTTAAAATAATAGATAAATTAGGCTAAATTCTAAGATCTTAGAGATACTAAGCTACTAAGTAGTATATAAAGCTCTAATATAGCTTTATGTAGCTATATCTAGCTTTAAGTCTATCTATCTACTAACTATTATTATATATAGAGCTAGCTGTATTATATATATATAGAACTTTAGATAAAAAGTCTAAACTATCTAATTTTTAAGAATATAGTTATTCTACTTCTATTAGCTAGAGAGTAAAACTTAAGTAGAAATAGAACTCTAAAAATCCTACTTACTAAGTAGCTTAGTAGCTCTAAGATAGCTCTACGAATCTAGTAGTAGAATCTAATAACTTATAGCTAGCTCTAAGTAACTAGAGTTATCTAAGCTATATATAAATATCTTAGAGATAGTTAAGCTGTAAAATAAAATGCTAATATAATACTCTAACTTAAAACTATTTTAGTATAAAACGAGTATACCTAGTTTTATAATCGACCTACTCTTAACTAGTAGTAAATTCGGACTATAACTTTCCAAACGGTTATAGAGCAGGGTGAACCGGATCGCCGTATTTACAAAACCTCGATATCATCGATCGAGGTGATAATGTCTATCAACGCTATGTACAAGTATTGCGAGGGTATCTCAAGCTCCTCTCCAATAAGTCTAAGCCGTGTAACCATTCGCTATGCGCATCGCAAGGCATGAATATCACTCTAAACGCCACCCCCTCGCAGATATCTACAGCGGCCTCTTATACTTGTCTTCCATCCTTCTCCGACTATCCTTATCCAATGCATTCGCCGCACCCAGCAACGCTGTTCCCATCGCCTGCGTGGCCGCCGCGACCGGTCTCAATATAACAGTCGGCGCATGTCTCGCCAGCACCTTGCCCGCACCAGCCGCGCTTCCGCTTTCCCGTACCTCGCCTGGTATCGCGATGATGGCGTCCTGTACGTATAGCAAGTCTCGCTCCAGGCCTTTGTAGGCGCCGCGCAAACCGGCGCGGATGTTGAGCGGCTGATCCGCATACTTGGAGGAGATACGGACGCCCTCGGATGCATCTTCCTCGACATTCTCCCACTCGCTCTCGTTCGCAAACCGGTGTGGGCGCGGCGAGCGCATGCCGCCAGGCTGGGTGGGCGAGAGGAACACCTCAGCGCCATGAATGTAGCCGTGCGCGCCCATGGCAACTTTGCCTCCAAGGCGGGCGATCTCCTTTGTCGTTGTTCGCGCGAACTCGGCTAGCCCCTTCTGGATACTACGGACCAGGCGGCCGTCCTTCTGGTACTGTTGCATGGGCACTTCGACGAGCTTGAGTACACCGCCACCGACATCGACGAGAGGTCGGAGAAGCGCAAGGCCGGCGAGGACGGTGGCGAGCTGGTTGCTTTTCACGTCCTGCGTCCAGAGGTTGTTGAGGTGCGTGTGCAACTCGTCGAAGCCAAGAATGCCGTAGACAATGGCATGTCGGAGTACAACGTTGGTACCATCGAGCATGGTGAAGTTCTTGAACTCGGTCATGTGACCAGATCGAATACTGGCATAATCAACACGACGGGGCTTGTAGTCAATCTTGAGGTCGACTGTGTTCACTTCCACGCGTTGGAGGAATGGCTCTTCTACTTTAGTGCTAGGCGAAGGTGTGGCGCTCACGTCTTTGAAGTCGAAGAAGCGCGTGAGGAAGTCAAGCGCATCCTGATCGACGTGGAGCCGGAGTGGCAGGACAGTCGCCTATTTCCGTCAGCAAGGGCTTTTTGGAATATTCAACTCGCAACACTCACTTGAATGACCAGCTCCGAGGCGGCAAGGTCAGGAACCGGACGAACGTTGAGGAGACTGATGTGTACCATAGGATCGCCTAGCTCCCGTTCCCCAGCATCGCGTTGATACGTCAGAAACTTGTTCCAGCTCGACGTGTGTAGCCGATCGATGATCTCCAGCTTATCGACGCGTACGTCGGTAGATGACTGTGTTTCCTCGGAACCGGGCGCAAGTACAACAGCATCGGCGCAGACGTTCTCCAGCTGGATCGTGAGCTTGTGCTTGCCTCTCGCAAATCTTCGGCCTGAGGTGGTGCTTTTGGCAGATGTTGGGCGGGCCGTGCTTCGCGTATCGTTTGACATGGCATAGCTGATCTCACTGACGGTGTCGGCATGCTTGCCGCGGATGTTGCGGCTTACTAGGTTAGCAATGTCCTCTTCTTCCATGTCGGGATCAATAGCGATGTAGATAGAATTCATCAATTCGTCTTCCACAAAGGCATCCGGCTTTGATTGCTCATAAGACGGTTGTCTCCGTCGGCTAGCCGCCTTTTGCGCCAGAGCTTCGATGCCATCAGCGATTGCACGTCTAGTGCCTTGCCAATCGTACCCATCATACAGCTTCCATAAAACGTGCAGGCCCCGAACGCGGAGCTGAAGAGGAAGACCTTGTAGCGGAGGCGTGTCCGACTCGATGTAAGTGTTGTCACGGGAGTCCCATTTCAGAACTCGCCTTGGCATTTTGGTGCTCGTGCCAAAATGGCCCTCCTCAAGGTGGATACTGATCGCCATCACTTTGCATTCCTGTTCATCACCATAGAGCGGCTCCTCGACCTCGAAGTGCTCGAACGGCGATATAGCGGATGTATCGTGTGCTTGGTCCAGCAAGGCCGGTTCGTCTTCCTCAGCCATCGATAGGCTGTCAAGAGATGGGAAGCTTCCGTATATATTTGATTCGCCCATATGGTCTCCGCTGTGGGCCTGATTGTGGCTTTGCTCGTTCTGTTTTCTATCGGTGTACTCGGACCCCGTTGCTCCAGTAGGCTCCTCGAAGGCATCGCCGGTGAATGAGGCCATCATGTCCTGAACAGGAGGCACAGAAGTGCGATACTGCTGTTCCTTGTTCGGCGGCTTAGGCGGCGCCAGTCCGCTAAGAAGGGCTATCAACGTCTGGGTCGAGTCTGCACACGTTTCCACAACCAGCAGCGCTCCGTCGACCTCCACTTCCATCGTCCCAGAACGCTGATGACAAGCCTGCGCCGACTTCAAGAGCGCTTTCGCATTCGATAGGGAGGCTACCAATACGAATCCTTTGCGGCGCTGGTATTCGAGGATAGTGTTATTCCTGAGTGGAGGTCTGGGCTTCGCTGAGGCGGAGGAGATTTTGGCAATGTTATCTCGATGGTCGATCAAAAATATGGATGCTCTGACAAGTTCCACATCCGCTGCGAAGTCTCCATTGGCTGGCATGGCTCCTCTGAGGTTTGCTTCTCCGAGAAAGAATATACCTTTGGAAGGCAGCTTAGGTCCTTGCAAACCCACCGCGCAATCGCGTAGAATGATGTCAAGACGTAAAGGGTTTGTTGGTAGGCTGCCACTGTCAGCTTGCTTCAGTAACCGCCTTTGGAGAGTTGTAGTGGAAGAATGCCCGATAACTGTAGCCACCGAAGACGCCAGCCCAACAGCAAGACATTCAGCAGTTACGTCTTCTCCAGGGCCCATCAGAGGCAGGATGGTGCGCAAGTCGTACTCCGCCATGAGGTTGTACAGCTTGATTCGGACGGTAGGTTTGAGCTCGCCGCCGATGAATCGGATTCTAACCATTGGGTGTTCGTCGTCTTCGTCCAACCGATCGACGTCTTCGTCTGCTGTTACAGCGCTGTGGAGAACTTCATGCACCTTATTTTGGACTGTATAACACAGCGACACCTTGCCTGATTCGAGGGCCAGCAGAGCGGGAAGACCGACATGGGCGACCTGTATATCCTTGCAGTCCAGAACAGCCTGGCCCAGGTTATCCAGCCAGCCAGTCAGTTCGAAAGATCTGAGTTTTGACAGGGTGAGTAATCCAGGGCGGTCATCTTCAGGGAGATATTTCGCAACTGTGGACAGCTTGGCCAACTCATCTTTCAGACCGTACAGAATTTGAAGGCTCTCTGCGCTCCCAACGTTTACTGATATTTGATCAAACTCGGTCTGTAACACTGGACCTTTTCTTCTTTGCAACACGAGTGTATCGACAAGTAGGTCGTCGCCCTCATAGCCGTCCTTAGAGGGTGTCACAAGCGCCAGTAACTGATCGACGTGCCTCTCTTCAGGTGTAAACAGATAGGACGTCCGAGTTTGTTTGACCTCGATGATCACTGAAGCCGCGTCGTCCCTGAAGGGTCCGCACAGTCTGGCCATGTCGATTGAAATGCCGATTAGCTTCGGTCGGCTGATGATCTTCACAGCACTGGTGTGGATAGCTACATCATAGGCAGTCCCGTTGATATTCCCGGTGAAGAGAAGCCTGGCTTCTGAAAGTCGAAGGTTGATCTTCAGATTTGGCAGGGAAGGAGATATGATCTCATCAGATGGATTATCAAAGCGCACACCGCGCTTCTTGTGAGGAATCTGCGGCGGCTGTTCATGAAGACCGACATTGCTCGACGTGAATGAGCCACCGAGTTCCAGGATACCACTCAAACCTCCGCAGGAACTAAGTCTCTCCTCTAGCCGCTCAAGATCGAAGACGCTGTCTAGCGGTGCGCATCTAATCTCCAGCTCGGCTTTTCGCTTGTTCCGTGCATAGCTTAGCGAGACATCGTTCGTGTGCTCTTCTCCTTTCATCCCTATCCAAGCCAGCCTGTCAGACGAGGAGTCGAGAAGCTTCGGCAGCCTCTTGATGGTCAGATTGATGTTGATTGACTCTGAGGCGCTTTTCAACAAGACTTCAATCCCTTCAAAGAGGCTGCTTAGCAGAACGAGAGGACGATATGCTGTGTGAGTCGGCCGCTCTGTGACGTGCTGTGCCGATAAGGCACCCTCGAAGCGCTCGAGCCAGGCAAATGACAGTTGGGTTACAGAGAGTTTGATAGCGATATTATGGTGCCTCTCGCCTGGATCCGTACCCACATCTGCTAGATTTGGCGAGTTCTGCGAACTTGCGTTTAGCTGCAGTTGCTGTATTACGTCAATCAGCAATCGACCTGTTGGTACGTCCAGATAAATGTGCACCGGACCAACATCAATATGGGTTGCAGCTACACCATCGTCGACTTTGGGCAAGACTGTGGCTGATGGTGAAAGGTTCGGATGCATTGCTTTGATGGGGGTGGTCTTTGAAGGGTCTTTAGGAATCGAGCTCCGCCGCAGCCGGCCAGCCCCCTCCTGAGCGTATTGTGAGAACGACCCTGGCACGTGTTGATAGACCGACGATCCTGTCATATTAAAGGAGGATTGCATAGGAAGTTGGCTGTCGCCTGTTTCAGGCACAGCGCTGGGACCTTGGCTTTCTTCCGTTGGTTGCGGTATGCTGACGCTCAAGCGATCTACGTCAAGAACTCGCCGAACGTGGCGTAAGACCGACGGATCGTGAGAGGCCGATGAGTTTATTCGTGATATCCTTTCGCTATCTGTTCGGTCTTCCGATGTTACTGATGTTTGAGGGTCGCCAACAGAAGACGGCACTCTACTGAGCGCGCTCATTGCACTCATATACATGCTCTCACCTTCACCTTTGTCGTATACGCGCGATTCGGCCAAGTCTTCACGATTGTTTGGGGCTGGACTAAAGCTTGGACTAGAGCTGAGCCGGGAGGAGCCCACTTGGTCATCTGCATCTGCAAACCGCTCATCACCGGACGGAGACTGAGCTTCATGCAACCTTCCCCGCGCATCATGTTCTGCAACTAATTCGGATTCTCCAAGCGAGGCCGGACTTGTAGGTGACGACGGGCTGGAAGTTGGCCTAGGCGTAGTAGTGCCAGAAGTGCTCCCCAGTAAGTTGTCTCCACAATGCCTCTCGGATGATGCCGCCTTGACTGGACTTGTAGATAGGTCCGAACTCCTTGAAAGCCGCGATAGCTCAGACGTAGATGGGCTCATTGCCGTCTCTGGGCTGGAGGCAGGCTTCGGCGTCGAAAGTCGTGAATATTCCGCAGGCATGTCTGAGAAAATTCGCAGGCACAATCGTTCAAGCGTAATCATTTTCGCCATGTTCTCCGTCTTGACTACGGCTTTCCCCAGATAACAATGTACGACATCGTCTGCCGGTGTGTTTGTATGAAGATAGACATTAACACCGGTAATGGTGATGGTTAACCTGTCCAGTATTCCCTGAAGGAGCTTCGATACGAAGCCGGGCAGAGATAAGCCAGTACCAGTCCCGAGTGCGTCGTCCTGCTCGTCCCCATAGCTGAGTCCGGAGTCCGCAAGCTGTTGCGACTGCTCGTTCAGCGCTTGTGCCAACTCCTCCTTCTCTTCCCGAGGCTCATCTGCCAGGAATGACTTCGCAAGGTCCTGCGTCGTCGGCAGCCGAGTCGTTCCTTGACCACCAGTATTGGCTCGGCCTCTTGCTGTATAGCCCCTGCTCGTGTTCGTCGCTTGAGCGATATGGGCATGCACAATAACCGTCTTGATCTCTACAGCGATGCCGGTCTTATGGAGGTCTACAGGGAGAGTCAAGCGTAACGAGTCTATGTGGCCTTCCCGAAGGTCGAGTACGTCGTGTATTTGCAGCAGTCGGGAGACATTCTGTAGGACTGTCAGCTCCGACGCCCAGCCAGCAGTTCTGGATCGAGCATGCCTTGAGGCGCAAGCCGACTTTCCGTAGCTCTATTGTGCTTGTTTTCCCCCAGGCAAACTCCAAACTCTCATCGTTGAGCGCATCGGTGTCTAGGACGTCTAGGCGGGAGAGGACGTGCCTGAGCAGGCGTGTCTGGAGGTTCGGGATGAAAGGAAAGGACCACGACGCCGCCATGGTCGCGGTTGCCGCGATGGGAGGCTATCCTGCAGGATCCATGTGTAGAGGGAGCGTATTATCTCTGATCCACGGGCTAGGCAAACAGTTTCGAGCCCAAGAGGCCTCTGTGCAGTCCAAGGTACAAGCGCTGGAAGCTTAGGCGTGACCCGGTTTGCACACTGGTGGGCAAGTTGAGCAGAGAGTGCAGATGGCTTTGTGTCTTTGACGCGGACGTGCAGCGTTGTTCAGCGGCGTTCAGCGGCGTTCAGCGGCGTTCAGCGGCGTTCAGCGGCAAGCTCGAGGTTCTTCAAGTGTTTCAGCTGCTGTGATCTCAGTCTTATAACTATCGGCATCCAAGTTAGGTCAAGCAGTGGTGCGCGTGAGCAGATGCCGGCGCTCGACATGTCACCAATGTCGTGTCGGCCCTGTGCTTGCGCCCCCCGAGCTCCGCGGGGTACGGCGTGACAGCCCACCGCGTGGCTGAAACCTGAGGCAGCCTCTCGCTCTCCAGGGCTGTCAACGCGCACTCGACTTCATAATCCCCGACTAACCTCAGCGAAGTCAAGGGATTTCCTCAAACTTCACCGCAATCCGTGCCCATTGCAACAAGCTCTATTACACAATGGAACATCTCCGCCTCGAAGACGACGAGAACGAAGATTGGGAGCAAGCAGAGGGCGTGCCCAAGCTGAGCGATCAGTTCATCCAGAAGTACCTCCAGGGCCGGGATGCCTTAGTCGCACAGGAGAAAAAGCAGAGAAGCGGTTCGTGGTATCCATGGCAGCGCTGTAGCAGGACACGGTCTGATCGCTGTTGAATCAGACCGCGTCTTCCGCGAAAACCTCTCCCCCATGGCTGCCGAAGCCTGCGCCATAGTCGACCAAATACGCTTCGAAGAACAGCAGACGCTGTGGACCCGCGATTACGAGGAAAGCCAAGCAGAAGAAGGTGACATTTTCCCGGGGATGATGTTCAGTCTGGCCAAAGAGCGCATGGAGGGGAGCACGCTGTGGAAGATAGTCCGGCGCATGCCCAAGGGAGCCTTACTGCACTGTCATCTCGAGGCCATGGTCGACCTGGATTGGGCAATCGCGAAAGCTTTCGACACCGATGGGATGCACATATACGCGCCGAAGGGCCTGGTGACAGCTGCCGACCGGCTCAAAGCACCGTTTTTCTTCACCTACGCCAAAAGTCTAGCGGCTAGCGACACCTCGATATGGACAGAGTCTTACACTGCGGAATCATTAGTGCCGCTGGCAGCGGCGGCCGAGAGCTTTCCTGACGGTGGCAAAGATGGCTTCGTTAACTGGGTTAAATCACGATGCACGATCACCGAAGCCGAGTCCCTCAAACACCACCACGGCATCAACGATGTTTGGCAGAAGTTCACGTCTACGTTCCCCATCCTTGGCAGTCTTCTGTACTACGAACCCATTTTCCGGCCGTTTGTCCGGAACATGTGCGAGCAACTACTCGGTGACGGTGTGCGATGGGTCGAGCTGCGAGCGGCGTTCGTCCAACCATATCGTAGGGAAGGTTCCGACGCCGCGGACGAGAGCTACCACGGGATGTTTCAGGCGCTCGAAGAAGAAGTTAAGAACTTCAAGAACTCCGAGCAAGGGAAGGGCTTCTTTGGTGCCCGAATGATCTGGACAACGCTAAGGAGATTTGACAAGCGGAAAGTCATTGAGCGTTCGTGTCCTAAGAAGAAATTTACGTCCGCAAAACTAATGTAAATCAGATATGAAGCAATGCATCGACATTAAGCTCGAATATCCCGACCTGTTAGCAGGATACGACCTTGTCGGCCAAGAAGACCTAGGAAGGCCACTGCAAGACCTTACACCAGAGCTGTTCTGGTTCAAGAAGCGGTGCATAGAGGAAGGAGTCAATATTCCGTTCTTCTTTCACGCTGGCGAGACGCTTGGTGACGGCGACGTTACAGACGAGAATCTCTTCGATGCAGTTCTTCTCGGTACTCGTCGCATCGGGCATGGCTTCTCACTTTTCAAACACCCGCTGCTCATTGATATGGTCAAAGAGAAGAAGATTCTCATCGAAAGTTGTCCTGTCTCAAACGAGGTCCTTCGCCTGACTGGCTCCATTCTTTCACATCCCCTCCCAGCACTCCTTGCGCGAGGAGTCCCAGTCGCTCTTTGCAATGACGACCCGGCGATTCTCGGACAGGGCACCAACGGTATGACGCACGACTTTTGGCAGGCATTGCAAGGCTGGGAGAATCTAGGCCTGGCAGGTCTAGGGTCGCTCGCGGAGAGCAGCGTACGATATGCTAACTACGAAGACCTATCCGCTAAGGAGTGGACTCAGGATATCAAGGACGGGCCTTTCGGGGAGGGTATCCGCGCGCAGAGACTGAAGGAATGGACGAGAGAATGGGAGCGATTCTGCCAGTGGATCGTAGAGGAATATAGCGTAGATGAGGATTTGGAGGCTTTAGAGTAGAGTTGAAAGGGCTTGATGTTTCTGGCCTTAGAAGGCTTTGGGGTATCCGATCTAGGTTTTACCTACTCACTGCGATGCGATGTAGACCGCTATAAGGCGAGAGGGTATGCACAGTGCTTTGAGAATTAGAGAATCGATCATCAATCAGGATGACTGGCGGCTCTCTCGTCGATCGGTTATTAGTATGCATTCTGGCTCCCCTCTGAATATATGGGGAGTCGGGCAAATCATCGCACCATTTGCGTGAGGCCTGCTGCTAGTAGAAATGGTTTATACTACTAATCGTCTATGGATTACTGCCACTGAGGAATTCGGAGGCATTGAGCCAGGGTTTGGGCAAGCCAGCGCACCGCTTAAATTTCTCAAGCTTTCTGTGTTCCTCCTACATTCGTAGCCTCCCTATATCCAGACATTCAGGAATCCAAGTACGATTAGATCTTATCGGAGATACTATACTTCACATACACCCAGTACTTCTTTACATACGCTTAGGATATTTAAGCTATCATTGCCAACCTCCCTCTACTCTTGCTCAAGACCAAGCGGATGCGACCCCCCACCTTACAGTTCAGCCGACATCCATATCAATCTTTCGAAATCATATACGTGGCACAGAGGTTTGCAGGCTGAGGATCTCTTAGGTGTTCAGTCTAACACATAGAATGGCTAGACTGCCGGTCTTGCTGTTTTAACATTCACGTGATCACAAGCCCAGCTCAATCGTAAATCTGATATTGAACAACCTAAGGCGCCGGTCAAGATGCGGCGACGGACTTCTCGGATAGCCCCTTGCACATTGATTTCACATGCTCGAACATGACTCTACCCGCAACGAAAACTCTCCCGTTCAGAAGGCCAACTGACTCGCCCTTCGGCAACGGCTGAGCCGACTACCCCGGATTGTCTAAACCTCCCCGCAAAGCAGCATCCCCAGACCGAGCTACGATTTCCAATCCATAGCTAAGAACCTAGGCAATACAAACAAGACTTCCTCTACTTACACTGGCCCCACGTGTGGTCAAGCCGTGAACCCTAAGGGTCACTGAAATCGTGCTCCTCCAGCACCCCCGTCCACCGACCCTCTCCCAACCCACCACAGCCCAGCTCCACCACAATGCCCTCTCCCCCTTCCATCGCCCTGCCCACCAGCTACAACGACCTCCAATGGCAACAGATCAAGACATCGCATCAGCCTGCCTCGTCTCCAACGCCCACAGCCACGATCGTCCTGACACTGTACCGCCCGGGCAAGCACAATGCCTTCACGAACACGATGATGGAAGAGCTGGAGCGCGCGTTTGAGATGTTCGATGTTGACGATAGGGTCAAGTGCGTTGTTGTGACTGGGCATGGGAGGATTTTCTGCGCGGGGGCTGATCTGGAGATGGGATTCAAAACTACGAAGGGGGAGAGGATTGAGGATCATCGAGATGGGTGAGTTTGCATCCGTCGCTGGTATCAGTGGAAGAATAGCATGGACAGAGTGGTGAGGGCTGGGGCTGGACGGGGCCACAATAGGTTTGTATCAAGCCATTGCTGATACCTCTCTTCCCCCACAGCGGCGGCCGCGTCGTGCTCGCCATCAACCGGTGCCGCAAACCCACTATCGGCGCCATAACCGGCAGCGCAGTCGGTATGCGCGCTACGCATATCCTCCCTCTCCCTCTTGCAGTATCTGACTAAATCCCAGGCGTCGGCATCACCATGACCCTCCCAATGACAATCCGAATCGCCCTCAGTTCCGCTAAGATAGGCTTCGTCTTCTCGCGCCGCGGTCTAGTCATGGAAGCCTGTACGTGCCCCTATACCACAGGGTCTCCTTCCTGCCTTGGCGCCTGGGAGAGGGACCATTTAAGGAGTGATGTTGATGCTCCGTATAGGTTCGTCGTTCTTCTTACCGCGGCTGATTGGTCTCGCCCGCTCGCTACACGTCGTCACCACCGGCCTGACCTATCCTGCCTCGGATAAGGTGTGGGGTCCTCTTTTTAGTGAGACGTACGACACGCCCGAAAAGGTGTTGAGCCGGGCGCTGGAGCTAGCAGACGAAGTGACTCAGAACACGTCGATTGTTAGCAGTTACTTGATGCGGGAATTGATGTATAGGGACAGAGGGACGGCGGAGGGACAGCATCTCTTGGATTCCAGGATTCTATACGAATTGTTTAGCTCCGCGTGAGTAGATATCTCTTCACGTGTTGGAGGATTGTAGTGTGTGAACGGGAGCTGACCAAAAGCAGAGATAACGCAGAGGGCGTAAGAAGCTTCATGGCAAAGAGGCCGGCGAAATTCACTGGGACTATGGAGAACAGCGCACCGCATGCGTATCCCTGGTGGGAGCCTGTGCATACGACTGGGCCTCCGAAAGCGGAGCAGCAGCTTGGGAAGGCGAAGCTGTAATTCTTAGCACTGCCCCTGCTAGGGCAGCTACGACAGAACACGATCAAGAGTAACGTCGAACAAACCAACATAGTATTCTTGCAAGTTCATGCGGCAAAGCATCTCATTTGATTTTGATTGCCTCCTACATTTCATTTCAGCCAGTAAGGCTCAGCAGGCCATGCACCTCTCCTCCTCCATCCAAAAGCGACGCTCAGTAGAAAGTTGAAGGCCTGTTGGCAGCGAAGATCTTCTTGGTGGCGGCCTTGGGTACGCGGTGGGGAAGAGGGAACTTGAGTTTCGGGGTGAGGAGCTGCTTGATGTACGGGCGCTTGACATCGTCGGTCTTCTCGATCTCAACGACCTTAAGGATCTTCAAACGCATCTTAGTTTGTACATGGATAATGGGATTAAAGGGAGACACGTACGTGAATCGATCGAAACCGAGCGCGATGCCGGGCAGCCATGTCCTGGTAGAGCGCCTCGACGGCGTCTGTCCTCGACATCTCACGGTACTCCTTGTACATGTTGTGCGTGCCCGAGCGCGAGTCGTATCGGATCCAGATGCCGAAGTTCTTGACCTTCATGGGGCGCTTCTCATGGATCTAAGCCACGTAAAACAGGCAGGTCAGCTTGCGCGACCGCCAAACAGCGTACAGGAAGTCTCTAGAGCTTCTGTAGCCGTCACCTTTCGGTGTTCTCATTGTGTTCCCATACCTGGTTCAGCGAGACGATCTCGCCGTTGGCCTTCTTGATCTTGCGCAGCTTGCCGAGGAAGTACCAGAAGCGTGACTTTGCGACGACATCGTTGGGTGCGAAGATGCGCATGCGGTAGAGCTTGGGGGTAGGGTTGGACTCGGTAGGAAGATGGCGTCCGATGACGAGGTACTCCTGGAGACGGCCTGCGGATGAAGTTGTCAGCGGCCATTCCATGTCCAACGAGCATAGTGCGCGTTCAGTCTGTGATGTGAGCAGGGTTGGTGTCGTGAGATAGAGGCAGATGGCGGCATTGACTCGACATTCCCAAAGCTGTCCGTCACAACCATCAACCGAGCGATTGTCCCAATCCCTCCAACGATTCAGTCTGGTTCTCCCGCCTGGCCCAGTGCTGGTTTCCTTGGCTGCTCTCCGTAGCTATCAAGTGCGGGAGCATGCACAGCGATGCGAAGCTGGTAGAAATCCTCACGAGTGCGAATTGGATATCTAGGCGTGGTGCGATTGTTCGCGGAATTGGAGATGCGCTTACCCATCTAGGACTATGTGAGCAAAAGAGCAGGATCTCGTAGCGCAGCTTGCTTACCTTGTGTATGTGTTGTCGGGGTGCCGGTGTGTCGATGTTGGCGGCGGCGGCGGCGGCGTCTTCCTTCCTGTTGCAGAGTTGCGATGGGCGCAGTTCAGACAGTTCAGACAGTTCAGGTGTGTGCCGACGCCAAGACCGCCAGCACCGAAATAGCAAGCTAAGCGAGCATCAATCTGGAAGCCCGCAACACCACGCCAAGCCGTCATTCCTGCCTCGGCACGTCCAAAAGTCACGACAGCTGCCATGGATATGCGGCATGCTTTGACTGTGTTCAGCCCCGTCGCGTGAGCACAGGAAAGTCGCCACGCCAAGCACAATAATGGAGTCCGTCTTCAACGACTTCAAACGCGCCATCGAAGCCGGCGATGGCTATGGCGTGGCAGCAACAATCTCTCCAGTTCCTCCCCCCAGCGATCCCGGCCGGCTCTATTCCTTCCACCGCAGCACGAACAGCTACAGTGTCCAGACCGATTTCCGCTATGCCATCGTGTACAACAATGACATACAGCTGAACAAGATGGAGGGCAACAGCTGGGTGGATGTATTCGTTGCCTACTGGAAAGCTATAGGCGAGCTCTTGTTAGCCGAAGAAGTAACGAATCAGGGCAAGAGCAGCCAGGCACCATGGGGCAGAGTGTACGAGGCCTGGAAAGAGATGGCCACCGTGCTGCTTCGCGGATACACCGGTCTGATCTTTCCAGCTTGGACAGTACCATGTCTTTATGTGGCCGGGAAGTATCTGAGGGTGTTCGCTATCAAGGCGGATGAGCAAGCTGCGCAGTCCAACGGTAAGGTGACGTTCAATGCCGGCTTTCAGGATGACATAGTGAGCTCGATGGGCAAGAACGAGACGCTGGAGGATGCGGCGAGGCAGATTAATCGGATTTTTGCCGCCTGTATTAGCGATCGGTATGTAGGGATCAAGGCGAACCCACCATCACTGCATGCGTGCTGAACGCTGTGATAGTGCACCTCTAGAAGAGTCGCGCAAGTGGGCTCTCTACTACATTACGAACCTTCTCTTCAAGACGTACTTCAAGGCAAGCCACCCAGGGAAGTCTTCGGGGCTGCCATAGCCAGCTAACCATTATCTCGACCACCAGCTCAACTCCATCAGCCTCTCGAAGAACGTCCTCCGCTCTCTACAAGCATCCCAAGCGGACATACCGCCCCTAGAAGCCTTTCCGAAAGCCCACCAAGTCACCTTCAAATACTACGCCGGCGTGGTTGCCTTCTTAGAGGAGGACTACGCACGAGTACTTCCTCCACCCCACTAACCCCAAGTCAACCAAGCTAACGTCCCCCTCCAGGCAGAAGAGCACCTAACAGAAGCCTACCGCCTCTGTCACAAGGAAGCCCAAAAGAACCGCGAGTAGGTCACCAGGCAGCAGCGGCGACTGCGGCGGCAGGCTTCATCGCAGTAGCACGGGCTAACACCACCCGAACCAGACTCATCCTCACCTACCTCATTCCCTGCCACCTCCTAACAACGCATACGTTGCCCACCCAAGCGCTCCTCGCACCCTATCCCCGCCTGCAGCGCCACTTCACGCCGCTGGCTACCTGCATCAAGCGCGGCGACCTCGCAGGCTTCGACGCGGCGCTCCACGCTGGCGAGGCCGAGTTCGTCAAGCGCCGCATCTATCTCACGCTCGAGCGGGGGCGAGATATTGCGCTAAGAAATCTGCTGCGTAGGGTCTTTATTGCTGGTGGATTTGAGCCGGCCAAGGAGGGGGAGGAGAGGAAGGTGAGGAGAACGAGAGTGCCGATTGCGGAGTTTGCGGCTGCGATTAGGTTGGGGAGTGGTGGGGTGGGGATGGATATGGATGAGGTGGAGTGCATGGTTGCGAATTGCATCTACAAGGTAAGTCACGCTTCGAGGGCTTTTGATCGGACACATTTGCAGCTGCTGGTTGCTTCGTCTGTGGAGGCTTTGTTGCCTGCCGAGGTGGCCGGATGCCTGACTTGGAGTGGTGCCGCTGCCTGTTACGGGGGCCATTCACGACCATCAGCTCGAAGCCCGAAACATGCGAACTGACACACCACCCAGAACCTCATGAAAGGCTACATCGCCCGCGAACGCGGCATCGTCGTCCTGAGCAAGGGCGGCCAGGCCTTCCCGGGGACAGGGGTCTGAGCTGCCCTCCCACACGGACCTCCGGTATCTGCCTGGCTCTCGCCAACGCAGTCCCATACGCTGATCAACCCGGCCTCCTTGAACCTGCTGTGTCTCGGCTACGACTATCTGCCGTCCCACCCGAGCATTACCAAAATCGCCACGGACCTTGTTGTCTTCAGCCATCACAGCAAGACGGCCGTGTGCGAACCACGGCACACCATCGTCTACCCGGAACGAGACCACTCATCCTCATTATCCGATATCTGATAGCAGGCGTGTATCAACCCTGCCCTATCCCGGCTTACTTTCTCCACTTTGTTTCTTAAGCACCACGCCAATGTAGCTTCCCGCACTCGCATGCATGCGGCCAATGCACGACTCCTGCCCATCCATGCCACATGCAGTCAACCCATGCAGCCGTGCTACTCGAGTATGAGTCACAAGCTTACCTTGTGGAGGTGTGCCTCGCTTCACCTTTCTTGGTCGGAACGGGTGAAGGGGGAAACGCGTACTTGGTGGAATGGCGCATTCGGTCCGATGGGTTGGTGAATCCATGGTCGAAGATGCATGGTTAGTGTTCTGCCAGGGTCGAGGAAAGGAAACGCCTCCGAGAGTGGGTGGTCTGCTGTGGATGCCCAAAATCGTTGATGCAGTAATTTGAGGATTTTGACAAGGTGCTCATAAAATCAGTTTCAGTCGACGCACTGGGACACATGCCAACACAGAGGCACAACCATGCCACTGCAACTATTTTGTAGCTACCACTACTCTTTCCCCCTCAATAATACAAGTTCAGTGCAACGACGAACTCGAAGCAGCCGTTGCGCGCTGAAGCATGCCGTCAACAAAACAGACGAAAGCCCAACCATACAAAACGTAGACAATCTTGATTCGGCTGGAAGCAGAAACTGACCACAACGAGCTGAATAAGGCAAAACAACAACCCATCCAACATCAGCGCTTGGGACAACGCAATCTAAACCAAAGTAGCTTTTTATCTCCTCAGCGGAGTGTGAGGTGGACAATTCGTCCGTCTCTCATCCGCCGAGCTAAGAGAAGAAATGAGATGAGCGGGAACAAGAAAAAGTGGGCTGCTGTACAGTCTGTCGCCCACAAGACAGGATGAAAGACAAACCCAGTAAGCATCGATCGGGATGGTAAGCCGCAGCACGCATCGCTAGAACTGAACAGTGGGAAAGACTCCATAGAGACTGAGTGATGAGAGAAAATCCAGAGAACCATAACAGATGAGTTGTATCCGACCGGAACGCCTTGCACAAATCCATGGTATAAGTATGCTACAAGAATCGAAGCATCGCTGAACCAGAGCGAAGGAGAGTGGCGAAGAGGACGAGAACACGATTAACGGACGGCGGAACGCATGAATGAACGAAATGATGGGGCACGGTGACGAAGAGACGAGACGCGGAAAGCGAGGAGCGGCAGGCGAAAGGAGGCAGCGTGGCAAAGGTGCCTACTTCCTCGGCGTCTGGCTGGAGATATCGTCCTGCAGGCAGCAGTCAGTACATGTACTGGTGTGTCCACGCGGCACAGAGGAAACTCACCATGTGATTCGACATAGCCACGAACAAGTCGAAGAACAGCTTGCCGCCATTCTCCATCTCGTTCTGCATGGTGCCGCTGCGCTTGAATGTGTGCCTGCTACGGATGATCAAGGCGAGGTAGTGCGACCGTAGCTTCGCGTCGTTGTCGGGTGTGTTGTCGTAGGCGTAGCGGGCGCTGCTGAGGATTGTGCTACATTGGATACCGGATTGTAGGCCCTGCTTTTTAAGAGCGAGGCGCTGAAGTTCATCAAGGCCGTACTTTTCGGCTGCGCACTAGGTGTTGATGTCAGTAAACTCTGTGTCAGATGGGCGGAACTGTACGGCACGTACGTAGATGACGGTGTCCTTGAGTAGCGGCCCGCCGACACCATTGTGATACACCGTCGACTCCACCGTACCTCGCCCACCATTCTCTGTATCCTCGAGATGCCACGTTTGCCGTCGTTTGTCGAGCTGTAGACGAGGGTAGTAATCACCCTTATACAGGTATTCAAGGACCGACGAGAAGATCTCCGGCTCCTCGCTGGGCAGATCAATCCGCTTCGATCCTGGCTCGAAGAACTGTGTGCGGCACAGGGCTGCAAAGTATGTGGAGTGGCAGAGGACGTCTTCGTGCGCGGCGAAGAGACGCTGTTCCCGACCGACGCAGAGGGTGACGATGGCGGAGGTCATGTTGCTGCTCGGCTGTGAGAAACGATGGGAGATTGATGTTGATGGGAGACCTACGGAGATGTCTGTGGACTTGTCGTCTGCACTGACTGTGGAGAGGATATTTCTATCCGACGAGCCACATCGGCCTCTTTGAACGATGCCTTGCCTTTCTTGGTAGATTTTGAGGCGCGGTTCTTCGAGAAGCTACCGGTCTGGTACTTGTTCCTGCTGGAGGTGAACATTTTGAGATGCTGTGGGATGGATGGTGATGAGAGGAGCGAGAGAACGAAGGTGGGGGGATGAGCTTATATCTTCGACGATACAAGGCAAACGATTAAGGAAGAGAGCAGCAGATGACGATCCTCAGGCAGCAAAGTCGAGGAAGAGCGCGAAACAGCGGGACAGACGGGGTGCAGAGCGAGCACATCAAGGGGGCTATATACACATTGTGACCATCTGTGCAGCATTTCCGCAGCAAGCAGACGCGAGTTGCTGGGAGACGTGATTGGACGCGTAGCACGGGTGCGCGATATCAGGTGCTCTGAGCATGACTCTGAGTGCGGCGCCCAGACCAAGCTGCGCGCTGCGAAGCCCTGCGGCCAGTTCGGCGGACAGGGGAGGCAGGGATGCTGTTTCACAAACGAGGCAGTCTAGGCAGGACCGGGCGACGGCCGTTTGCCGTGGCGTCGGTAGAGCTGGGCGACGCGCAGGCCGGGCTGGCTTGCAAACAGGAAACTGGTCGCCTTCTCGGCAGACGGACGGAGTAGAGACCACCACCCAACGGGACAGGACTCGGAGAAGAAGCAAGACATTGGAGAAGACAACGCTCGAAGGTGTGAAATGTCAGGACTTGTGTGTGTGTTTGAATCCCTACCTGCTGGCGCTTTCCGTGTGTGTCGCTGCGAGACTCGAGAGGAGAGAGAGAGAGCAACGAGGCTGCGTGAGGTCGGTCTCATCCCTTGCGCAAGGATAAGTCGGCATCAGCTTTCGCCAAAAAAGCCAGGCTAGCGCCAGGCTAGCGCTAGCTCCAGGAACGTCCGCTTTCCCCGCTTGCTCATGTCCGTGATGGTGGTGTGACAGCGTGCCCAGATCGGCTAGTTGTACGACCACCAACTCCCGCCCCTGCTCCTGAACATCCCTCCCATCTGACATCCCTCACACTGTCACATTCTATCGCCATCACCTTGACATCAGACTGAGGCATCTGCTGCATTCTCTTCTCTCTTCTCCTCTCATCCTCTTTGTAATCCGCATCCGTGGCTCTGTGGACGTCGGAGGTTAGGAGACTTACCACGCCGCTCGTCGCCTTGAAAGCTATGACACCACTAGCTTGCGAGCTTGCTGTCATCCTTGGTCCAGATGCTTTTCGGCATCCGCCATGTGGTTGATTCTGTAGGGCTGAAGCTATCTTAGCAAATTGCCACCTAGTCAAAGTCTTCCCAAATCATCATCTCTGGGCTGCCAATGCTCTTTCCAAACCCCACAAGCAGCATCATCTCTTCACGGCAAATGAACAATTCGAGTTTTATCTGTATACACGTCTTCCGATGTCTTTCAACATGCATGTGAATGAGGACTTGAGTTTTGAGTAGTCAATCTGTGTGCAGTTCTCTGCCATCACAATATTACGGATTATATCTCGGTTTTGCATTCGTGGTTTAGGGAAGGACGTCTACGCGCCTGGACACTTTTGCGATAGCATATCTACCCAAATGTCCGGACGGCACCATCCTATGCTCTTACAGAGCCGATCGCCTGCACTCCCGCGTTGGCAATAACGACATCCTGATCAGAAGTACCGCCCGAAACGCCAATCGCCCCGATGAAGAACCCATTGCGAAAGACGGGAACTCCGCCACCAAGTGCCACCAATCCGCCATTTGTCTCTGTGATACCTGTGCAAAGCCACAGAGTCAGCACTCCATTCCAAGCCTTACCACAGCAACAGCAACGAAAGCATCTGCATACCAGAAAGCGCAGCACCCGGCTGCGTGAGATTAAACAACGCCTGTGTTGTGAACGCGCCCGCAAATAAGCTCACCGTCCGCGCCTTCCGCTGCGACACATCGACGCTCAGCAGGCGCGCGTCATCGTTGCGGCGGAACGCGACCAGGAAGCCGGAGGGATCTGTGACGGCAATGCTGGCCGACACCCTGATGCTGGCGGCTTGTGCTTGCGCCGCTGCGATGGCTTGCTCGGCCTGCGCGATGTTGATGATGTGGCGGTCTTCGAGGCTCGAACAGGAGCAAGTTGCGTTTTGCTGGGCGGAGACGGTCGCGCCGAGAGAGAGAACTACGGCGGAGAAGAGAGTGAAGATCTTCATAGTGGCGGAGGATCTTGAAAGGTAGCTGGAGGACTGGGAAGTGCTGGAACGGTGTGCGGAGTGTCGGGACAATGGGAATGGGCCGCTCAAGGTATGTATGGACTTGCGTACCACATATATATCTGCGCAGGAAAAGGTTCGAGAGGAAAACCCAGTAGCTCAGTGGCTTCACCGCAGTCGTCATCGACTACAATATGGCTGTCCCATCGCGTAAACGATCTGACCGCTAGGGCGGCATAGACGATCAATGGCGCAAGTCGGTGGTGTTAGTGGCTATTTAGTGGTGATGCTCTTCACAGGTTTGATGCCGAGGATCTCGACAGTGGCGTCGAGTAAGCGGAATATAGGTTGACACTGGTATTGACCCAATCAGCTGTCTTGTGTATGTGTCGCTACTTACGTGAAGCCTTCCACTAGCGTTGGCACTAAGCGGTAGTGTTCCAATAATCGGGCGGGCTTACAGCTTAGTAAACACGGCGCAGGCTGAGGGCGCTCACTTATTCTTAAGACAACGCAAAGCAGTCGATTGTTTACAAGCGCTCCCTTCACCTATTAATAGAGAACAGTCCTGTCTGTGGAGGTCGGAAGGCATATTCATGCATCTTTTACACAAATCCTGGTCCTTCGTCGATTTACAAAGCCGACCTGCCCTCTCAAGTAAGCAAACTTTTCTCCAAAGTAGATCATTTAACGGACTGTTACTGCACGCCTCGCCTTTGACATCATGTATGAGGACTCAAGACGTCGTTGAATTCATCGTTTGTTTACAACTTTTCCACCCTCCATCCCGAATTACTTTAGTAAGCCACCATCGTTGACAGCCCTTCCATCTCGCGGTCCCAGTTCCTGTGCTGAGAGATTGCAAAAGTGTACGCATCAATGAAATCCTTCGCTCCCTTCGCCATCTTGATAGCCTCTTTAAAGCTGTTCGGCTCCACCTTGCTCGCTGTGACCACTCCATAGCTCTCAACGACGTCGCCGCTGCTGGAGAACAACACGCCAGGCAGCGCACATGCATCCTTGACGAATGACACAGCCTCGCCGGTAGCGCCAATAGCCTTGAGATGCCCGAACGCCTCACGTACCCAGTGAAGAGCGCGGCCGTTCTTGCGAAGTGTCTCGACATGAGCACCGCCGGGGATGAAGACACTGTCGAACATGGTGGATCGCATGCCCTCGAGGTGGTGATCTGGCTTCACGCCCTTGCCGGTGCTTTTGTCCTCTCCGGCAGCGTAGATCGTAGAGCGCTTCGTGCCGATGGTGAAGGGCAGCGCTTGTGCGGCCGTTAGCGCAGCCTTGACGCCATTGTAGGCAACCGGATCGTAGCCGTCCCCAACAATGATGGCGACGCGGCGGGTAGCAATCGTGGGCTCCTTGGGCATGTAGTCCATCTGGCTGAGACCCTTTGCCTTCTTGCCGTGGTTCTGACGCTTCGGCATGTCTGGGATGTTTTCTGCGCCTACCTTCTCTGCGACCTCTCGCGCAAGGCCAATATCAATGTCCAACAGCCGCTCACACATGCGCTCGTACACCACTGGATCGTCGCAGTGATCGAGCTCGAAGGACAGGGCAGCCGCCACGTGCGCCTTCTCTGGCGCAGAAAGCGAGTTGTAGAAGAGCTGGGCCTGGTTGTAGTGCTCGCGGAACTTCTTGCTGCGCATGCGGGCCTTTATCCCAGCCACCTTCTCTGGATAGTCGACGTAGCCGCCTTCTTCCTTTTTCGCTGGAGGCACAGCAGAGAAGCGGTTGGGCCAATAGTTCACCGTGCCTTTCATGATGGTGTGCCGCATGGCGCCATCGCGGTTGTGATTCATTACCGGACACACGGGCCTGTTAATCGGGAGCTCCTGCCAGTTGACGCCGAGGCGAGAGAGCTGCGTGTCGAAGTAGGAGAAGTTGCGGCCTTGTAGCAATGGGTCATCCGAGAAGCCAATGCCCGGCACAATGTGGCTCGTGCAATAGGCGATTTGCTCCGTCTGAGTGAAGTACTCATCCACATTGCGATTCAGTTCCAGCTCGCCGATGTAGCGGATTGGCACTTCCTCCTCAGGCCAGACCTTGGTAGCATCGAGGATGTCAAATTCGAAGTCGTCTTCACGGTGCTCAGGGATGACCTGGATACCGAAACGCCATTTGGGGTACGCGCCGTTATCAATCGCCTCCATGAGATCCTTGCGATGGAAATCCGGGTCCTGTCCTGCCAGCTTAAGAGCCTCGTCCCATACGAGGGAGTGCACACCAAGCTCAGGGGTGAAGATAAACTTCACAAAATGGCGCTCGCCCTTGTCGTTCTGGAGCGTGTATGTATTGACGCCAAAGCCCTGCATCATACGGTAAGACCGGGGGATGGCACGGTCAGACTGCGTCCACATGAACATATGGGTCGCCTCCGTGTGCAAGAATTGGAAGTCCCAGAAGTTGTTGTGAGCTGTCTGAGCTTGCGGTACTTCGTTGTGTGGCTCAGGCTGTGTTCCTTGCAATCAGTATGACTATGCATCCGGCTTCTCACCAGTGTCTTACCTTTCCAGCATGAATGACATCCGGAAATTTCATCGCGTCTTGGATGAAGAACACCTAGAGTTTCCATGTAAGTGAGTGTCTCTGAAAACTAGAACAGGATCTCCACGCACCGGAATATTGTTGCCTACAATGTCCCAGTTTCCTTTTGTTCCCGCGTAAGCCAAATACCGTAGAGAATCTGAGAAACACGGGGGTCTAGCGGGATGTACCTTCTTTCGTATACATTTTCAGGGCGAAGCCGCGGACATCGCGGACCGTGTCTGCGCTACCTCTTGAGCCCAAAACTGTTGAGAACCGGAGGAACAACGGTGTCTCGCGGGACGTATCGGTCAGGACGCCAGCGGAAGTGACGTCCGCAGCGCTCTCGAGCAACCTGAAAGTGCCGAAAGCACCAGCTCCTCTGGCATGGACAACTCGTTCTGGGATTCGCTCATGGTCGAAGCGGTGAATCTAAGCAGGTGTTGGACTCGAGCGCGCAAGAGAAATCTCGTTGGAAGTGCAAAGGCCCTAAGTGAATGGGTTAGGGCGACATACCTTCTCGCGCGCAAAGGGATCCTCCAACAGCTCAGGACCTGTCTTCTCCTCGCTAGCGACCTTCAGCCAGTCGTCCGTGTTCGACTCCCTCACGCCCCAATCGGAGGTGATGCGGTTTTTTGGATCATGGACGTCTTTCGTATCGCGAGCCAGGTCAGCAGCCTTGGCGTCTTTCTCGCCGGCGACGCTTTCGACGGCTTTCTTCGTCCTGTCGGTGATGGAGGTTAGGATCTCGGAAGCCATCCTGCTGCTGTCTGTGGGCTGTTGGATGCTGCGAAACCGACTGTGTAGGTACGTGTAGGATAGAAGAGCTTCACAGAAGAGGGCCGGGCGGCCGAGGAGCTACATATCCTACATATCCTACATACCTAGCTATCTTCAAACCATCCGTTTCACCATGACGTCGGACAGCGGGGCGGGCAGCAATATCAATTGCATAAGTATTCCGTAGCTATCGGTGGTACAGCGATTCAGTGCAACCCGCGGAACCTTTTCTGGACGGTCCAAGGGGCGTCGACCCGCGCTAATCCTTGCTGCAGCTCACTTTGCAACGGCCGGTTCATGCCGCCGCTGCAGACGGCGCTCCGCCGAGACTATCTTTCGGACCAATTGGAATGCCGCGCATAACCAGGCTCCCTGGCTGTCTGCAAGCGAACGTCACTTCCTGGTCGCAGCTAGCCCCAGCGCTGATCAGCTGCCGAACGCCTTCTGACAGTGCGGAGCTGATGGGCTTCGTCGCAAGGCTGGAGGGGAGGGGAGGGGATGGGAGGGGAGGCGTTCTAGAGCAGCTCGGCCTTTTCCTTGCCCATGTATGTATCCCCGACAATGAGAAGTGCGCTGATGTCCCAACTCAAAGTCCTCACTTTCTGACTTATGGCTTTCTCCATTGCTGTGTCGGGGGCCTGCCTTGTATGCCCCTACGGGATTGGGTGGATCGCTGTCGGTACAGGGATGCGACCAACCCGCAGCATGCTTCACGTGAAAGGATCCGGCAACAGCTTCTTGAAAGAAGAAACGGGTTATTGTGGTGGTTGTAGATAACTGCACGAGGCCAAACCGAAAGCACTCTCCACTCGACAAGGAGCCAACGTCGACCTCCAGCATATACTGCGGCCCATTGAACGCTCAAGCGAAACCAAAACGCCAAACAAAAGCGACACGGGAAGGTACAGGGGAGAACAAGCCCCAAATGAACCCGTCAAACATCCTCCACCCGTCGCTCAGTCTTTTGCCCACCCTCGAAAGTCGACAGACGTTCTACCCCGACTCCAATCGTTGCGAGACATCTTCACTCCTCCTGTTCAGCGTAATCCGAGACCCCCATCTCACCACCGTAGTGAACAGGGCCGAGCTTCAGAAATCTTGCGCGTCCAGCCTCGCCGCTGCTGACGCTGCTGGAGCGCCGCTTGGTCTCCATGCCGAGAGCAGGCTCAACCGCGTCCACCGCAGCGACCGAGTTCCGAGGAGACATCGATGGAGGCGATGCCGGGAAGCTGTTCGACTGAGTGGGCGCGAGCGCGAGGAAGGTAGAGTCTCGTCTTGGACGGGCGTCCGGAGAGGCATCTGCTGGAGCGTTCGTGGAGGTATCGACAGCTGAGTTGGACTGTACGGTAACGGCTTTTGCAGCTTCGGCTCTCAGGGCGTCCAGTGTAGCTTCGTGCGTGAGGACTGGAGCGGCAGTTGAAGACATTGTGCGATGTGTGATTGAAGGCGGCTGATCGTTGTGTCTAAGGTGTCCGAAGGATTGAAACGAAACCGTTGGTGACAAGTTGTAATGGCAGCTGAGGGCTGTCTTCTGTCGAGCACGCGTGTGAAGCAATTGAGCGGATTCAAGGTGAACAGCTTGCTTTTATAAGGATCTGACTAGACACGATTAGAGCAGGAGCAATGTGAACAGTGGGTGAAGACGGGAGGAACTGTGTAGGCAGGGTACGATACCCCACGTGGTGGTCAGGCAGCTCCTGCTGCTTTACGTAGCAGGAGGTCATCATGTGCTTCTTTCCTTTCGTCCATCCACACTCTGGAACGCAGAGGGGGTCCGGGAAGGCCCGCAAGCCAAGTTGATAGTTAGGTATTGGTCAGTAGAGCGCTGTGCTACATTTGGTAACCGACGATGAATGTCGTTAGCCGCCCACCTGGAGTACTGTAGTTGAGGCAAAGAACCTTGGAATGCCTTGATGGTGGTGAAACGGTGAAGTACGCGGGCGGAGCTCTGCTTTCAATATCCGCCAGGCCTCATGATCTTCCACTGCTGCGCTGAGCTGTCTACAAAGCGAGACGTGTAGCCTCTCATCCATCGTCGACTTCGTGTCTTCAGGCGTCTACCGAGAGGTACTCGATATGCAATGGGACTGCTTTCAGCCCTATTACGACGATCCTACCTAACCGCAAGCGCCCCCGTGCTTCCTTTTCCCCGCACTGGGCTTCGGAATCATCTCAGCAAGCGAGCAGTTGATCCGGTTCAAAGCGCTGAAATGACTCTAGCGTCTCCGAATGGTCTTCGAGGAGGGCATTTGCGAAAACCGAAGCAAACCGCTTGCGTTGATAGATGACGGGCAAAGCCGGAGAACGAATCCCTACTCTATAGTGATCAATCTCGGAAGTTTTCTCGTTTACACGTGTAACATGTAGTCACAGACAATCTATCTACTTGAAGGTAGTCCTCAGACTTGGTCCTTTCACTAAGTGGAAGCTCTCACTCCGGTTGAGGTGGACGGCATGACCAATTCGAGCATCGGGGAACCGGTTTCAGCTGCCATAGCTTCGGTCCTTGCGGACATTACGCTAAGAAAGTCGCCCTGAGCCCTTTCCGAGTGCTCGAGGCCAGAGGACTGCGGAGTAAACGCGTGCTCTTGTCCGCAGAAGTGGATTGCTTCAGTAGAGTGTTTCGGTCGCTATCAGCTGTCAGGCAGATCAACAGCCCACATCAAGGCTGCAGTAATGATCCAGTCGCCGAGGACCATCTGATGAATTCAGCGGCTGCGTCGAAGGGGCACCTTGAAAGTAAATAGTTGCATGGCCGGACCCCGGGCAGCTCCACCGGTCTTGCCGCGCCTCCAGCTTGGATGCTTGGCTGCTCGGCTGCTTTCGCGAACGACCATGTTCCGGGCCGTCGAGCCTACTTGGTATACAAGGGCGCCCCAAGAAGCAACCGGGAGCCCTCCCGGCTGCACAAAGCCAATAGCGAGATCGATGCGACTCAACGCCGTGGTCTGAGTGGTTCGCTCCAGAGCGGGAAGCTGGGGGAGCATCCAGCCCTTCTGTAGATGACCCTCTGTAGCCCTACACCAAAAGCCAACGGCCGCACGCCATCTCCTGCATACCAGGATAACTGCTGCGCGATCCTTGCGGGTAGCTTTGCGTGACCCCCAACGGCGGGCATGTCTTGCCGAGTTTTCGATCGTTTGATCGTCTACAACGTGCGACAGCCATGACGGCACTGCGCTGTCGACGCCGAAGCTCACAATATTCACGCACTGGACCTTGAGTGTTCCGAAGGAAGGCTTGAACAAGGAGCCAAACTTACGAGCGACGCCCCTGCGGCACCTAGACCTTGCTTTGACTACCTACCATCATGAGAGCTTGTGTCATCCGTATCCTTCTTCATCAAAGAAGCCCAACGGATGTCATGTAAGGGCCGGGCTTCTAGCCTTTCGCCAGGTGCGCTCGTCTAAAATCGGAAGCAGTCATGCGCTTCGCTCGAACGTCTTCTGCTGCTGCTAACGAAGCGCGCAAGCACAGGGATAGGGACAAGGGTGCCATGTGCTGATATGCTGAAGCGCTCCTCTAGAATAACAACCATGCCTGGCTACGCAACATGTGGATTACTGACATTTCGGGGGACCACTCTCTTGTCGAGTCGACTCCAAACCGAACGTGAGTATCAACGGCCAAGTAGGCGGTCAGGCGAACGGCATTCCCTTGTCCGCTCAGCACAACTGACATACATATACTCCATGCCCGCCTTCAGCGAGGCGTTTGAGGATACCCGGTTCGCTCGTGACGGCAGACTAGAGATGCACTCATGCGCGTCTCGAGTATTTTCCATCCAGCAGAGAGCTGCAGTAGCGTGGCTGATCCAGTAGCGATCCTCCGGGCTATCAGGTTCAACCTGGCAGGCCGCGCCGGCGTTTGTGCAGTGGCTTTGGACATAGAAACGGGTGCTTTCTCATTGCTCCCTCTGCGGCCGCGGCACGGACGCGAACATTATTTCTGCCGCTGCTTCGCACGGCTACTAGTGGGCGCCATACATAGCTACCTGACATCCCTTCCGCGACAACGGCTGTCAATGTTGCAAACGGAAACAATCAAACAATCGTGCCGTCCTCTCGGGCTCTCCATCATGGCTTTATAATACTTCGAGCCCTCTTCAGCAGACCTGTATCCTTGCCGTCCGCGCAACTGCACCTCCGTCCTCGCCTGCCGCAACTTCGCTCCGCCGCGCTTCTCTGCTCTTAGTTGCACCGACAGAGGCTGCTATACTACCCGTCCAGCCGCGGTTCCTGTCGCTCCCTCTCCGTCGTTGGCGCAAAGGACCGCACCCTCAGTCGTGCGAATCAGCTGCTCCGCAAAAGACGCGCGATCCCTTGCCGCCCGCCCTTTCCTCGACCGAGTCGCTCGCGACAACGGATCCAACTACATCAGCGCTCCGGCGGATTCGTTCTGCTTCCAACAGTCATGTGCACGAAAGTAGTACATCAGTACAGCTGCGGGCATCAGGTGGCCGAGAAGGCACCGTGCGCAACGTCAAGAAGCGGTCCATGTGGAGTGCTGAATACCAAGATCGTCAAGCATGAGGAGAAGTGCGACAGCTGCGATGGATGACGGTATTTAGCCCTTCCATCAATGTCCGCAGTCTTCAGAAGTTCGCGTGTCTGACTTCCAACGCCAGCGTGCCACCGAGCGGCCCTATCCGATCCGAACAACGACTCAGAGCCAGCAGCGGGTGACACACAGTCTGTGGCAACAATAGAACGCGGGCCGTCTATCTTATCAGCACATCATATAACTCCTCAATCTGGAGTCTGACCGGTTTCAAGGATTCAACGGCCTCCACAGCACGAGCATTTCGACGGCGTTACGGAAGCCAAAAGTGCTGGCGTTTGGCAAGCGGCGGAGTTAGCACAGGGGATATACCAAGGGAGTCTTCAAGCCGGTAGATTTTGCTGCAGGGCATCTATTTCTTGTAACAATCTAATGCTGGAGGATTTATATTCGCGGTGCGGGGTGCAGCGAATGGTGTCCGTAATGTTTACATGTCATCTGATTCAACGCCGATCCTTTTTTCAGTTACCGCGATCAAGCGAGTATTACTCCCTCCGCATTGAAGATGATAAACGAATCGAGCTGAGAGCAGAAGGCCAGGCCTAGGCCTCACAACCTGCGGTATTTCTCAGTAGACTTGGTGCGGAGCGAGATCTATGGCCCCCAAGTGTGCACAGCAGGGTTACTTCTCACATCGCACAAAGCCGTTGGACAGACGCAACCGCCCGGCGTCTAAGCTTTTCAGTCAGCGGCGCCAACACAGAGATGATGCACTTCACTCGCCAATCGCCAGCAGTCGTGGAGCAAGCGGAAGCTTGCAGAGCTCAGTAGACCTGATTTAGTATACCCTTGCAATGTCACAGATTTCTACACCTAAAGGAAGTCAAGCGTTGACCATGTAGGCCTTGATCACGATGCTTGATCCACTGGACGCTTTGCCGCTGCATAAGGCTTCTGTCTACCAAGAAGTTAGACCTGACAACAAGGTAATATAGATCAGAGGGCCTACTGCTTAAGGTAGTTTGTACCATTGCGGGACGGTACAAATGTGACGAGTATCCGCATTCGGGGCCCTGCCCCTTTCAGGGTGATAGGGACGGCCCGCATGGACGAACATACGTTCGCCAGCACATCCATCGAACAAACGCTCGTAAGCCCGGAGCCGCTTCCTGGCCAGCCTCGTCATCGCCTTTACTCTACATTGAGGCTGTGCATGGAGTATCCACGTCGACTTCTGGTGGCCGAAATAGAGCCAATTGTGGAAACAGGCTTGGCCCGCCGCGCAGCACGTGAACGCCTATAACTACCGCTGCTAGGGTTGTACAGTAAAGTTCTAGTACGACTGTTCCGATATTGAGAAGACTTCCACGCTGGGTTCCCTTACACTTCGCGGAGCAGCTCTTTCAGGGAATACCAGCCACTACGCGACTATTCTGCGTCTTCAGCAGTACTGCACGGAGACCGCCCCTGCACCAGAAAACCTTCCTGCCCTTGCCCCTCGGTTTAACCGGACCACTCCTGGTATCCGCCGCAGCCGTTGGTCGCCGGCAATAAGAGGACATGTCCGTTGACATTCATTGGGATACTTTGACCGGCGGCTCGGACGGGGCCGCCCTGGCTGAGACTGTACGAGCCTTCGTTCACGATAAATTTCAGCAAGTAACCCTACCACGGTTTATACGCTCTGTCAAGGTCCACTCCTTTGATTTCGGTAGCATTGCACCGGTGGTAGAGCTCAAGGATATTTGTGATCCCCTTCCGGACTTCTATGAAGAAGACGGAAGTGACTCCAGCGGTGAGGATGAGGACGAAGGCTCCAACGAGGAGAGGACTCGCGGCTATACGAGTAGTGAAGATTTCAAAACCGTATCAAGCCGGGGGGACGAGCTACACGTAGCTAGAAACCGTAACCTTGCGGACCTTGCATGGCGGCAGCCGCCGATTAATGCTGATACTCGTTTGCCCGGCCTAAGGACAGGTCTTGGACCTATTGATGTGCTCGGAAGCTCGCTTCAGCGAGCCCCAACTCCAGGTATCCCCGGTGGGACGTCGAACTTGAGCTATTTCCATCTTCCTCTCGGAGCAGGCCTCTCAGGCACTACAACTCCGCTCGCCGCAGTCGCCGGAGCACAATTTCAGAATGGATGGCCGGACCACAACTACCGTACCCACCATCAACCACCTCCGACATCAGCCAGAGATGAGAAATCCGCGCAATACCGTTCAGCAACGGCCCGCTCTCTGACCCCCCCGTCAGCTGGCGATCCCGGCTCTCGACCGCCCTCACAACATCAGCAGAACATGTCGCGACGTAGCTCAAGGGCAGATATCGAGGACTTTGCTATCGACCAGCATGGCCAGTCCAACCTTTCGCGGACATCGTCACCTCGGCGATTTCAAGAGAAAAGCCCAGAAGACGTTCAGGTGGTATCACGAGTCAAGTACGCCGGAGACATCAAGCTGTCCTTGACCGCGGAAATACTCCTCGATTACCCCATGCCTAGCTTCGTCGGAATACCGCTGAAGCTCAACATCACTGGCTTGACCTTTGATGGCGTGGCAATCCTGGCTTACATCAAGAAGAAAGCCCACTTTTGTTTCTTATCACCCGATGACGCAGAGGCTTTGATCGGCGATGATGCGTATCAAGACGGCTCTGCCGCAGACAGTGGTGGAGAACGACGACCGCACGTTGGAGGCCTTCTCGAAGAGATCAAGGTCGAGAGCGAGATTGGCCAGAAAGAGAACGGAAAGCAGGTGCTCAAGAACGTAGGAAAAGTGGAGAAATTCGTGCTGGAGCAGGTGAGACGCATATTCGAGGACGAGTTCGTTTATCCGAGCTTCTGGACGTTCCTCGTCTGAGGAGGCGGCCTCACAACGGGCCGCCTGTCATGTTGCTGCAGTGCCACTACACTGGTGCAACGCGGGAGGTGTCGATATGCAACCTTGACTGCCCAAGGCGGCCTGCAGCGGGAGAGGCGCTGGTGCGACGCGGAAGCCGGCGTAGACATGCGTCAGACGACCTTGCACGTCGTACAGCATAAAGTTGTTCTTGCATCTCGGCATCGGCTTTCGATATTGCCATGCGATGCTGTGTCATACCAGACGCGCAGGGAGGCGTTGCATTGCCGTGTCTCATGTGCTTGCAGACTCCACTACGTGTTGATGTCCATCTAACTTCATCCTGTGCTTCAGCTTCGCTGCATCCAACTTTCCCGATAGAGCTGTATCCCCACGGTTCCAGGCCACATTGGGGCGACGCGTTCTGCAAGGGTTTGCGATGCGCCAAAAAGGGAACCTACGAAACTCGAGTTCATCCAGCACCCTGGCGGCAATGGAGAAGCACTAATTGTCGCTGCTTGGTCCTTAGCCACTTCGAGGATATGCAATTCGCGGAGTCAACCATGGAGTGCACACCGCCTTCGACATTTACATAAGTTCGGTCACTCAGGACCGGATTAGGTCAATGCCATTTGATTCTTCGATTCGCCGAGCACGGTTGGGCTGTACGACGAACCTCATGCACAAGATCCGCGCCGCATTCTGCTGACCCCGAGACTAGCTTGCACAATCTACAGTAGCTGTGGTTCTTATGGTCTCGACCAGAAGTCATAGTCTGTCAGCATGCGTCTGCTATTCCAGCTCGCCACAAATTGCCCAAGCCACCTCACGCAGGCAAATTGTCGCAGAGAGATCTCACAAAGGAAGGAGAGGAAACAGGTATCCGGCGGGAAGTAGGCTTTAAATTGTAAAAACTCCCCGCAAAACGGATATCCTCCCGCGGGGATCATGGTGTGCATCGCGCCCTCGCCATGCTCCTTAGGCACCCCATCAACACCTGCTCTAGAGCTGACCCAGTCGCTCATCAAGCTCAGAGCCAGGCTCTTCAGACTGGATCTAAACCTTTGAACCGGGCTGCGAACTGACAATCCGACGTGGGTTGATCACCAGGGAGACGCCGGTTCGGCCACCTCATGTCCTGAGGGTACTGGAAGGCGCAGATGAGCCGTGATCGTCTAGAGAAAGCGGACATTACCACAGTGTCCTGAGACAGAGGCCACTGGGGAAGACAAGCTTTGAGCCAACAAGCTACAGCGAAGGGGACTTTATCGGTGACAGTCAGGGAGAGATTCTAAAGTACAACGGCCATAGTGACTGAGCCAAGACTTGGGATGACAAGTACACTTGGAGGTTAGCTTTGCCAGTGTATGGCATAGTTTCGAAATATTGTTCGGTATATTAGCAATCATGCTGATAGGCCGGTCGCTTAGCCATTGAGCTCGCCGCATCTGTAGGGATGATACTCTGTGACTATCCTCAGCTCGCTGTGTGGGCGCTCTTGGGCAACGCGAAGCCCTCGTAACCTCAAACGTAGAGGCCTCGAATGGCTATGTAGCTTTACCGTTGGCGAGCTCTATTAGCGGTAGCATCACGTTCAAGCTATAATATGTTGTCTCAGCCTGTCGGTTGAAGGCTGTTAAGGCCATCAGGGTGCATGATCCGGAGCAACATCCGCTGGTTGAGGTGCGTCATCGCCTGCATGCTTCTGCCAGGTTTATCTATCTAAACACAGCTCCCTGAACGTCCACGCATTAATGGGAACGTCCGACCTGCAATCGGAGTCAACTTCGATCAATGCACCTTGAGCCGTAAAGATGGTGCTCAGCCTCTTCTTTGGCGGTATCATCACCGCCATCCCCGTCGTCACGGGCGTCGCAGAAGGTGTCTCGCACCAGAATAAGCAGAATGCCGAAGCCGCCGAGTTGGCCAAGCGCATGATCAAGTTCCACCTGGATGTTTTCTGCGACGCGAAACCCAGCGTGCGCGACAAGGTGCACGGGATGACGGTGGTGCTCAAGAATGACGGGGTCCGTCTGCTTGCCATGATATCTCTCCATCCACAACCTCAACTTTGACAAGCGGCTGACAACGATACACAGCTCTATCTCGCTCCAAAAGATGACGCTGGGAACCCGCTGCCCACCGCCAACGACAATGGTAAAGCGACTCATCCGTTTATGGGCTTCTACATCGACTACCCAGATCCCGAACTACATCCCGACACCCGCGGACTTGTCAGCACCATATCGCTCGACCCGCCCATGCTGAATTGGATATACATGGACAAAGAGACACAGGAGCTCAAATACGGCAACAGAACTCAGTCCCGCGAGCATATTGTCGGACCCTGGGACTGGACCTCCGACGAGCCCGGCAGCGGGCTGACGTTGGACGAATGGGAGGGCTTTGTGGCAGTCGAGGAGGTGAATGAGAAGGGGAAGCTCACGGGCGAATGGACGATGTATTATGATCACTACGACAACGGATTGAAGGGCAAGGTGGAGGGAAGGCGGACGTTGGAGTGCAGACTCGAAAGAAGAATCTGTGCGGATGAGATGCAGCTGGAGCAGAATCAGGTGAATGTAAAAACAAGAGGCAATATCGGTGTGGTTGACCAGTCCGTACGGAAGTGATCTATACTCCCTCTCGGCTTTGCAACATACACAAACTTTGTCGAATCACTCAAACCGCTTGTCATCTGCCAAGGATGGCTTGCAGGGTTATTTATGACAGGCACGCAGCAAATTTCCGACATCTTTACATGCAATGGCGACACATCGTCAGGCACTCAAAAGCTGGCCAGCGCGCCCACCCCCTCCAGGCCCCTCAAGCGAAAGGCCGCCACTGGCAGATATCGCCAGCATCTTAGTCATAACCCTCTCATTATTCAACCTCTCGAGATCATGACTCGTTCCGAATCCACGACTATCCGCTACGCGGCTGGATCATTGCGCGGCTTCCACTTCTCTTCAGATATCTTCTCCACGGAACCTCACGCGTCACCCGGTTTTGCTTACAACTGGGTTGGACACCATGACTCCCTATCAATCTTCCACGAGTTTTTTCGAGACATCACTACGACAGTTCCAATTGCAAGAGCTTCAGAAGCGGTTTGATTCTCTGTTCAAATGCTATGGCGTTACCTCGTCAAGCGCTCAGAAGCCGCCCGGCGTGTCCAACGCCCTCCAGGCCCATCAAGCGCAAGGCAGCCGCGCCGTCCTCGATTCCGGTGCAGCCAAGTTCTCCACCTCCGCCATGCCTGGAAGGATCATTATCGGAGCGGAGCACGAGGCCCGCCTCAGCAGATCCGTGGGCTCAGCCCTGCGCCAGATTCGTTTCTGTAGTCTTAGAATATCCCCTCCAGCCGCTGTTCCTGGTCGAAGAAATACGTGTTCCCATAAGGCCGATTCAGATACCCGCTCTCGATCTCCTCGTCTGGCACGAACTTCGCCTGAACTCGTAAGCCTGTTTTTTCCGCAGTGAGCTCTGGCTTCAGTTTTTCCGCAAATTCAACTTCCATCGGATTCCGGTACCAGGGCGCGAAATGGACTATAGGGGCGTCAGACTCAGCAAGCAGAGCCCAGGTTTCAACCGGCGTCTTGACAGATAACGGTACGGGGCACTTACTAAAGGCGAGCATCACCCTGGGGTCCCGACTCATATTTGGCATTCCGCCGTGCCACAGCCTCAGATCCCGAACTATGATACTCCCTTTCTTGACGACTGGCTGACACGGCCCTCGCTCGGCTCTCCTCTGATCAAGTAGCTCCCGCTTGATCCGTCCACTGGCTCGGTCGCCGTGCTTACCTTCCTGATCCTCGAGAGTGGTGTTTAGATGAGTACCGAGCCAGACCTCGGTCGAGCCATTCTCGGGGGTCATGCCCACTAGCGGTACGTTCACGACCAGCGCAAACGGCAAGTGAGGATGGTCGAAGTCTGCGTCGGTATGTGTGGGCTGAGCGGCTGGCGGTGAGGACTCCGTTGGAGGCAGCGCCGTGTTGCCGGATACGAAGCTCAATCTGGGAAATGGTCCAAGAGTTGTAGAGGTTACCTGCGTGACAATTGGGTCTGTGGTATCGGATTTTAGTATCCGGCTGACCGAGAAGATTAAGCCGCATGGGTCGGCCTCTTTCGAGAACTATGGGATACATACGTACGAAGATCGATGGCTCCCAGCACGAGGCGGTAAGGGGAGGATCTTGTTGAATGTTCCCACGGTTATAATTATATGGGCTGTCCTCCCCTCTTGATTGCAGCTCGTAGGCGTCTTTTACCATTTTCTCGTTCAGCTTGTCTAGCTTGGCATGGTCAACCATGTTTTCCAAGACAACAAGTCCATCTCGATGGAGTGCGCGTGTTGCAATTTCCAGGTTCTGGTCATTTAGCCGGCCAGAGTTGAGCTCAGACTCAGACACATGTACAGACAGAGGCTCTGACGGAAGCTGTGTGGTGCGCATGCTGTTTGGGTTAGAGTTCAAGAATTTGCTGCACAATAACAGGAGCAGGAAGCTGCATCTATAACCACTTTACTGCTTGATATATGGCTTTGCGGTTGTACGGTCACGCTTTCCAGTACCGGCTCAAGGACTTGCTACCCCTCCGCGGGAAGTCCGGAATAGGCAACCCTTCCGCATTGCCATCGGCTACAACCAAGAACCATCCAAAAGCTCGCTGCCCCATTCAAGCTGCTGCTTTTCGCTGTCAGACTTACGACAGAGCTGGACTCGTTATCATATTACAGGAAATAGCTAGGCGGGTTCCACTCGATAGGGAAGCATAATGTCTCAAGCAGCTCAACCTTTTCATGCATCAATCTCTCACACTACCACTCGCTTGTGATTTGTGCTTGCGCCATACCAGCTTTCAATGCTGCAACGCGTTTTCTGGATGAGCTTGGCCTCTGCACACGGTCTTCTTGATTCTATGGCTTTCCTCCGACGCTCCCATCTGCGGTTTTACAAGACACGCAGTGGGTAAAGCGTGATAGCAAGAGCTCATCAACTAGGACTCCCCCTTGAGACCGCTCGAACTCCGCACGCTCATGCCGCAACCTCTTCAGTTCCGTTAAAGGGGTCAAAGAGCTGGTTGCTAAGCGCTTTGGAGACGAGTTTCGTTTTGCTCTAGATACTCGACTTCCGTTCCAGCTGATCCATCAGCGCGTCAGTGAATTTCCCGGAGCTGCTGTTGTGTCCATCTTCCACGGAACTTCTCTTTGCAACGGCGAACTCGGCGATTGGAGTGGACGAGCGTAGAGTTCTCGAGAAACCTGACGTGTGCAAGACCTTTGACCAAGCATGAGGCTTATTCACATTCGCTGAGGGCGTACCCGCCATGAGCGTACTTGCTTGTGGCGATGCGCTGGTAGAGACTAAACCACCTTCCTATGGTGTCGAACGCTTCAAGAGTCAGCCTCCCGGTAGGGCGACAACGAAGACCCTTTTACTTCTTGGTCTTGCCTTTGTCTTCTTCTTCGGTTCCTTCCTGGTCCGACCGTCCCGTGTCCTCCTTATCAACACAGCCTTTCCTGAAGGTTCCGAGATAGATGAGAGCTCAATACTTATATAACCAACCTCTTCCAGTACATACTAGTTAGTGATCGATCACACGCGCGAGTGCGCGGGTATACAGCGAACATAGTGCTGTACGTTCCAGGCCTTTGCAACACATGTCGTTCCAGCCAGTACCACCTCGCTCTAATGCAATTCTGTCTGAGTGACTTCTTGATGAAGTTGGATGCCCTCAATGATGACGGGCCCCGTTCAGGACATCTTGCGCGTCTTACCGTTCACTATTGACGCTAGTAATTGATTGTTATAGTGCTGATAATCTAAACCATAAAACAAAACCTCTATACCGCTCACAGACCCAACCACTCTCCATCCCATAGAGCACCACAAGACGGGGTTTTTGTGTTTATACTTATCGAACTATTCGCAACCCTTTAACCACACCCTACATTGCAAACTTCCAACCGTCTATAGGTGGTGATCATCGGACTTGTAGCCGATCGAAGTGGAAGGGTGTCAAATTTCAGGTCGACTAAGGTGGAGAGTTGGTGATATGACTTGGCAAGCTTGTAAACGTCTACAGGTGGCCGATCACAAACTCTGGCCGTATAGTTGGCAAACCTGTGGCCGGCCATAGTGCTTCTAAAGACTCCGAACTTCTATATGCTCAAAGTCTTGTATCGACTGCCCAGGTCTATCAAATAACACTTGTGGAGAACCTCACGCCAGAGCACAACATGACAATAAAGGTGAGATCATAAGATGAGAGTTCAAAGTAACATCAAGCAGATACTAATCCAGAGCACAGATTTTGGGACGCCTCTTACAAAATCTGCAAAACGACAGCCGTACCTCATACAGTGAGTTCCTAGAAGCATGCCAGTATCCACGTACTCAAGCCGACGTCACATCTCATAATCCACGCCAACGCTATGCAGCCGTGCCCTCTACGTAGGTAGTTCCTGGACAAAAAGCCCCATGTCCAATGGCCCCAAACACCAGGATCTCTTTACAAAAAGCACTCACTCCTCAACGTTGTCCCACCCCTCGGCCTCCCTCTCCTCATACACCTTCATGATATCCTCCGGAAACACCGTCTCCTTAGGAATCGACGCCCTCCCCCCATCAACGACCGGCCCAATCAACGAATTCCACTCCTTCTTCCGTGCCATGAGATCTCTAATCCCCTCGCCAACGCCCCTCCCCTCCCCCTTCACGACCGCAACGCCCTGCCCCGCCTTGGGCACCCCCGGCTTCTTCTTCACCGTCTTGCTCAAACTCCTATTCCGCTTCAGGTACGCGGCGTTGAGCTGGTTGTCCAGGTCGTCGGCAATGGTGCTGTATTCCTGCTGCGCCATTCTCACCTCGGCGAGCTCAAGCAGCCGCGCCTTGCGCGCGCCGTTGATGATGCTTTGGCGGCGGAGCTCGGATTGGAGGTAGCGCAGACGGCCGGCCACGGCATCGTCGTAGTGGGCTGTATAGTCTGGGTTCGTGGCGGGCGGGATGAAACCGGCGTGCACGAGCTCTTGGAGGAGGCGCTCGTCGAGGGTGGCGTAGTCGGGTCGGGGGGGTGGGGAGGAGGATTTCCAGGCGGCGTCGGGGAAGGAGGTTGCGGAGACGGGGCGGCCGGGGAGGTTTAAGTCGTTGACATGGTTCGTGGGCTCGCCGTCTACGTCCATCCTGTCTGGGTCGTGGCTGGTCGTGCCGTTCGCCTCGCCGTTCGTGGTTGCTGTGGTGGTTGGTCGAGCTTCAGGTCGGAGGGTGGAGATTAGGCGCGCCAGAACTGGGCCGGTGGATACGGCATCTGTCTCGGCCACCTCGTCGTTGATGTCTTCTATGCTTCCTCGAGCCTCGTTCGGGTCTGCTGTCTCCTTTTTCACCCCATCCACAGCCATACCGCTGTCCTCTTCCGCCCAGATCTCTTTGTAGTGTCGTGGACCGCGGCGCGGCATGATAAATGGTGTTACCCGATCGCCGCGCTCCTTGAGAAATGCTATATCCTCTTCTGTCAAGGGACGGATGTAGGGCTCGACGTAGTTCGCGAAGACGGTCGCGTTGACTTGATTTGCTGGTTTGGCATTCGAGAAGTCCCTGTCCGGCGGCGTGCCAGGAGTAAGGTCATGGAGGTCATCGTGGGGATACTCGGCCACGCAGTATATCTCTTTCTTTTCCTCCTCTGTCATACCGGGCGTGACTTCGCGGATGTGATAAATAGTGGGATCGGGAAATGTGGTCGGATCAGATCCAAAAACCTCGTAATGTGTTACAGGGTCGGCCGGAGGAGGTTGACGGTCGGCTTCGGAGGCGCTCCTTGAGGGTCCCGCTTCTGCGTTCGGGGCGGTGCCTGCAGAAGGAGGTGGTTGTGATATGGGAGATGACATGGTAGAGGAACCGTCTAATAGAATATCAGTGTTACGAAAACAGAATTTAGTTGAGAAGTGAACATGGCGCAAAGATGCCGTGGATCGGGTGCTGCGACTCGCTTGGACGGCTGCTTGATCAGAAGTTCCATGCGCCTGTAGCGATTCACGCCGCTGGGGCCCTGGTTCACTGGGCATCCTGGTGTGCCTGAGCCCGTTGGGTAGTATAGGTGGTGAAGTCGAACGTGAAAGCCGCGGAGAACAAGTGAACAAAACCCACCTTTATGCACATCCACTCCATCCTGCCTAGCCACACCATGCGCACCCACAGCCGGCGGCCGCTCCTCCTGTGATTCTCTCTTCCTCTTCTCCTTCTTCAGCTTCGCCCTCCTTTCCTCAGCCTCTCTGTCTGACCTTTCCTTTTCGCGCTCCTGCTCGAGTCGTTCCTTCCGCTTCTTTGACAGCTCCCGCATCACCCGATCACACAGCTCTGCCCTCTCCTTCACATGCGCCAGCAATTGTGTCTTTACCGCCTCATGCGCAGCTTGCAAACTCGCAGCTCCAGGTATGTCTTTCGAATTGCCGCTGCGCTCGAATATAGCCTCCACAGTCAAGTCTAGGGGTACAGAGAAGTGCGTGAACGGCGTCTGGATATAGGTCGAGGTGCTGGGTTCGCTCTTGATCACGACGCTGGGACCGGTGGAGATGGGAGTCGTGTTGCGACTTCGTGAGCGCCTGTTGTCGCGAGGCTGGGCTTTACTGCCCTTGCTCTTGCTCGACACGGGAGGCATGATGGGTGGTAAGTAGAGGTCCTGACCGAGAGTTGGGCTCTAAGCAGGCCGTGGAGCATGGGCGATCAACCGTGGTACGGCGTTCGCGTGCGAAGGAAGCGAGGTGGTGCGCCAGACTCAAAGATGGTGGACGTCATGCAGGAACTCGACAGACACTACTCGTTGGCTGCGCTGTGGGTGGTGAGGTTGTGTTTGCGCAGCAGCATCTGCAGGAGCAGCGGAAGCGGCAGATCGACGTGGGGTTGAGGCTGAGGCGGCTGGTTTCTGGTGATGCTTGGCATGGTGTTTGTCGCGGATCGGAGAATCGCCGTCATGGTCGGAGCTGAGTAAGCCAAGTGCCTGAATCGCGTCCCACCGCCGTTGTCGCGTCTCGGCTCTGGCTCGTTCGATACCAAATCCACCATCGAACTGGCCTCGTGATTCTCTCAACTATGGAACAGCTAACCAACTCTACGTGATACGCCCATGTCTCGCTACTAGCACAAACGTCTTGGTGCAGGGTGCACTTTGCATGTTGAGAGAATCTGAGCTGTACCACAATCCAACCCAATTGGAACAGTGAACTGCTATAGATGGCAAAGACCTTCAAGAACGCCGCGCTGGCATACATATTCACATAAGAGACGCCAGATCCCCGCGTCTGCCGTAGATCATCCCAGCGTAAGTCGTCCAGAAACCCAACCACCCTCGTCATACAATGCCCGGGAATATCCGGCTTAAAGCCTTCTTCCACTTCGGTCTCGTCCTATCCCCTGCGTCAGTATCGTTCTCAGCTGTCGCTCTTGGCCCGACTAGAGCGGCTGCCCTCTGTCTCGCCCAATCTCGCCTTCTCTGTGTATTCAGCGGAGGTGGAGGCTCTGGTGGCGGTACGCCTTCCGCCGTCGATGGGAGAGGCTGCGACGATTGTGATCTCATTTCAATGCCTCCCGCCTCCGGGGCGCTGGATATCCGTCGCCCGCCCGTGTTGCCGGCAAAGAAGTTGAGCGTACGTGGCGGTATTGACACTCTCCTTACTGCGCCCTGACTCTGCCGGCGTCCAAAAAGAGCCGATGTGGGGTTGGTGCCAGAAAATGGAGCAGCGTTGGCAGCAGCACGGCGCCGTCCCATCATCCTTTCACGCCTCACCATCGCGTTCGTGACCGTAGCTGGGCAGTATCCGGGTGGCAAGACAGACTTCTTGCACATCGGACAGAGGGAGCTGAGGGTCAAGAGGAAGGAGTCGACGCAGTCAGGATGGAATATATGGCGGCAAGGTAGTTCACGGACCTGCGTCGTGTGGTCGAAGTCGTCCAGGCAGATCGGGCATGTCGGTTGAGTGAAAGCTGTGGTGTTTGTGGGCGTCGGCGGAGTGGTCGTATTCGTGTTCGGCGCAGGGTTGTCCAGCTCTTTCGCTGCGCTATCTGATCTTTGGGGCTCCACAACTGATGGTCCCGAATATGTGTACACCGGCATCTTGTCAAGCACCTCTTGCGGCACGGTCATCCTTTTCAAACCAAGCGCTTCGATGTCAACTTCTCCGGCTATGATGCGCCGGCGAAGAATACTACGCCGTCGGCGTTGTAAGAAGTGCATAACGAGCGAAGAGAACCCGATGACGACAAGTAGGAGACCAAGCACTACGAGTAGGAAGACCCAGAGAGTTGGGAGAGTGGTACGGTTACCTGTATTCCGCGTAAGTAAGGGATGGCAAAACAGGCGCATCAGGTATACGCTAGAAGAACACCTACCGGATGTCCGCACTTCAGCATATAGTCTCGCATGATCGGCCCTCGGATACTTCCGAATCAACTCGTCTCCAAACGGCACGCTGCTCAGGTTGCCAGAGTATGCTGCCGTCTGCTGCATGAGAGTATATCCGGTCAAGCCTGGTATCGCGAATACCGGATAACGACTCGCGCTCTTCCACTGACCTCCGTCTCTCAAGTCCCAGCGCGAGTCCCGCATCGGCGGCGGTTGCATTGTGCTGTTCATGCTCTCGTCGGTCAGGTAGGTGATCATCGAGGCCACATCGTCCTGGTCTGCGGCTCGGAGGTACTCAAGCATACATTCTGGCGAAAACCACGGCACCAGTGCTGTGAGAAAGTACCTGTTGTAACCGGGTAGGTTCGCTCGTCGCGTGGCAGTCTCCGGTACGTAGCGCGCGGAGGCATTTCTGCAGGGTTCGGATGTAAGGTCAGGGACGTAGAGGAGGCCATAGATGTTCGAGCCCATGGGAGAGTCATTGGTAGATAGAGTCCGTATGCTAGTCTCGCTGACGGTGGGATATCGGAAGGAGACATCGGCCTGGTGGCGGGTTGGATTAGCGTCGCGCAGGTTGCAGCAGATAGACGGTGTTGTTTACGGGTAGTTGATCGAGGCGAGCGCGATTCGAGTTTGGGTTTTCGGGGTCGGATACGATTAGAGTCGCGATATCAATGGATGAGGCACCTGAATTGGCATCTGTCAGCTTGCGGTGATGGTAGATTAAGGCTGGGGTGACGTGCTCATGGCGACGGCGGCGGTAAAAGAAGGTCTCACGGCGAGCGCATGCTTTGGCGGTCTTAACGCAGTGCAGGTGTAGCGAACCACAAAGGGATCATGTCGCAGTTACAAACTAGCAGCAGCGCAAGAAGAGATGCAGATGGCTGCGGAGTGGCGGGATATCGAGTTACGACATATCTCAGCCATCCTTGGCCGCGCGAGACTTGGCCGCGATATCCGGCTCCCGGTCGAGATCGGTCAAGTCGCGAGTGGCAGAGGCCTACACGTGACTTGATGCACTGCCCCATTCTTCACCACATCACTGCCTATTATTCCAAATAGGCCTCTTCGGAGGGCTTCGTCAGTACTTCCAAGGTTGGATCTACATCCAGAGCTTCAAACTAGACCGCCAAAAGCATACAGAAAGCCCAGTCGATGCGTGCTTATGCTCTTAAGACGAGGGCACACGGGCAACAGAAATCGCCGGACTCGCGAATCGCCCAAAACTTGTCAAACCCACCAGGCTCAGAAAGATCTATACAGTAACCGCTTTACGTCTAGCTATAGCTTCGACGCGCCTATGGGGCTATATGTGACCCCTCCCGCCTAGGTCCATTGCACGGGCGCCCTTCAAACTTGCAAACAAACCCCTCCTATGAACGCCGAGTAGAATCTGGACGCTCAATCCAGATGCGCGCTCCTCTCCCTCCGCTTGACAAACAGCTCAGTGTCCGGCGCCAGGGAGAAATCACTCAACGTGGTATTCTTGGGCCGCTCATCCAAATGCCTCAAATCGTAGTTCAGCAGGATGTACGCGAACATCAGTTTCAGCTCATGAGCAGAGAAGAAGCGACCAGGGCTGTTTAAAAACCTTAGCGCAGTCCATTGCTGGCATTGAGGAAGGGGTATAAGGTCTGGCGACTTACCAAGCGTGTCTGCCATGCCCGAACCCCAAAAACGTATCCGTGGTGTTGACCAAACCCAACTCTGCCTTTCCGACAAACCTGTCAAAGACGAATTTCCTAGGATCTTCGTAGAAGGTGGCATCGCGGTGGATCTCCGATACCGGCATCCCGATCTTGGTCCCCTTCGGCAGGTAGGTGCCATCCGGCAACATGACACCGCCTTTCTTGGTGACTAGGCGCTCGACACCCCTACCCTTGAACGCAGAGACACGCATGCTTTCGCGCAATGTGCTATCCAGAAGCACGAGCTTTCCAACGGCGGCCTTCGTCCAGACACCGTCGTGTTCGCGGAGGACTGTTGCAGCTTCCTCGCGCAGGGCGGCGGCGACATGTGGTGGTGCGCTCCAGATGTCCAGCATGGCGTTCATGGCAGTGATGGAGGAGGTGTGAATGCCGACGAAGTTCAGCGCTAGCAGCCGGGAGCAGAGGGAGCGCGGGTCTCGGTCGAGCGCGTCGGAGGACTTGACGGCGCACCGGGCCATGAGCTGTAGCATATCCGCCTTGCGTATTTCGTGCTCTGAGGCTTTCGCTGCGGCGGCGAGGTGGGACTGGATGAGCGGGACGAGATATTGTGAGCAGCGCCAATCGTAGTAGCGGCAGGGAAGTGCCATCAGGGGACCGAAGATGGGCTTCAAGAGGTCGGGTATAAGCATCGTGATCATGCCGGACTGCTGGCCGAGAGACATTGCGAATGAGGCTGAGTAATGTATGTAGGTGTCGTTGTGAGCCAGGTCGACGCCAACAAACACTCGTGTCATGACACGAGTAATGGTTTCCCACATCGGTATTGAGAGTCCGACCTCTGTCCATTCTTTGGTGTCTGTTCCAAAGATCCTGTCGATGCACAAAGCGATCTCGTCAACGATGTCCGGCGTTAAGAGGTCAAGGCGCATCTTGTTGAGGCTTTCGATGTGGAAAGGCCGCTTGAACTTCCAGGATCTGGGCGAAGTATAGTTGAACTGAACAGCCTCAATCAGAACTTTTTGGATAGAGAGGACATCGTCCGGTTGATCGACAAGCCATTTGATGTGCTCCGGCGGAAGGACAACTTCCGGTTGATAGCTGATGTTCGGCGTAAGAAAGGGCTTGGAACGTTTGCTGTACTGTGGCCTGGTCAGTCAACGATGAATTGCTCTCTTATAAGGGCTTCGTACTTGCACATAACCCTTCTCAAGATTCTGCCATGTGTCCCACAACTCTCGCCAGCAGGCCCTGGTCTTGGCAAAATATTCGGTCCGCACGCTCACCCAAGGTATGTATTTTGGCTCAACCCGCCAGGCAGTTGCCCTCCGGTGGAACGCCCATATGAACACAAGGATTCCGAGGTAGTAGGTATGTGCAGACCAGCCATCAAGACTGAACGGGATAGTCCACGCCATCGCCGCGGGGCCCTTTGCGGGTTATATCCGACGTAATCTCGAGTTCACAAGTGATGTCCAGCGAAAGCGCGTTGAAACCGGCTTGCGAACATGTCTTTGACTGGAGAGTTTGTTTAGCGAGGAACAGTAGCTTTACTGGCGCGTATGGCTTTGTTCGCCGGCACGCCGTTCATCGGGCCAGGCAGTACAGTATTAACCGTCTTCCTTTGTCTGACATCGGCGATTCAGCAGCCTCATGTGCACTTGCAAATTCTCGGTAACGATGCGTAATGTAAAGCCACTATGGTTGCTGCTGCAAAGTGCCTCAACTCGAAAACTCCAACCTCCTGGAGCTTTAACATGTATTCGAATGGGATGCTCATGGAACGCGAAAGTCGGACGAGGGGAAGTCAGCGTCTAGTACACTGATTAGCAACGCGTTCTAAGCGCAAAACAAGAGCCAGTGTGGAAACGGCTAGTGCTGCGCATCGGTCGTTGCCAGAGACCGACCTCAACATGTGGACCTATTCACTTACGCCATGCTCCGTACACGTGAAGGATGCTGTCACCGACTAGGTGACTTCATCAGGAGCAGCCGGAAATGTGCACAAGACCTTGTTGACATAGCAAGTTACCGCTTCATAGACGTGATGCAACTGCAAACTCACTTAGCGGTGACCTATTGTGCTAACGCAGGATCAGCCCCAATACGCAGCATAATGCTGTGGGTAAACTGCGAACACCTGCTCATTCGTCATTCAGCTTGCGTATCTTGAAGAACCACTGTGGCATGAGCTCTCTTAACCCAATTCCAAGACACAGCAAGAATCTGTATTGAGGGACTCCGAATAGAGAACCAAGACTGTGAGAAACAATCATGGCGAATCCCGAGTTCCGGTTTCGACTGCGCGACCACTTTGGTAATCCAGCACGATGGGTAAGTTGCTCCTCCTTTGGCTTGGACATGCATGGTTCTGACCTACTATAGCCGAAAACACTTAATGATATGCTTATCGAAAGAACTTTCGAGCTGATCGAAATCTCGCCGCCTGTTCGTCGCGCGCTCGAAGGCAACCGCCATGGCGATAACGAACTGGATCTGAACTTCTCCAACCGTGGAATGGTGCAAGACCTCATCAACTACTATGACTCGCTTGTTGGCTCCTTCGCAGCCCTCGAGGGGATGCCCGAGCAGACATGGCCCGACGATCTCCAGCGGTGGAACAGGCAACGGGTTCGAGCAAGGCGCCGTCCTCTGCGAGAAGCCATCAACCAAGCTCGATCGTTTGCGGAGACAGACCTTGCGACTTTGCGGTGCTTTCTTGTCGAGCGCCATCACGTTGCAGCTACCGAGGCAGGTCCGTCAGGGACATATGTAAGACCGGCAAGGGGACGAGGTGCTATTAATGAGCCGCTGAGCCACCGTGGAAACCGGGCTGGTTTTCCTGTAGCCGGTGGAGAATTCGTACCAATTGATGAGCTTTCCCGACGACTGGCGGAGACACTGCAGGTCGAGGACGACCGCCAGAACCAGAATGCAATGACAGATGTATCACAGCGCTTAGCAGAGGATCTACAGAGAGAGGAAGCCGACCAGCAGAGAAGAGCTGCGGCTGAAGCCTCGAATCGGCTTATCAACCAGTTCCGAGAGGAAGACCGCCGCCAGAAACAAGCTGAGGATGAGGCCTCCCGCCGGCTCGTGGAACGGCTGCGGGATGAAGGGGCGCGTGAGCGAAGAGAGAGAGAACAGGCCTCAGAGCGTTTAGCTGCCGACCTCCGGAGGCAAGAAGAATTGCGCCAACAACAAATGGACGAAGAATCACGCCAGCTTGCAGCTCGGCTGCAGGAGGAGGAGGAAGCCTTTGAGAGGCAGATACTCATGAACGAAGCACCAGTACCCTCAGGAAGACAGTTTGAAAGGGAGGAAAGGGGAGACTACAGAAGAACGATGGACAGACAACCTCGTCAGCACGCTGAACGCCGGCGACCGGAGAACAACGGCGAGGAGGGTGGGGCCGCTGCAATTCGGGCTGGCGTTAGGCGACAGGCAGAACCCAGAGACGACCATCGGCATAGAGAGAGGCCACTCGGAGGTGGAGCCCTGGCGAGAAGGCGAGAACAAATGGGTGAACATGATGACTGGGAAGAAGAGCGGTAGCGATTGTTGGCGATGTAAATGCGTTCACCAATAAGCCAGGCCGACGACAGCGGCAGAACGAGAACTTGGATGATTGGCACCGGCGGTTTATGAGAGAGCCTCGACAGGGGCCCTAGGGACTTTGTAGACTGACTTGAAGCGGCTTAGGTAGGTATTGTGGCAGACGGAGGTTGGCCAGAGTCGAGTACGACGGTGTTAATTCTTGACTGTTGAATCAGGCAGCGTATAGTATGATATTGAAACGACTTGCCGAGAGCGGTTGGTTATGTTGAAAGTTGTGTTCGTAACAGTCGTGATATGACAGCGCTTTCAACTCTAGTAAAGCTCGACAATCCCGTCCTATCATGCTTACCATACCACATCCATCAACTGGGTCTCAGGGTTTAGTACCCTTTTTGCTGAGTCCAAAGTTGATTTGCACGAAGAAGGCTGTCTGCCGTTCATCGCTGATGGTGCACTCGGTGAAAACCCACTTTCCGCCCCGCCAAACGCGCAGGACCCTCTATCTAGGTAATCGCACTGCCCATATCGCTCCCTCCGTACTGCAAATTCAACACCGACAACATGGTGTACGATTGGGATGGCAAGGAAGCGGAATGCTATCGCTTGTATGTCGAGGAGAGGTTGACAGTCGATGCTGTCATGCGGCACTATGCCTCTCTTGGGTTCAGTAAGTAGGGACACCGTTTACATCCACTCGTGCAACTCTGACAGAGGTTTGCAGGCCCCAGCAAGCGTGCATTCCAAACACAGTTCAAGGTATCCAGCACGCCCTCGCCCACTATTCGATCAACCGGCTGACGACCGAGAAGCGCTGGGATTTCCCGAGCAAGCAAAATCCCGCTCACAAGAATGAGGCGCTCGTCGCCAGAGTCAAGGAGCTATGGGAGAGGAACACAAGTCAGAAGGAGATGCTGCGCATCCTCAATAGCGAGGGCTTCGATATCAAGGAGCGGGAACTTATGAGGCTGCGCGCCAGGAATAGATGGCTGCTGAGGGTACCCAACGGCATGCAGGCCCGAGGCCACGCTGCTCCACCTACTCCGCAAGCAGACAACGAGACCCATAATTCCGCGCAAGGAACCTACCCCGACGCTGCTTCCGCATCAGTAACGCCGATAGAACAAACCGAAGCGGAACGGGAGGCTTCTCCCGAGCCACTGCCAGAGGTGCGTCAGAAGAGACAGCTTCGCCTGAACAAACTTCAAACGGAGAGCGATGAGCGTTGGCGAACTCGTAAGCGCAGACGGCGAACACGCGGATGGGCAGGCCTGCCTGCCGACCCTCAAGGACCCCCACGGTTTCCTTCTGAGACCACCATCGACGAGAGCAAGCTGTACTTGAACCTGGACAACGCACAATATCGGCAAGTACGGGATCAGTTCCAGGATATCTGCGAGGAGGAAGGCGTTGCAAAGAAGACCATCGCCGGCGCTGAGAAATGGCAAGCGGTCAAGGACAGGCTCGTCAGGGAGAACCAACACTTGCAGGCCGCTATTTGGAATGATCAGCTGCACACGCCGGCGCAAAAGGCTCTTGCGTTAGACGTGGTTTGCACAGACGTCACGAAGCGTATGCGAACTCTCGAACACAGGATGACAATAGCAGAAGCGAAGAATGCTCTCTCAATCAACCCCGAGGAGAGCAGGCAAATCAGAAACGCTTTCTACGCAATCCTCAAAGCCGATTGTTTTACAAGTAAGCTTGAGGCCGGTGACCAGCATTGGCAGGAATTGAAGAGACAGTGGATCGCAGACTCGGAGCTACTTCAGCGCATACTTGCCCCTGGAGCTTCAGACCCAGACCATTTCCTTAAGGTCAAAGCTATTGAGGTCCTCTGCCGGGATGTCATGAAACGACTGCGCGACGACCAAACCAAGCGCGATCCAACGCGGAAGAAGCAAGCCAGCAGTGGCCCTGGTCCCGGCCCAGCTCCACCCAGGCCGGCCGCTCAATTGAACGTTTCAACGACACTTGACCACACCAGCACTGCCTCCACTGCGCAAATGACGCCAATCCATACCAGCTCCGAGCAGCTCGCCACTTCCCACTCTGACTTGCAGATAGATCCTTCCCTCCTTCTAGCCGCGCATGACTCCTCCATAGCAGCAGCACAACACCAGCAAGCCTCACACGATCAACAATCTCAGTACAGTGCAGCAAATCACCAAGCGTCCGCATACCCCATCAACAGCTATGCGCCAAGTGCCTACCCGCCCCAACCGCAAGCCATCGCCATCTTCTGCCGCCTGTCTGCCATATCGCCCGTTCAACGGGAGCCTAAGATCTGGCTGGATGTTCTGGCGACTGGCACCATTGCAGAGCTGCGGCACCTTATTCTGACTAAGCATCCCGGTACCGCAGTCGCTCGGCTTGAAGGTGTAGTAAGCGACCAGAATGTTCAAGACATATTGTATCCTTTGGATCGAGATGATGAGTTATATAGCTATCTGGCGCATGTTTCGGGTGGAAAGGCGACTTTTGTCGTGCATCTTGTAGAGAGTTACACTTGAGGCAAAGGGAGGATTAGCGTCTAGCCGAGGGCTTTCGGAGTTAGAGTAAAGTAATCATTGGGGTCAAGCCCACATGATACTACATGTAGGACAAAGCTCACTTCTGCGAGAAAGCGACCAGCGAGCGGCATAGCCAGCTGCGGCTGATAAGGCTGATAAGTAGGGCTGCATAGGAGCTGAAGATCCTGGCCTAGAAGAATCGCAGCGATTCACAGACACAGCACTTGGCCTCAACCTCTAGTATCTCTTTGTCTTTCATGCTACCGCTCTCTAGTGCAATTCCAGTTGCGTCGCTTATCATTTCTACGCAGTGCATACAACTGCTTCCTCTAAAGGCTGTGTCCGGTTACGACAGTCAAGAAAAATTAGCAGCACCGAGAATGCATATGCTAACGCCATCTATAGGAGCATCAATCGATTGAGCCAACATCGACTTTCAGCTCATTCTTAGCAGCGTCCGCCAAAGCGGGAGCTTACGCATTCAACCACTGCCGTTGAATAACACACTAAACTTAGCCTTGATGTTGTCCTGTGTAGCAAGCTCCACATCACGACTGACGAGACTGATTGCCGTCCACCCGCAGAACCCCAAGGCTACGCGCGTTGAGCGCGAATTGTGGTGACCAACCATGAGCTGCCGGCATTAATGCAGAAAATACAGCGCCATCAGCTACGCACAGCTCGTACCGCTTTACAGTATGCTCATCAGTGCCAGACGGTTACAAGGCAGGCAAACACGGCGTCCAAGTCCTATGACACCGGCCTCCTCGGCCGCTGATCCTCGCTTCGTCTGACCACCCCAATTCGCAGCGCGCTGTCCGCCGGCGTGAATCCGCACGAGGATGATCAGATGCACGATGCATGTAAGACGATATCTTGCATGTCCATTGGCTTAGACCTTCAGCACAATGTGGGTCTTCTTCCTGCCATTTGTTTGAACTTGTCAATGAGTACTGGAGGTCATCCGTACACGGAGGATTAGTTTGCCTGCTTTTGCCCGCTTTTACTCCTAGGTAAGGATGGTAACACCTATTGCATTTAAGCAAGTGCTGCACGGTCAAAAAAGCCCAAGGCCCTACGACGCTTGTATCTAACCTTTAAGCTCTCACTCTCTGTTCACTACTAGCAGTGATAGCCGCAGTCCAGCATTGATCAACATAGCGAAGCCTTCATCATGTCACTCATCACTATCAACGGCCATTCCCTTGACATTGAGGCACCGGTCGTACAGGCTTTGAGCATCAACAAGCCTGATGCTAGAGACTCAAATTACATCCTGATCCAGACCAATGGCGACCCGTCGAGGAAAGCCGAGAAGACCGAGCTCGACGGCATGCGCGTGGGGATTGAGGAGTACGTCAGCGACAACACCTACCTCTGTACTTACAACCCCGAAGATTCCGACAAGCTCCGCAAATTGCCGTACGTCAAGTATGCCAACGTCTACCTGCAAGAGTTTGTCGTTCAGCCAAGTTTGAAGACCGGGAGTAATGCCTCGAGCACCAGCGGCCTCGCTGCCACAAGGAAGACCCTCGTGCTCAAGCACGTCGACATCGTCCTTCACAGTGACGTCGAAATCTTCTAGGATATCCTGACCTAGCTCGCTAGGGCCGCCCACGCAGAAATCGACGAAAAACTGTTCGCCAAAGAGAGCAACAAGCTCCGCCTCGCTGTACAGGAATGATATCTTGACAGCCTTGCCGCCATTGATGCAGTCAAGTACATCCAAGAAGTGCACCCAGTGAAGTTGCATAATAACGTCGCGCGTGGCATCCTGGAAGCCGGTGTTACGATCAACGACACGCCGTACAAGGGCAAAGGGGAGATTGTCCGTGTTGCGGATACGGGGTTTGTCAATGGTAACGATTCGAGCGGCGGGGGACACCGTACGGCGTTTGGGAGTCGAGTGAGGAAGCTCTTTCCCCGTAGGGGTCGTGGTGAGTATCATTTGAAGTGTTCTTTGATGAGTCTAAAGACAGACTTTGCTTTGTTGCTTAGGTAAATTGATGATCCTGATGGTCACGGTATGCCGTCCCTAGTTCGCCGCTATACAGTACCCTAAGTATCACCGTCATGAAACCTTTCCCCTCTAGTCCCTCGCTTTCACTTACCCACCTGCTCTCGCACTCCATCCAGCCTGCCTACTTCTTGCTAGCACCAGATGTATTTAGGCACCCACGTCTGCGACTCCGTCCTCGGCGACGGTGATCACTCTACGGAAGGCAGGATCGAAGCGCTAGCCAGCGAGGCGGAGCTCATGACGCAGTCGCTGTTAAACCGCAACAACGGGCTCGGCGGCATTCCTGATGACTTGAACGTGCTCTTTAAGCAGGCCTGGGATGAAGACGCGAGGATCCACACGAACAGCTGGGAGAGCAGTCTTACATTGCCGGGCCTTCAAGTATCTTACGGCAGCAGCTCAACCGCTATTGATAAATTTGTCTGCGAGCATCCTGAGATGGTAATCCTCTTTGCAGCCGGAAACGACGGCACCGACCGCAACAAGAACGGCCAAATCGACCCTGCGGACGTTGGGTCTGAAGCTGCGGCCAAGAATCTTCTTACCGTCGGCGCAACGGAGAGGCTGCGGCCAGACATCAAACACGAAGCTCGATTAGGAGTTACGAGCTCTACGTGGGGGGCTTATTGGCCAGGCCGTTACTACACAGCTCCTATCTTCGCCGATCACATGGCTAGTAACTCGCATGGCATGGCTGCGTTCTCCAGCCGGGGACCTACCAAGGAGAGAAGGTACAAGCCAGATGTTGTTGCGCCGGGGACGTCGATTTTGTCGGCGCTGTCGGGTAAGGTTTTGGAGGTACGTTCATGTTTTCTTCCCCGCTTTCGCCTTTGATCTGTTGGACGCAGCTCTCATGAGGGCAGTTGATACAACTAGTGAGGGTGACCAAACCGACATGACTTGTATGACAAATGTCGGTGCTCATCATCCTCGTATGTCCGAGTGTTCGGCGGGATGCGCTGTTCGAGCATTTCACCAAGCTTCTTTGCTCACATCTGGGTACCATGGACGTCCACTGGTTGACATACTCGCAGGTGCTCCAGGTGTTCGGCATCTCGGGGGATGAAAAGTGGTGGTACTGCAGCGGGACTTCGACGGCCACTCCTCTCGTTGCGGGATGCTGCGCCGTCCTCCGTCAAACTTTGAGGACGCACAACAACATCGAGAAGCCTACCGCCATTCTCATTAAAGCGGTCCTCATCAACGGAGCCGTCGACGTCGACGGCCAGTATCATCCATCCGAGGTCGGGCCGGCGCCGCCGAACAACTTCTTCGGGTTTGGGCGGGTGAATGCCAAAGGTTCTCTCATTGACAAGCAGGACGCTCAGAACAAACGCTCAGGCTGCGGGCAGAGCGAAGAGCCGCTGAATGATGACGACGAGTCCTCCTTCACTATTCCCTTTCCGAAGAAAGTCGAGGACGACGACAAGCCGGCTTTTGCGGAAGGCGAACCTAAACAAGCGGCATTAGGCGCAGCCCCTACCGTTTCCTCCACTCCCGGGAGCCCCCGCACGCTGAAGATCACGCTCGTATGGTCTGACCCGCCAGCTGAGAAGCTGCAGAATGACCTCGATCTTATTGTTGAAGCTGGTGGCAAGGAGCGACATGGGAACATGGGCAAGAAGCCCGGCTTCGACCGACAGAATAACGTGGAGCAGGTACTTTGGGCGGGATACCGGGAAACGAGGTCAAAGGTTACTGTGAGGGCGTATAGAATTACTAAGGGGCCACAGCACTTTGCCTGTGCTTGAAAGATTTTGTAGGAAACGAGCTGGGGTTTGAGACGGTGTACGGAGACCCCGAGAGGTGAAATGGTTTGTTTCGGAAGCTCGCTAGCTATTTTGTGTCGCTCTTCACTAGAATTGATAGTCGTATACAATAAATTTCCTTACTGTTACTACTTTCTAAATTCATTCTAGGCGGAGCTGTGGTGCATGTTCAGATGGGGGAGCGACGTTTATCTTGCATCTTGTAGAGAGCTGCACTTAAGGTCGAGGCAGGAGTAGCGTCTGACGGATGCTTTGGGGGCTGGAATAACGAAGTAATAGCTGAGTTAAGACTTTACTAAATCCGCGAGTTTCTATGCAAGTCAGCACAACGCAATCCTTCGCGCTTCCGCTTCGTTTGTGATTGGCCTCGAATTGATCTGTTATCACTTTGCACGCGTCGCGGCGGAGTTAATGCTAAAGTCCGGCGTCACGATTGGAGTAGTCCTTAACATAAATTCTAGAAAGGCGCCTACACCCGGTCTCCTAAGCAAGCTGTCTTCTTCGGTCTAAATTTGAGATTCCAATTGATCCCTGGTTAGGGTCTTCCCATCTTCCAACCCATTTGTGATCCTCAAAGCCACCAAGCATGGCCCAAGAGTATGCCAGCAAGCAGCCGCAGGGTTTCAAGAACCACATTGAAAATGTTGCCATCGTCGGGGTAAGTCACTGTCCAAGGTCCCACGAGATGATGCGGCATTCGCTCACGCTCTTGAAGGCGGGCGGCCAATCAGGCAAATTCATTGTAGAGGAAATGCTCAAGAATGGCAAACACAATATCACCGCCATCACTCGTGCAGGAAGCACGAACAAGGTGCCCTCAGGTGTGGCTGTCAAGAGGGTCGACTACAACGACCAGTCATCCCTAGTTGAAGCCCTCAAAGGCCAAGACGCCCTTGTCATCACCATGGGTGTCACAGCGCCACCGGATCAGCAGACCAAGCTCATCGAGGCTGCCGCAGCAGCGAACGTGCCATGGATCATCCCCGATGAGTTTGGTGCAGATGGATCGAATGAAGAGACAAGCAAGGACATCCTCATCGGTCCACCGAAAAAGAAGGACCGCGACCACATTGAGAAGCTGGGCAAGAGCTCCTGGATTGGCATCGCCTGCGGCGTCTGGTACGAATTCAGTCTGGGTGGCGGGCCCTACAGGTACGGCTTTGACTTCAAGAATCGAACCGTCACGTTCTTTGACGATGGCACCACACGCATCAACACCAGCACCTGGCCCCAGACTGGCCGCTCTGTCGCCAATCTGCTCGCGCTGAAGGTGCTGCCGGACGATGAGAGCGACAGGAGCCCGTGCCTGGCCGGTCTCCGGAACAAATTCGTCTACGTCTCGTCCTTCACCATTAACCAGAAGGAGATGTTCGATTCGGTCCTGCGCGTCACTGGCACCGGTCCGGATGACTGGCAGGTGGCTCACGTGCCTGTCAAGGAGTACTATCGTGAAGGAGTGGAGCAGCTGCAGCGCGGGAACCGTGTCGGGTTTGCGAAGCTGCTGTATTCGCGGATGTTTTTTCCGGACTTGGCTGGCAATTTTGAAGCAACCAAAGGCTTGGACAATGACAAACTGGGTCTGCCTAAAGAGGACTTGGACGAGTTCACGAAGATCGGAGTTCGTTTGGCGGAAAGCGGCTACTTTGACAACGAGGGCGCTTGATCGTTGACGGTCGCATGGATCTTATTCTGATTTTGAATAGCAGTTAGAGGTTGTGCACACGCCGGCGCAAAGGAAGCTTAAATCTGACAAGACTGAGTGTGGGATTGAGAAGGCTTCCCTGTACTTCTGGGAAGAGGAAGATGATATTACGCAGAAAATAAAGTAGCTATCTGTTATACTATTCTCCGCACGAGTTGATCAACCACGTGAGCTTCGAGCTGCCCCTCTCGGTAGCGATATTAGGGGTCAGCCCGCAGATGAATCAAATGGCATGCGGCGCTCAGATCGACCTGCTACTCTAAGGGCCTAGCGCCATGAAGCCATCCATGCCTCAGCTCCCTGAACATAGCCCGAAAGCCTACCGTGACAGCGTATCGGATACACGTACTCCAACGCTGAAGGCCATCAAAGCAACGCCTTGATAATGCGTATCTCCTCCCCTCGGTCATTAGTCCCAGCAAGCGATAGCGAATCATCAACTCACCACGAAACACCCCCAGCGCCCTTCCTGTTCCCCATAATACTCCAGCGCCGGAAGCAAGCCAACAAATCCCGTTCCTCAAGTAAGTTCCATACCCTCCTCATCCCCCTCATCCGCAATCTCCGTATCCTCCGCCACCAGACTCGTACTCCTCTTCCTCGGATTCCCCGCGCCCCCAAACCCGAACCTCGCCCCGCCAAGTCCACCAACAGCCTCAAGCTCATCACCACCAACAACCCTCCCATCCGTATCCACCTCCTCGCAGAGCTCCGTCAGCGCCCTCCTGGTCAGGCTCCTGAAGCCATCAGTGCGCACGACGCGGCCCCAGTACAGCATGCAGAATTGCGCCGCCCGCTTCTTCAGCCAGTCTTCGCCAGCCGTCGCAGCACGCTCCCAGATCGTGGCCGCGTGGTCGACGTCGAGTTCCTTGCCGAGCCTGTTGACGCAGAGGAGGCGCAGACGCGGCATGTCGTAGATATTCGCCATGACGAGCATGCCCGCGACGTCGGTGAGCGAGGGCCCGTGGACAGGGTGCGGCGCGATGCTGTCGGTGTAGAGGTAGTACAGAAACGAGCGCACCGCGCTGTAGGGCTCGGGGATGTGCATTTTCTTCGTGTGGAACTCGACCATCTGCGCCGAGTAGAGGCGGGAGAAGTGCGGCCAGCGCGCCTGCAGAATCATCTTATGCACGTGTATGGGGGCTGAGGTGGTGGGAGATTGGGCGTCGGCGATGGTGGAAGAGTCATCGGGGCGGTCATCGTCTTCGTCGCGCTCGCCCGTGATGATGAAGTCGGCGCCGCTGCCGGTTTCGGGGGCCTGGTCGAAAGTCCGCGCAAGGTCGGCGCCGATGCCTGAGAGGTGCGAGGAGATGTTGGCGTCGGAGGCGGGGATCTTAACTTGGTCTGGCCGGGATTCGAGCGTTAGGCTGTTACCGAGCATACCTAGCTTCCTGAGGTCAATTGGTAGAACATCGCTCAAGTACTCGCCGGGGTCAGCTCCGCCGTTGTTTGGCTGCTCGGTCGGACATCCAAGCAGCCACGCGTGGGTTGCATCCTCGTTCATCGCGCAATAATGCCATCGATAGTTCGGATTGAAGAGGTCCTTTCCGTCTGCAAGCTTCTGCCACCGGAGTGTGTCGAGATCCAAAGCAGACAGGCTCGTTTCGAAAGAGGAGATGACGCTGGCGGGGGTGACAAAGTCCAGCAAGCATCCAGAAGAGAAAGCGTGAAAGTGGGTACCGATCGCCTGTGTTGGAAGATTCGGGCTGGAGACGAATTTGAGCGTGGATATCGCGCCTGGAGCGACAGGGGGAGTGCGCGACATGAGTTGCGTGGGATTGCTCTGGACACTGCTTGTGTTTGCGACGTAGCCAGTGGAGCCGGTGGCAGGCTGAGTCGTTTGGCTGAAGAGACGCCGGTCATATCGAGCGGGCAGCGCTTGGCGAGTGCCTGTGCCGATCGTTGCGGGAGAGTCGAATGCCGGGCTGCCTCGCAAGTCGAGCCACCAGATCTCGCTCGTCCTCTCCATGTCTTCGCCCAGCCCGCCAAAGACCCATATCTTCCCATCCCATATCCAGCTGGTGTGATCGTAACGAGGCACAAATCTCCACGTGCGAGACCATGTCCAGGTCTTCAGATCGAGGTAGCAGATGTCGTCAAGAACGTAGTTGTCGTGGCCGGTCATTCCTCCGATGACATACAGCTTGTCGTCGTGTATCACGGCAGAATGGCGAGCTCTTCCCCGAGGCGCCGGACCACTGAGCTCCGGCTGCAGCCATGTTGCTGTCTTGAGGTCGAAGATGACGATGTCTGAAAGGTACGCTCTGTGCTCGTTCTCTCCACCATAGACTAGGAGCTTGTCACCTTGCCAGAGGTTGGCAGTGTGGCCCATCCGCACGCCGGGGATGTCTCCATAGTTGTCCACGAGGTTCCACTGTCTGGTCACAAGGTTGAGGCGCAGCACATGATTGTAAACTGCATTTAACGTCAACAAACACTGCACCCTGAGGCCGAAGAGTGCAAGGAGCCTCCCATACCTTCATCGGTGTACTGGTCAAACCCTCCGAAGGCGTAGATCTGGTCATTGCCGACATAGGTCACCGATGCGTTCACGAGGCATGCCGGCTTCGCTCCAACGGTCGTGATAATCTTCGGCTTGTAGCCATCGCTTTTCCTTGGCCGGACAGGGCTCGCGGACATTTGAAAGGTGTTGTTGGAGGCTTGGGAGATGTCGGAGACTCGCGAGACGGGACTACCGACCGCAGGGACCGTCGGAAGGGTAGCAGGCGCTGGAGTGAAGCTCATTGCATCCATCCCTAGTTACTGAGCCATTGAGGTGAGCATCGACGCTGGGCAGGGCTGAAGACGCTTTCCCGGCGCTTACCTGGAACGGCTACTGGTGAAGGACAGGGATGGGCTCGTTTCGCTCTAGTTTCGCTCTAGTTTCGCTCTAGTTTCGACACCTCAGGCATTCCACGACCCACGCGCTCGTCATGTGACCCGTTCCCCCAAACAGATCGTACCGAGTAGACTTGAGGTTGATAAACACCGCCTGCACCCCTGTCGCACAGTAGTCATGTCGCTCTTCAGGGGACGTGGCGGCTCTCAAGTCGTAGAGTACGGGAGCTTTGCTGCAATGGTTCAGAATCTGCGAAAGAGGGAAAGGAGAGGGAAACACCACCGTGTACATCCGCACTACCGTGCATTAAGTCAGCCTTCGTCGAGCATTCTGTTCACAACTTGAATGTCTCGTCCTCGCTCTGAGGTCATCTGTATAGTATCTCTCGGCAACATCTCCAAGATCTAATCCTTCCAACCCCACCTCCTCTTCACAAACTTAAGCACATAAACCAGCCCCACGAGCACCGGCACTTCAATGAGCGGCCCCACCGTACTCGCCAGCGCCTGTCCACTCCCCGCGCCATAAACCGCGACCACGACCGCAATCGCCAGCTCAAAGTTGTTGCTCGCCGCCGTAAAACTTTGCGTGCAGCTGACCCTGTATCCAAAGCCGAACTTCCAGCACGCGTAGACCGTGGCGCTGAAGACCAGGAGGAAGTACACGACCAGCGGGGCGCAGACGCGCAGCACGGATGTGATCTGGGAAACCACGTGCGCGCCTTGCGAGGCGAAGAGCACGATTATGGTGTATATAAGGCCGATTAGACTCAGGGGGCCAATGTAGCGCAGGAAGTGGAGCTGGTATCTGCGCTCGCCGAGGAGGCGGCGGAGGACGAGGCGTGTTATTACAGCGGCGCCGAGCGGTATACCTGGTACGGCTGCTTAGCTTGGGCTTTGATAGCGGAAGTGAGGAGAGCTTACCGAGGAAGACGGCCACGCTCGTAGCAACCTTGCTATAGCTCACATTCACGGCGTTCGAGCTCCGACTCACGATTCTGATGTAGAACACCGCAAAGGGCGCAAACAGCACGATCTGGAGTATGCTGTTAAACGCTACCAGCACGGCGCAATAATCGCCATCCCCGCCCGCGAGATCCGTCCAGATGAGCACCATGGCGATGCATCGCGCAATGCCCACGAATATCAGACCCTCTCGCAGGTCCTGCCGGTCTGGTAGGAAGGCCCAGGCGAGACCGACCATGAGCAGCGGCGCGATGATCCAGTTCAGGACGAAGGAGAAGGCGATCTGGATCCACAGCGCGCGATGCGAGAGGAGGAGGTGCAGGGTTTCGTAGCGGACTTTGCAGAGGATCGGGTACATCATGACTAGGAGGCCGACGGCTGTGTCTCCTTGTCAGCACCCGCTCTCATAGCTCTTGAGAGTGCTGTGAAGGAGGGAAACAAACCAATCGGCACGCTGACGTCCACGAATGTCCCCTTCTGCAGCGCCGGGCCCGTCGAGGGCACAAAGTTCCCCAGTATGATTCCAATCGCCATGGCGAGAATGATCCACACAACAAGGAAGCGGTCGAGAATCGAGAGACCTTTTAGCGGTGGGGCGTCTGGCTCGTTGTCATCTGTTGATCCAGTCAGTATACCCATACCACCATTGTACCCTAGGCATCTCACCTGTCTGGCCTGATCCCAAACTCCCCTTCTCAACATCCCCCGTCCTCTCGCCATCAAGCCGACCGTTCTGCTCGCCGACCCTCCCAAGACCAGCATCAGGGCGGTCGTCGTAAGCGACAGAGCGCTCTACGGTATTCATAATGCTTGTACAGCTGTTTGGTGTACTGAATAGTCCATTGCCGCGTCGGAGTGTTGGCTTTATGGTCGGTGTCTAGCTGTGGAAATCTTTGGGCGATGTCGTGGCCGGCCAATCGGAGGCGGAGTGCATGTCACTTTGCCTTCCTGTCGAAAAGCGAGCGGTGACATGCCGCCAAGACGTAGTTTTCGGTACGACAGCTGTCGCGCGGAGCTTCTGATGATCGTGCGAGGGTGAGACGAATGGTGGGGTGCTGGTGACATTCGATGAAGCGAGAGACTGCGGTGGGCTCGAACATAATCACGCACAGCTGGATTTGTCACGTGCTTCCCCGAGTACAACGGTGTTTTGCCTGAAAGCAACCTCCTACAGCAATTACCAAGTCCAAATTCTTGCTATGGAGACTGCATCACACCTTCTCAACACTAATCCTCTCCTCTCTCACATGTGTTCCGCTCCTCCTGCATTAAAATAATCGGTCCCGTATACCCCCTCGTCCTCTTCCACATCCACCACAAACTCATAAACACCGTAAACCCACCCGTGATCAGACACGTATAGTTCATGCTCGCCGCATCAAACGGCATCGCATAGGGAAAACAGTAGATGACGATGAAAACAATAATGTACACGCAGCTGATGCCCCCTACTGTATTGGCGACAGCAGCGGGCATCCAAAACGGGCCACGCATCACATAGCGGCGTTGGGTCAGGAGATGCGGCAGGATGGCCGCGAGGTATGACAGCGTGGTCAGCACGACGAACGAGCCTACGAACGCACTGAACGCGGTCAGCGATCCGACGTAGATACAGCCCAGCACCGTCACAATGATACCACACGCGACGGTCGCGTTAAACGGGTTCTTCCACTTCGGACTGACGCGGCTCAGCAGCTTCGGGAACGGCGTAGCTTGGTCCCGCGCGAGGGTCCAAAGCATGCGGCCGCAGGTGATGTGAATTCCGATAAGCGCGCAGCAGAGCGGCAGGAAGACGATGAGAAGAAGACCTAAGGACCCGCCACGCGTCGTGGTGGCTTGCCTGTAGACTTCGGCCAGCGGGATCGTGTAAGGTTGCTCGAGCAGCGCGTCGAAATCGGAGATGCTGTAGAAGATGGCGACGAGGTAGCAGAAGGCGGTAAGGAGCCCTGTGACCATCTGCGCGGCTATGGCCTTCGGGATGTTGATTTGTGGAAGTGGGACCTCCTCTGCTAAGTGTGAGACGCAGTCAGGCGTCCCTACTGCGTATGCACCGTTCAGCATGCCCATCAGGAAGACGAGGCCGTCCGATGTGTAGCCTGACTGGTTCTCCCAGTCTCGCCAGACGAACGCGTTGCTGGCGTGACCAGTACCTTTGGTGCTGGGCATTATTGCGCAGACTAGTGTGGTGATGAACCAGCCCCCGAGAGTGAGGTAGAGGCCGAGTGTGTTGATCTTCGGAAGCAGGGTGTTGCAGAAGAGGACGGTTCCGCACGCCAGCCAGGTCACTATGATGTACGCCACGAAGACATGCCAGCGCTGCGGGACGTAGTCGGCGTGGAATAGGCCCCACATGGCGAGGCTGAGATTTGCGACGATGGCGCTTACCGACGCGGCACCGAATATCCAGCCTAGGAAGTTCCACCTACATAGCTGTTAGCATTCTGTTCAACGGAACTCTGGGTTGACGGACGCATCGCATACCATCCGGCATACCAGCCCGCTGCCTTGCCCCATTTCGGTCCAGCCGTGATAGACGCCCAGTGATAGACGCCGGCAGAGGAGGGAATGGCAGAGGCGAGCTCAGCCAGAGCTGCGGCAATGAGCCAGTAGAAGAAAGACACGGCGAAGAGTTCGTAGATGACGCCTGGCGGGCCTCCATTATAGATAGCAACGACCTGCGAGCATGGGTTAGCTAGATGCGATACAGTTCGTGAGCTGCTGCAAAGACTCACAATACTGCCTCCAAGTGCCGCCCACGTATTCCCCGCGCATATTCCCACCGAACAGACGCTCAGTAGACTGAAGTTGCGCTCTAGCTCCTGGACGTGACCAGACGCGTTGATGACCTGGCCGACCTCAACGCCATCCTCAACGCTGTAGATAGGAGCTGCCGGTTGATCCTCGACTTTCTTCTCCATGTCGACAAGGGCGCAAGAACAGCAAAACAAAAACTGGTAGAAGACGAAGGAGAGGATTGAATAACACCACCATCGCGGCGCAGCAGCATCTATCTTACTTGCTTCTCTTTTCCCCGCTATCTGTATCCCATTGGGTTAGGCACAGCGATACGGGGGCTTGATTAAGCCACCTGCAATTAATCAAATAGCTTGAATCCTGCAACGTGGGCGGGCGGTGGTCGTCCTATCAAAGTACCCAGATGAGCACGAGCAGACATTTACCAACGGCATCGAGCATGCAGAAGCGCTCTAGCTGAGTAGTAGGTACCCAGTGGTACGGTCCTCTGTAAGAACTACTGCGGCCCATGGTCTTGACGGGGTCTGGAATCAGAGCAACTTGGAGCGTTTCTGATGGAGATAAGGCAAGGAGTCCCTTGTAGATCGAAGACGTCCCTGCAGCCACTGCAGCCACCGGACGACGGGCCGGGCACACCGAGGGGTGCCGCGTTTTGCCAAGGTTGGGGGTCAAAATGGTTCAAGGACGGTTTGAAATAAAGGTTGCCGCATTTCTTGGGCCGAACTACCTACGTGTGAGATACGGCAACCTTCATTTCGGACCGCCCTTAGTCTCGTCCTTGCTCGAACACGTGGACCGTGATGGAGGGGAGTGAATTTGAACGGAAGTCATAGATGGTGGTTCGGGGATTCTACAGCTGGTTCTAACAACGTCTTGCTTGTAAGCTGATTGCTTGTACGGACCACTTGCAATCTAGCTTGTAGCTAAAGGTCTATGATACGAATTGGCAAGACAGCTCCCCGAGGTACTTCACGATGGTGGAAATAGATTGACCTCAAGCCTTTGTACTGTGTTTGGGCCTAAGTCTCCTTCTGAGCAGAAGCACAGGCAGTTGGCTGTCCCCTTGGTTGCTAGGAAGGGATGTGAATAGTTAACCTATCCGCCTACAAGCCGAAGCTTGGACCCGTTACTTTTGGTCGAATCCCCAAATGCCCTCAATGCCAGTGCAAACTTGATATTCCCACCGCACCAGCAATGCATGCCACATTCAAGCAGCCCTCATCACCACATCCTCCCTCCCATCCTCCATCTCGCCGATCTTCCTCTTCCCAGTAACGGTTCCGTCCTCGGTATCGCCCTCATACTCCACGATCTCCCACTCGACTCTCATACTCCCATCGTTCGACGTATGGCCGCCCTTCTGACGTTTGATCCTTCCCAACCTTGTCTGCTGTACCATCTCCTCGAACCACGGCGCACCACGATTCCGCTCCGCCACTAGCACCGCCGACTGCGCTTGCCTCTTGGCCGGCGCGACCGCCCTGCCACTCCCAGCCTCATCCGTCTCCTCCCCCTCATCCCTCTCCGGCAACAACCCCATCCTGTCCAGAATCTCCAAATCATCATCCATGACCGAGCCCACCGTCAAGCTGATAAACTCCGCATCTTCTCTTGTGCGCTCATTCCATGATGACAATTGTGTCCCGCAGTATCCGCAGAACTCCCTCCGTGTGCCAAAGGGTGAGAAAGGTGAGACGAAGCTCCGGCGGATGGAGCGGTGGGTTTCATCGGGGAAGAAGGCGTAGGTCGCGCTGTGGTACCAGTCGATGGGGACGCGGAGCCAGGCCGTTATGGGGGAGGCTTGGTGGCGACCTGCTCACGCCATTCATGTTAGCAAGTGACGTTGAAGTTCGAAGTGTCATGCGGTGACAGCTGGCTGACAGGTAGAGAGTTCGGCATTGCGTGGGGTAACGGCGGGGTACCGATGGCTGGCTGTGGGTGACGTGAAAGCTTGGTTGCACTTACGGCTTGAGCTGCTATTGTCGAGGAAGACACCGGCGAGCTGGGCGGATGATGGTGGTATTTCAACAACATAGCGGTTGCGGCCGCAGGCGCAGGAGCCACGGAGAGCTTGCTCCATTGTGCGAGCTTACGGACGACTTGGTCCGTGTGAGGTGGGAATGCTGATGCTCAAAGAGTCCTTATAGAATGCCGCGAATGGAATTGAATACGCCCGTTTATGAATCGCTGGCTAAATGATTGTAAAGTGTCCTGTGGGCAGTGACAGAAGAGGGTATGTGACGCTTCAGTGATGGAACGCTCGAAGGATCCTTGGTCTTGGCGGATGCTCAATGCCGAGTCACATGACAGATTCCCATTGTCAAATTCCCATGTTATCCTGTGGGCTTGCAAGAATAAGGCACATCATACCTGCCTAGGTATCTAGGTAGGCAGCTCAGCGGAAGCATCAGGTATGCTGACGTGGATATATCTAAGGTAGCGAGCAGCCACAAACGGCACGGTGTGGCTATGCGTTGGCAGTAGTAACATGAACATTGCCTCATGACATCTAATTCGATGCATATAAAACCCACGAGAACACTAGAGCAATATTTAGGCCGCGAGCGCTCCCATCCAGCTGTTCTACGGGAGAGATATGGCAAAGTCTTTCTACTCGCCATTGTGTACTCATAACACCATACCGTTTACAGTTCGCCGTCAGACGTGCTCTGACGTTTTGCTTTCCAATTGTAACTTTTGGGCTACAGCAAGGCGTTGCTTGATACTCTGATACGGTTCCATGTGTGTCTGCCGGTTTACAGCTTAAAGGCCGTCACCTTGCTGGACTTGTGGATTTTAGCGTCTATGCCGCTTGCTTGTACATCTCAACTTCCGGAGAACCTGCCGCTGCGTCGGGCAGAGTATTGCTTAGTAAATCAAGCCCGTCAAGGCTCTTTGGATAACAATCGCCGGTCTCTGAACGCCATGTCTCGATCGGAGAAGATACTCGTACCCAGAGGTGCGGCCTTATTCTGCGCGTCAGGAACTCCGCGAGGCTGCCAAATCCGTGATTGGCTTACTTTGAGTCTTCATCAATCGCCTCCCGGGTCTCCCGGGTCGTCGCCCTCGCCTTTTTCCGACTTATTCTCGTTCCACGCTGTGACTTCTTCTTCGCTGGAGGTCACGTGCATCCATATCTCGTCATTAGGATCATGCTTCTGGTTTTGCCGCCTTTTCCTCCTTATCTTCCTGGTGATCTTCGGCACAAACCTCGACCGAAACTCATGCGGGATCTTGAGTCTGGCAGCCATCCACTTTTCCTTAGGCTTGTGTTCTGTCGGCAACTCTTCTACCGGTTCTGTGTCCAGAAGACCTTCGTCTGTGAAGCAGCGGTCGATCATCGCGCTCCTCTGCGGCATCACTTTCTTGAGGAATTCGAGAGTGGCTGAGACATTTAGGTCCAGCGCCCGCTTTGGATTTGCCGTCATCTTGAGGAGCATAGCGCAGGTCTGGGGGTATAATATGCTGAAGTCAGACTGGGAGACATGAATCGTTCCGCGCACAGTAAGAAGCCACGACGGAGCGCCGTGCTTCTTCGCTTCATCAATGAGTGCGTGAACTGCATCGAAGTTCGATGACCAATACATGAATGCTTCGCTGTTAATGCCGAGTAGCGGGCAGTGGATTCGGTGGCGAGGCTCCTCTACCGGTGGGCTGACGGCGGCGCCCCAGATGTCGTACATTACACCTTGCCCGACATACTGGAAGCGATCGGCGTTGCGTAGTATTTCAACGGTCGTGGCGGCACCGAAGGAGTGTCCGAGGACGGTCACACGGTGGCAGTGGATTCTGTCTTTCCACAGCGCCCAGTCCACGCCGTCAAGGCCTCGAGAGCTAGAGCCGACATACCCCTCGCGCCGGAGGTTCTTGTTGGCGATTTCGCCGCCTCGGCCGCCGTCAATGTGACGAATGACGTTGTACGCCTCTTCAATCTCCGCAAGCCGTAACTGGAGCTGCGCGTCTCTCAGCTCAGAGTCGACTCCTTTGTGATTACTAGGACTGGTGTCGTAGGGGTTGTCTGCGAATCACGTTAGCAGGAAAAGGTTAGATCAAGCACTTTCGATTACCCTTGGGAAAGATGTAGTCCTGATCACGGGCATGTTAGAAGCGGATTCGTTCGAAGGTAGACGAGAACCATACAATCTGGTCATAACCTCTACGTCTCTCCTTCTCATTGTGATCCACGGGACCAGCAGTTTCCCGCTCCTTCATGCTGCCAACACCGGACCGGGCATGATTGACGAACGTTCGTGCACCGGAGCCGTCGCGATGCTCGACAGCGGAGACCACGAAGCCGTAACTTGCAAACTGTGGTGTGACTTAGCTCATCAACTGCCGGCTGGATGACCTCGGGAGATTGTTACCTCTCCGCAAACACTTGAGTATGTCGTCCTAGTGCCCCCCAGTCCATGGCTGAAGATCATCAGGGGAAAACAGGGCTCTTCACTCTCGCCGGGCGGCGGTGGTCCAGATTCACTCTTCACTTTCGGCCCTGCGTGCTGAAGGTTATCGCGCGGTGGCCAATGTTGGGATATAGGTGCGTTTCGATAGGCAGGCAGTTTTGTGAACATCGTGGTTGCGGCGAACCAAGGCACAGCTATAGCTCCAACGCCGGCGAACTTGCCATATCCCTTTGCCATCTTGATCCGTGGCCTTGGAAGCCATGTTTCACGAGACCACTTCTTGTGACCTGCTGGGTCCTTACCCGATCCGACACCGATCGCCGTGGGATAGTAGACGGTCATGAGGACGGTTTCGAGCTTGAGGATGTGCTGGTCATGGCGGGTGATGTGAGAGAAGTTACGTGGGTTCTCGGCGGGGACTTCGATGTCCATGACGCCGACCTGGTACTTGTTAGCGCCGGACTTCCTATGCCCTGATACTGGCGTCCTACACTGTATGGCCCGGAATATTTGGGGAGCGTGCCATGGAGGAAGCCAGCCTTATCACGCAAACTGCTTGGGGGCCTAGTCTTGGGCTTCTTTCCGCGTGGGACTGAGCCTTTCCCAATCCCGCTGTTTGAACGAGGCGTCTCATTCTTCTTGTTGCCGGATACCCATGCTGGGAAAGACATTCTGTGTGATGTGGACAGACACAATGCAAATTACTGTAGAAAGAGAATCCGATACAAGAAATGGTAGAAGTCTGCCAGTCCCTAATTGGGGTGTGAACAGCTTTCGTCGGTATCACCCGGCCATCAAGGCTACGACAGGATGTAATATAACGTCTAGCGAAGGCGCAGCGACCACACAAAAGATATAACGAAGAAAGCTCAGCGATAGAAGCGGTGGTGAAGCCCAGAAGGCAGAGGCACAAGGTGAAGACCTAATAGACAACTTCGATGCAGAAATTGGTCCATAGTAATTGAACAGCTGCAGCCCCACGGGCTCAGCCTGAGTATCCGGACGAATCCGCTCCGGGTGTTCGAGTGAGTGGTGTTGGACGCCGGCAGTGACGTCAACCGGGAAATCTGTCCCTGATATTTTGAGGCGCTTGAGCAAGCCGTTGCCGCCATGCATCCGCAGACAGGCCATTCCCGGCTCTGCGAAGCCGAAACGCGTGTCGGCCCGTTTGGGGCTTGGCCCAGTTCAAGATGGAAAAGCTGGATGTGGAAGTGGAAGTGGAAGTGGAAGTGGAAGCTTGAATGCAGGCGGGGCTCCACGAGCCCTTGCGCCTGTTAAAAAGGAGAACATCTTGACGAGGACATTTCTGGGATCGGGAATTGCTTCAACAAGTAGCTGTTTCCCTTCCCCTCCTGCACCTGCACTGCACTGCACGCAACCCACCGTTGCTGAACGCCGCATCGGCCCCTGCGCCCGTTTATCGCTTGGCATCTTGCGAGCTTCCGCTCTGGGCTACCGCCCGCTACCCAGCTTCCTTTCACGTCGACCGTGACACCGTAGAAAGCCGTTTGATTGGGGATCTGTTTGCATCGCGAATTGTGGGTTCAAGGTCCAGTACAGAGCCGTAGGAAAGCGAGGTGGGCATAAAAAGTGGAGGCGAGCCTCTCCACATTCCATCTCTCCCTTCTCCATCTCTCCCTTCTCCATCTCTCCTCTGTTCACTGTGCCACTCAAGGTACAGTGACTCTTTCACGATGCGCTCTTTCCTCGCGCTGTGCTTCGTTGCGCTAGCGCAGGCCATCGAGCCAGCTCGTCAGCCTCATCCACCCACGGGAAGCAAGAATGGCACCCTTCTGACGTTCAACGTGACATCTGGGTCCTCCCTGTCTCCGTCTTCGAGGAGCCTGCGGTGGGCTGCAACGGGCGAAAGAGATGGTCAATTCATTTACGCAAGCAACGGGTCGCTTGTGCTCGAGGACGTGGTCACGGGAAGAAACGAGGTGTTCGTCTCGTCGAGTCAACTTCCCGAGGATTACTATACATATTGGATCGCGCCTGATCTCACGAGAGTGCTCTTCGCGACGAACTACACCAAGCAGTACCGGCATTCCTACTTCGCCGACTATGTCATCCTCGACCGTGCATCGGGCACGCTAGATCCTCTGGTAGACAACCAAGTCGGCGACATCCAGTATGCAGAATGGAGTCCTGTGAACAACGAAATTGCGTTCGTCCGCGGAAACGACCTGTACATCCGGCACAACGACTCGACAATTACTCAGATCACCTACGATGGAGGCCCTGACGTCTTCAACGGAGTGCCTGATTGGGTTTACGAGGAGGAAATCTTCGGCACTAACTCCGCGCTCTGGTTCTCCCCGGACGGCGAATATCTCGCTTTCCTCAGCTTCAACGAGACAGGAGTTCCAACATTCACTGTGCCCTACTTCATGGGCGAACCTGGCCATGGACAGTCCATTGCGCCCCCTTACCCGTATGAGCTAGATATCCGATACCCTAAAGTAGGCGCCACCAACCCGACTGTTTCCTTCCGCCTGCTAGACCTTGTGGCCATGGAGAACAGCACCATCCCGATCGAGGCTTTCCCTGCGGATGATTTGATCATTGGAGAAGTGGCTTGGCTAACAGAGGAGCATTCAAGTGTGATGTACCGCGCATTCAACCGTGTGCAAGACCAAGACAAGCATGTCGTAGTGAATGTGCAAACCGAATCATCTAAGGCGGTCCGAGAACGAGATGTTTCGGGCTCAGGCTGGCTCGACAATAACATGGCAATCACATACCTTGGCAGCATCCCGCTCAATGGAACAGCCAATGCCAGCGCCAGCGCCACGTACTACCTAGATATGTCTGACACATCTGGCTGGAACCACCTCTACTTGTTCCCCGTCTCCGGTGGTCCGGCGATCCCGCTGACCTCCGGCGAGTGGGAAGTGACCGCCATCCTCAAAGTCGACTCCGCGCGGTCCTTGATCTACTACGCCTCCACCGAGCACCACAGCACCGAGCGCCACGTCTACTCCGTCTCCTACGCGACCTTCACCAAGAAGGCCCTCGTAGACGACACCGTCTCCGCGTACTGGACGGCCTCCTTCTCCGCATCCGCATCCTACTACGTGCTCAGCTACCGCGGCCCCGACGTGCCCTACCAAGAAGTCTACTCCATCAACTCGACAACCCCCATCCGCACGCTCACCAGCAACGCCGCCGTCTACGCGCGCATCAACAGCTACAATCTGCCCAATATAACCTACTTCGAGCTCACCCACCCCGACGGCTTCACCCTAAATGTGATGCAACGTCTCCCAGCCAACTTCGACGCCTCGAAAAAGTACCCGGTCCTCTTCACGCCGTACGGCGGCCCCGGCGCCCAGGAAGTCACCAAGGTCTTCCAGGCCCTCGATTGGAACGCCTACATCGCGTCAGACCCGGAATTGCAATACATAACCTACACGGTCGATAACCGCGGGACGGGCTTCAAGGGCCGCGCCTTCCGCGCCGCTGTGAGCCGGCAGCTCGGGCTCCTCGAGACCCAGGACCAGATCTGGGCGGCGCGGACGCTGGCGCAGCAGAACGCATTCATCGATGCCGAGAAGATCGGCATGTGGGGCTGGTCCTATGGCGGATACCTCACCTCCAAAGTCATCGAAGCCAATAGCGGCGTCTTCAGCCTCGGCCTCATTACTGCCCCTGTCTCCGACTGGCGGCTCTACGATTCAATGTACACTGAAAGGTAAGCACGACTCCCGTCCAAGCGTTCCCCGCAGACGATAATTGCTAATCCCTAACCAGATACATGGGCCTCCCCTCCACCAACAGCGCCGGCTACAACACCTCCGCCGTGCGCTCCGCGACCGGTTTCAAGAACGTGGCCGGGGGCACACTAGTGCAGCACGGCACAGGCGACGACAATGTACATTTCCAGAACTCGGCCGCGCTGGTAGATACGCTGGTGGGCGCGGGGGTCAGCCCGGAGAAGATGCAGGTGCAGTGGTTCACGGATAGCGATCATAGCATCCAGTATAATGGCGCGAATGAGTTTCTATACAAGCAGCTTACGAAGAAGCTGTTTGAGGAAAAGCAGAGGGTGCCGGGGGAGAGGGTGGTGCATCAGTGGAGTAGGAGAGGGGTGAGGAGGGAGGGGAGGTTGTGAGGGGATCGTACTATGATTAGATACAAAAGTCTGTAGAAACATAGATCGTTGCAATCGCACAGCAGCGAGTGGTGTCACGGACCCAGGTGATATGAAGGAAACATTCGTAATCGTCGAGTCGTTGATGATCATCACAGCTTTAGCGTCTGTACATGCGGCTGCTGGACCTCGTCGTCGGCTCGATGAAGCCTCCTGCATCCAGCTCTAGTTCTTTTGCAAGCGCGCCTTAGACGAGCCATCGTCTCTAGGATGCGGCAATATCCACAGTCGCGTGCTTAGTAAAAGCTCGCGCCCACCGGTGAACACGACAGCTGAGGTTGTCGAAATCCGGTAAGCGGAGTGAAGTGTCTCATTACTTTACTGTTCTGCATTGTCCCCACTCATGAGAGCAATCATGAATCCACTAAGTTCTTGTATCTATTGGTTGCAATGCTGTTTGCTGATGCGCCTTCCTTGTGGAGATTGGGCGGTGCAGACGTGGAGCGCGCGCATCAACACCATGCCAAGACCTGCGATGTTCACGGCCCAGCAATTCATCTGTGGCTGCAGCGGCTGCTCCGGTCTCATGTCCCTGCGGAGCTCATCCGCTGTATCCATAGACCTGTGAGCAGGTGTCCGCTCCAAACGCTGGACGGACATTAGTACGCTCTGATACCTCGAACCTCCTCTTGAAGCTTGACAACGGTTTACCGGTTGGCTTGCAGCAGAGTTTCTACCACCTTCCGAAGCCGCTTGGACTTATCTTACTCAAGCGGTGTCACCTTTTTGTAGTTCTACTGGCCCCGTAAGCAAGGATCAACAGATTCGAGCTGGTATACCGACTCGTCCAGTTTCTCTTGTTTCATCGCCATTTGTATCGTTCACAGCACGAAGTTCATGGCAGACTTTAGTGCCTCAATCTTACTCTTCAAGCCCCGCACCTTTCCCGACTGAAATACCTACCATGGACGCTTCAGTCTACGGTCTTCGCTGACCAGTCTTTTGACCTCCTTTTGCACGCCGTCGAATTTGGACAAGATGGACTTTGTTTCCGATACCAGGGACGGCTTATAGACATCTTTACCTTCTTCCGAGACTGTTTCGAGGTGTCCAAGGATGGCGAAAGCAGAGAGTTTTCCTTGCGATGCCACCTATCTCCTTCGGTGCATTCAAAACTGTCTCCGTGGTTTGATGTAGAGAAATCGAGAGTTAAACGCCTGCAGCAGCAATTCCTGCGGCGCTGGCGACCAGAGACACAAAGTCTGCCATCTGCCCCATTCACAGAATACAATATGACAAGAGAGAATTGAACGTACCATCGCAGTGCACAAGAGAAAATCCAAACACTATTGGACGTTACTTACAAGTCCTTGAAGCTTCAAGATAAAACGTATCGTGAGGCTGAATCCACTCCAGCTGAGAAGTGTGGAGGTGCAGCCCAGCCAAACATCCACCACTCCATGCAAGCCACGCTGGATGAGGATATCAGTATGAACTCGAACGAGGGAGGAAGTAACATCCTCTTAATCTCATCGAGCAGATACTTTCGATCCGGATGCACCACGGCCTAAATCATGGCGGTGGGCCGGTGGCCACCCAGACACAGTATAGACAGACCTTACTAAATCTGCGCCTTACTATTGTAAGTTCGATATGACGCCAATCTTGAGCCGGTATGGATTCAACTCGGTATGGATTCATTTCGGTATTTGAAGGATGTCTGGAAGTTAAAGGTTTGCCCCGCTTGCGGCCACTGCAACATTTCTGCACGCAAATGGTCTACTATAGCTGTGGGATCTGGAACATTTGAGAATTTTTACGAGGCCGAACGTACTCAGCAGGATCGAAATCGAAGATAGATAGGCTTGCGGTCAGTATGAGTGATGTCAGTCGTTCGCTCAGGGGAGTAAAGGCCCCACACCGCATTGCAGAAAGGCGATGACGGAAAGCGGCGATCCACGATAACATCACCACGTATGTTCTGGGGGCACGTACGAATCCATTGCTAGTCAAATTTTGCTGTTAACGTTGAGTTCCTACGTTGTGTAGCTGGCTCCTGACGATTCGGAACACGGCACGGGATTTTCAAGGCAACGTGACGTACTGAAAGTTTTGGGCACGAACTTTTGCCGCTTTCGGCTCGGCGCTCCCTGTGGGGTAGGTAGCTATATAAACCCCACATCCACCAGTGCTTCGACCTCATGTCGAGCGCTAGAAAAGTCTTTATCAAAGTGGTAGAATTGAGTAGAACCGAAAGCCAGCAAGAGCACGGGTAGATCCTACGACGCGCAAGGCGGATGACCACAGACCACAAAGGCAGCACGCCAGGACCAGTTGAACGACAGACCACGCTACAATCAATACCTCCGCTTCCTCCGACAGGGGAGGTTGCATTACCTCGCTTTGATGCATCTGAGCAGACGCTGACGGAGAAGCCATGCGACTCATCTTGTTGCCCCCAAGATGACCCCTCGAAACCCGAGCATCAGCACCAACCTCAGAGTCCTGCCATTTTGCCTTCGGCCTCATCTTCTACAGATGCTGAACGTCTAGCTGAGGATGGAGAGGAAGTCACCTACCCAGAAGGCGGCCTCCAGGCCTGGCTTGTCGTCTTGGGCTCCTTCTGCGGTATGCTGGCTGCTTTCGGATTGATGTGAGTAAATCCTCACCATACGTATACTCCGCTTTCTCCACTAATCGGATAAAAGGAATACCATAGGCGTGCTCCAAGCCTACTTGAGCACCAACCAGTTGTCAAACTACAGCGAGTCCCAGATTGGGTGGATCTTCAGTCTCTACGTCTTCCTCTCCTTCTTCTGCGGAATTCAGATTGGGCCCGTCTTCGACGCCCACGGGCCGAAATGGCTGATTCTAGCCGGCAATGTACTGCTTGTCGTCTCCACTCTCCTCCTGGGAGTCTGCACAGGTACATCACGCCCTTTCCTCAAGCTATCTCAAAGATTCCAACACTGATTCCACCCCAGAATACTGGCACTTCCTAATAGTCTTCGGCCTCCTCGCCGGCGCCGGTACCTCCCTAATCTTCACGCCCGCCATCTCCGCAATCGGGCACTTCTTCCTGCTCAAGCGCGGCAACGCCACGGGCATCGGCGCCATGGGCGGCAGCATCGGCGGCGTGGTCTTCCCGCTTATGCTGCAGTCTCTGCTCCCTCGCCTCGGCTTCGCATGGTCGACACGCATTCTTGGTTTCATTTTTATTGCGCTTTGCGGCGTCGCGCAGCTGCTGATCCGCTCGCGGCTGCCGCGGAAGCCGGGGAGTTCCGTTTTGCCGGACTTTAGGATCTTGAGGGAGCCGGCGTTCGCGCTGAGTACTGCGGGCGTGTTTTTTATGGTGCGTGGCGCTACCCAGCTGTGATATACCCTTTGCAATGTTCGAGTGCTGAATTGACGGGAAATTAGGAATGGGGCCTCTTCATCCCAATAGCATATTTGACCTCTTACGCTCTAAGCTCCGGCGCAATGACCGAAACCTTCAGCTATCAGCTCATCGCGATCCTGAACGCTGGCTCCTCGATCGGCCGCTGGGCGCCCGGCTACTTCGGGGACCGCTTCGGAAGGTTCAATTGCATGGTTGTTACGCTGTTCCTGTGCGGGCTGACCACGCTTGCGCTATGGCTTCCTGCGTCGTTCCTCTCCGCTAATGGCCACTCTGATGGCGGCGTCGTGGGGAATGGCGGCGTCGTCAAAGCACTTACGATAACTTATGCGTTTGTTTTTGGCGTCGCTTCGGGGAGCAATATCTCGTTAACGCCGGTTTGCATTGGGCAGTTGTGTGATACGCATGAGTATGGGAGGTATTATGCCACTTGCTATACCATCGTTTCTTTTGGGACGCTTACGGGGATTCCGATCGCGGGCGCCTTGCTGGAAGCGTGTGGGGATAGGTATTATGGGACCATTCTGTTCACCGGAGGTTGTTATGTAGTGAGTCTGGCGGCATTTGTGTGGGCGAGGTGGATCAAGGTTGGTGGGGGATGGACTGTGAAGTATTGAGAGGAAGGCGCGTATGGTTTTTGGAGGGGTTCTGTGTTGTGGGATGTGTCGAGGAGGTGGTGACTGTAAAGGGTACTTAGACGAGGGATAGACGTATCATGGTTTACTTGAAAAGAGGTGCTTAGTGGTAAGATGGCACTGAATTGAAGGATTCGCGCGTCAGATTATGGCGTAACATGCGATGTTTCTCAGGTTGATCTAAATATGAACTTCTGGTTTTCAGAAATTGATAAAATACTTGGTCATTGCAAAAGGGTTACATGATATCCCTCTCGATGTCTTCGCCAAGGAAGATCGAGCGCCTCGAATCGAACGCCAATATCCCGTGGTAATCCCTTGACTCCTTGCTGAACTGACAGACCCCTCGTAGCCAAAGCACGCCACACAGCATAGCTCCTGACAATCTCCATGTCAACTGGAGTTTTCGTGAGGAATAGATGTCTCCGTATGCAGTTGTATCGCCAACCGGTCAAAGGATGCACTGTGAGCCCTCCCAAAAGCATGCTCGAGGGCCACATCCAGCATCCCGAAATCCTCAGTACCTATACGCCGGATGTACCGCAACCACTCCCGGCCCAGGCGCCGTTGACCTGGGCACAGCCTGAACAACATACGCGACCCCATCGTCCGAAGCATACGACGGCGGCCTCGCTCCACTCGACCCAGTCGCCTGCCGCTTCACCGGCACAGTCTCCCTGCCCACCCGCGGCGCGGTCTTCGAGATTGATCGTGCAGGAACCCAATGCAGGAAATCCGGGTTAGCGCGCACGCTGTGCCTCCAAAGCCCGTACGCAGGCGGCGGCGCCTTTACCGTCGCGGCTTCCTTCTCCTCGCACAGGATGTCGGCTTCGGCCTCGAAGTGGTCGTGATCGTGTTCACTGCCTTCCTCGTCTTGGGCTAGGTATACCGGTATCGGTTCTTCAGGGACGAAGCCTTCGCGGCCGTTGCGCCCGGCTACGCGTCGTTGGGATGAGACTTTGGCGGGGCGCTGGGCTAGCATGCAGAGCCGGATGAGAGAGTGGGCGAAGACGATGGTGGTGGCTAGGATGCCGAGAAGGCCGAGAATGTGGACTTCTTGAGGGACGGGATCGCTTGTTAGGGTGAGCGCGAGGTCTGTTGGCCGTTGTTAGCACATACGCCTGTGAAACTTGGAGAAGCGCGACACACATATGGTGAGGATGACGGTGAGCAGTGTGCCTGAGATAACGCAAAGTATGCATTTTCTCCGCACCGCCGCGCGGCCTGGTGGAAAGCCTTTAGATCCGCCCTTCCGCTTTCGCACCCATGCGCGCCGCTGTCGCCGCCGCGCCTGCCGTTGGATGTAGACTGCCAGTTGCTCTGTCTCCTCATCGACAGCCGAATACTGTCGGGGCCGCTGCGTATGCGCAGGCTCCGGCTCGTTGAAGACTAACACCTCTTCCTCGTCCCTGTATGCGGGGCTCCATATGGTCGTTGGGTGTCTCGACTGGATGTGCGCGTCAGAATAGAGCGAGTCTCGGGATACTTCGATAATTTCTGGTTGTGGTGGTGGAGCGCTTGGTGGGCTGTTCTGTCGGCGTAGGAACCCGAATGGAGGTATCTTGGGAGTGCTGTTGTTCGAGGCTGAGACGGTAGGTCGCGAGTATACTGAGCTGCTTCGCAACATGGAGCGCACGTTGACGTGGACGGTTGAGAAGCGTGAAGGGGACTCGCTAGCTCGGGAGGGACTTGAGTGGAAGTATGGAAGAGCCATGTCCGAAAGAAACTCTATCAGTGCAGTCGCTTTGCGTGCTTTTACTGATCGACTGAGTGAATGGTAAATCCGGGTGAATAGCCTCGCTTGGTGTATTGAGCGGATGCTCTGTGATTTAAGGTACGGAGCAGTGAGATCGCGTCTCTGTCTCGCTGTTAAACGCAGACACGTGTATTGTTTACTGTTAATCCTTTCTGACAACGGTGAACAGAAAAACGAACGATTGGCGATCAGATGCCGATTGCCATACGCCTAGGGCTGCCCTATGGAGCTGCAGAACGGCTACAGCCGGAGCCGGTTTGGGTGCGGTAGATCTGGAGTTCTTAACGCAACGACTGGTGCTCATTCGGTTTCAAAAAGGCCAAGTGAACGTAGCGCAGGGTCAACCTGACGAGTGATCGGAGAAATATGCAGGTACAGCAACTCAATCGACAGTGTTGACTCGATTGATTATCAGAGTGAAAACGGGAAGAAAAGGTGAACAAATGAGGACGGACAGGCAAGGAGAGATGAAACTCGGTTTGATGGAGTTCCCCGTAGTATATATAAAACTAACATAAGACTAACGTGAGATTCTACCCGACCTTGGTACTGAGACGCAATTCAAGGAGACGGACGAAGTCGCACAGCCTGCCGCAAGGGCTTGGTTGACAGGCAACACCAGAACTTACGCGTAAAGACTAGGCTCACGACCGCTACAAGGGGAGACACAGGCGGCGTGTGAGGCGTATATCTAAAGTCGAGTCTGAAACCTGTTTGATGTTGTTTTGGGGACGACGTGAAACCCGCGATGAGGTCCCCGCGTCGCGCCGCACGGTCTCTGAGCGAAGTTGACGAATCATTCGATGCGCAACGCTGGAATGTGAGGATGCCGGCAGACAGTGGTACCATGTTTTGTTGCGCCCTGACAGCGCCCGTATAGGTAGTTACACGATATCTCTATTTCCGCAATGGTCGTATCCACAACCTCGGGGTTCTCAAATTGCGCAGTGCCTCATCTCATCCCGATGCCAGGAGACTGCACTAATTTCCTCGCAACCAAATGCGTCTGACGCTTGTTACACCAGGAGTACTGGGCCTGCTACTGTCCTTGACCTTCAGTGAAGCCGTCAATCTAATCCCTCGCTCGTCACCTCCCCAACTCCCCCAGCAATAACGTACGATCTGATGAGCCAGACACGACTAAGAACCATTAGCAATTGCGCGCAGGAGGGCAGGGACACCCCATACTGATCGGCTCTTCGGTCGGCGAGAAGCGGACGTCGTTGACAGATCCCTTATGCCCTGGAAGCTTGTACAGCAGCTTCCCACTGCTTGCTTCCCAGACCACCACACTTCGGTCGCCGCTTCCCGCTGCGATTCTCTGCCCTTTGGGATCCCAGCTCGCCTTGTACAGATTCTTCTCCATGCCCGATGGCGCGCCATCGTATGTTTTGATGTTTCTGTCGGTCGGCGCAAACGGTCTTATGTCCCACGTTCTGACGGTTGAGTCGTGTGAATTCGAGAGCAGGGTCTGAGAGTCCGGCGAAACCTGCAGCGAGACGACCGTGTCCGTATGGCCAAGGAGCGAATATGTCACAGCCTTTTTCCGCAAGTCCCATACTTTGATGTCGTTGTCGATGCCGCCCGAGTATAGTTCATTGCCCGCTTCTGCAAGCGCGACGGCTGTTACGGGGAATTCAGTCTCGATAAAGTCAATCGCCTCTTTCTGCCGTGGATCCCAAATCTGCGCGTGGCTCATCAGCTTCGCGATATGCAAAGCACAGCTTTTCTGGGCTCATGCTTACCCCTATATGCCCATCGTCCGAGGCACTGAAGAGCAGCTCCTCCCCTCTCTTGCTCACGTCTAAACAGTTGATGACCTCCTCGTGGCCCGCGTGGCGCCGTATCCGCTGCCCGGTCTCCAAGTCCCAACTTGCGAGCATCATGTCTGCCGAGGCGGAGAAGATAACTCTCGAGTCGCGCGACCAGTGCAGGTCCAGCACCGCGCCTTTGTGACCGTTGAGGGCGCCGTAGTTGTCGCACTGTCCGTAGGTTCGCCATAGCACTTGGGAGAATATTAGCCACGGCCAATCGAAGTCCTAGGAGCAGTGACTAACATATAGATCTGTCCATAGAGCCCGAAGCGATGTGCTGGCCGGTAGGGTCAAATCTGGTGGCGAAGACTTCTCCAGAGTGTCCTGAGTACTAACTTAGCTACAAAGCCTCATTACAATCGACCAGGTGCGCGCGCATACCTGCCAATTCCATAATCGGAGCTTGCAGTCCACTCGTGCGCGGTACCTAGCAAACCCATGCTAACATCAGCCATGCCTCGCCTTTCTCATGGTTTAGCTCCATTCATAACGGTTGTGCGAAGACGCGGTGATAACTCACCGCTTGTATGAGCGCACCATTCCGTGCTGTGCCATTGACAAGGGCGACAGAGTTGCTGCCCAGGTTCGCGTCTGATCTTTGTCGTTTTACGAGCTGTGAGGAACCGAAGGAGTCGGCGGCGGGGCGCTTTTCGGAGGACATTGTGGTTGTCGCGCTCTCGATGCCGGTGGAGGTGGGGAGTGAGCAGACCGTGTGGGACAAGGTGTGTCGCGGTGGAGGTTGTGAAGCGCGTGTGACAATTGCGACTCAGACTCTCTTCAAGCTTCAGAATGCAGTGAGAAACTATTTTGAGCCTAGCGCCTCGGCGGCTGGAGTTGCGGCTCCGCCATCCCTCTCGCGTGAGATGTGCATGCCCGAGCTTGCAAGCCGCGAAGGTAATTTCAACCACAACATCGATCAAATTGGGATATCCGGAACCTAGCAGCTGTCACGGCTCTGCGCATGGTGTCGTTGTTGCAAGAGACATTGTAGAGTGTCCGGCGGGGCCCGCAGAGCTCAATGGCTTCATCCAAAGCTGCTCGGCTGGGCGAGGAGTGAGTCTTACTGCATGACCGCGTAGCACCGACACCAAGCTGACGTCTTCGTAGAGTGTGGAAGTAAGCCAGCGTCCTGCGACTATCACTCCCCTGTCCGAGCCGTTGTCCTAACAGCACGAAGGACCCGAGTCGAGAAAGTCAACGCCGAGCTAGTCACTCTCACATACGGCACAATTGTTGCGCAGCTGTGTAAAGACTATGACAGCGACTACGCGGAAGTGAACCGGCAGCTCGATCGAATGGGCTACAACATCGGGCTCCGTATCATCGAGGACTTCCTAGCCAAGTCCAACACCGGCGCATGTGCAAACTTTAAGGAGGTCGCAGAGACGATATCAAAGGTGTGTGCCATCGTCTGTGTGGTGGGAGTTTGTAGGGGACACTGAGACTTAGTTCGTCAGGTTGGCTTCAAGATCTTCCTCAACATCACGCCGACCATCACCAACTGGACTAGCGACAGCAAACAGTTCTCCCTCGTTTTCGAAGAGAACCCCCTAGCAGATTTCGTCGAACTTCCCGACGACGGCCGAGCGCAAGACGAGTTGTGGTATTCGAATATCCTGTGCGGCATTCTGCGGGGAGCGTTGGAGATGGTTCGGCTACTCCCGAGTATGTACACTTTGCAGCAATGAGCTGACCCTACTCTAGGTTCACATGCAGGTAGAGGCTCACTTCACCAGCGACATCCTGCGTGGCAATGACACGACGGAGATGAGGATAACGCTACTACGATACATCGACGACGAGATGCCACCGGACGATGAGTGAGGCACGACAGATGCACCGGCCGAGTGGCTTCGAATGCTGTACGCTGCGAGCTGGCAGAGACGACCGCAGTGCCCGCCAGCGTTTTCCGGAACTGGCCACGACCGACGGATAGAACGGGTAAACGCACTTGGTGAAGTGTTCTTGGGCAACCCGAACCTGGTTTGCGGTGCTGGTCCTGCTGTGCAGTCAAGGAGAGTCAAGTTCGGAGGGGAGCTGGTACTGAGAGCCTATTCCAAATCAGTCAGACAACGTCACCCACCTGACCAATGTAAGGTCCGTGGTGGTATCAGCATTTCCAGAGAACCTCGAACTACCCTGGGGGAGCAGGGAAGACACCAGAGGCGATCTCTCGTTGGCCTCACAATAGAACCTTATATTCCCCCAAGGCACCCGAAGATACGATACTTAGGTATCCATGCGGGGGGTCGGGGAACGCCCAGAGGTTTGAGACAGCGCTAGTGCACGTGACAGACTCGAAGTCGCACTCAATCAGAGACGGGTCATTTTGGTCGGGCTGGGAGGCGTGTGCGGTGCTCATCTCTTGGTTCCATCACGCATGCATCGCCTTCGTTCTCTGCTCATGCAAGCAAACCGCAAACCGCAATCCGATTCATCGCAAACTGCGCTGCTCGACTTGGCGTGATTCTGTTGGTCTTTGCTGTGTGACACGTCCGTGCTAAGGTTCGCTTCGAGGCTTCAACCTCCAAGGCTCCTCCTAACCCCATTTGCGCCCCCCGATCACGATACCCTGCCCTACCTCACCTACTTCTGCTCCCCTCTCCACGCCTAAACACCACGGTCGGACATTTATATCACTGCAAGAAGCGCGACAAGTCGCTGTGCCAGACTTAGCCGACACCTAATCACGGCGCGCGTGGAAGCCACTTGGACATCGCGACATCGCAACATCGCAACCGCGGGCGCATCTTGTAACCTCCCACCCACCGCAACCTGGATCAGCACCACCGTCTGACTGCATCGCACAAACTCCGACCCGTCGCTTTTCGCACCCCGCTCATCATCGCTCCACACACCAATGCTATCCTGTCGCGTGTAGCAGCATCGAGGTGAGGTGGCCACACTGCTCCGATCACACCGCCGCAGCACCATCGCCGACACAGCGAGGCAATCGCTCAACCACCGTCGTTCTCACCGCATCACCAGTACTGGAGATATAGTCCGCCAGCATGAATCCGCAGCACATGAACATGGCCGGCATGAATGCCGCCGGGGGACCCGTGGGCGGAGCGCCCATGATGGCCAACGGTCCTGCCGGCCTGACCCCTCACGATAACCGACTCTTGCTCAACACCTACATTTACGACTATTTCCTCAGGAACCATCATTACGAAATAGCGCGGGTGATCCTAGCCAGCGATATTCATGTGGTCACCAAAGAGGAGAGCCCCAGCCGACGAGACGTCAACGGCGTAGGCGATGGCATGGATGGCGATAGCAAGGACGACATTCAGAAACGGCCTGATGACTTACCTCCGGCAGGCATACCGACAACCAATTCGGAGAACTCTTTTTTGTTCGACTGGTGGGGCCAGTTTTGGGATGTGTTCAGCGCGCATCGAAATAAGCCCATCAGACAGGGGTCGGGCGCGGTGACGTATTTGCAGCATCAGCGGGTATGGCCTGCGCATTCGCAGAATGAATCAAGGAGTGCTAACATTGTGGCTCTTCAGCAAATGTCACAGATGCGACAGGCAGATCAGCAGCACATGCTCAATCGGGTCAACCCCACCATGATGGGCAATCAGTATCGCCAAATGATGCAGGGCATGCAGCCGAACGGAATGATGCCGAATGATCTACAGAAGAGAGCGATGCAAAACAACAGGAATGCGTACGTGTGCAACGACTACATTGTTGCTGCTTCCTTGGCGCTAACGAGTCGACCCTCGATAGAAACCCCCAGCAATTGGCGCAAATGAAGAGCATGCAGCAGCAGATGATGCAGACCAGCATGCAGCGAGAAGGCTCGGGAATGGATATGGGCCAACGGCCTTCATCTCCCAACTCCGGTGACAATGCGCCCTCGCCGAAAAGACAGCGACTCGATAGCAGCACTGCGAACGGCCAGCACATGGGACCTGCTGGGAGGGGTCAAGGCATGCAGCAGATGGGCAACACCTCGAACACTGCAGCTATGGCGGGGCAGATGCTGCTTCAGAACGGTATTACTCCAAGCGACATCGGTTCGCAGCAGTTCAATCAGTTCCAAGCTCATGCTGCGAACCCGAACATGCAGCAGAAGTCTATAGAGGTATATGCTCAAAACCTCGCCCAACAGCAGAGATCAGCCATGATTAATCAAAACTCGGGAAAGGCAATGAACCCCGCCGGCGTACCACAAGGCTCCCCGATGACACAACCGAATCCTGATGGGCCGGACATGTACTTCCCACAGAACCGCGGCATGCAGGCTGGCCCACCTGGCAACTCTCAAGGCAACCACGCGCTGCAGGACTATCAGATGCAGCTGATGCTTCTCGAGCAGCAGAACAAGAAGAGGCTATTGATGGCACGCCAAGAGCAAGACAGTCTCACTCATGGCCCGCCTGGTACAGCGCCGATGGGACAGCAAGGATTTGCGCCTGCAATGTCGCCGCAAGGCAGCAGAGCTGGGCCTTCGCCGAACCCGAATGAGATGAAGCGCGGCACTCCGAAGATGGGTCAAACCGGTCTACCCGGATCGCCTATGCCGGACGGATCAATGCCGCAGAACCGATCGTCGCCCATCGGAAACTTCAACCCAAGCTCGATACCACCCGGAATGGCACCGCAACAGTACTTTGCTCAGTTGCAGCAGCAAAGCAACATGATGCGGCCACCCCCTGCCTTCAACGGACCAGCCCTCACGCCGGAGCAGATGGCGTTGATGGCTCGACCCGACAACAGGATGCCGAACGGTGCGATGTGGCAACAGCCTCCTCCACAGATGATGCAGCCGGGTCCAGGCCAACAGCCGATGCCCATGGGTACTCCGCAACAACGGAACAATCCGATGCCTCCTCCGCCAGCTCCCCCAGGCGGCGTGCAGCCCGGCGGAACTCAACCTTCGTCTCCAACGCAACAACCTGCTGCGCCACCAACCCCATCACAGGTGCCAAAGGGCAATCCAAAGAGTAAGAAGGAGACCAAGGAGACGCGGAAGGTAAGCCACCGTAGAGTTTTCCCCCTTTTGAACTCAGGCTGACCAGTTATGCAGAAACCAAATAAGAAAAACACTCTGGCAGGAACAGGTGCGACTCCAGTCGCATCAGAAGCGGAGCCCGCAACACCCACACCCGCCACACCTATCACACCACGACATCCGCAGTCGTTCAACAACCAAGGCAACGCAGGCGCACCACCCGGTAACATGCAAGCACCGCCTCCTGCATCCGGCGTCCCGCCACCAGCTGTACCATCGGTAATGGATCCAACAGCAGCCGCTCCTTTCGGCACAATGGACGGCCCAGATGTAAGTCTGGCATCTCTATTGTCTGTGATATATGGCTGACAGTGATACTAGAATGGGATGAACATGGACTTTGGGCCTTTAGATTCCGACAACGTACTGGAAAACTTCGACTTCGAATCGTTTCTTCACACAGACAACGACATGGGCGGCCTCCAGTTCGAAAACTTCCCCTTTGGTGCGGACGGAGTTGAAGCCGGTGCCGGGGATGTATGAACGGAGCCACTTTAACCCGCAAGACACCTGCACCTCTTGACTACTTCGCACCCATTCTGGGTCCTCTGCCCGCCAGGCCCTTCATGCTTCGGAGAAGTATTCTCCAGGCGCGAGCCCCCCCGCGCGCTCACCAGAATGGCCCTGTACGCTCCTGTAATTCTTCGCTTCATCTTTTATACCTGTCCTTTCCCAAGCGCCTGTTCATTCTTCCTCCGGCACAAAAAGAATCTCTCCACTTGGAACATAACTGTCTCTACCTATACCACACCGCCGTTCGCGGTGGCTGCATCTTGGATCAAGGTCCTGCCTGCGACACTGGGCAGACTTTTCGGCGTTGAGCGAGGCGGTATTGCTTGTGCTTTCGTGTCTGAGTGCTCTTTCTCTTTATCGATACTCTGTGGACCGGCCTGGTCCAGTATATCACTTTCTAAAATACCTTCTTTGGTGGTGTGTGTGGCGGTGCCCATGTCGAGGCGGGTGGGCGCGGCGCGCGTTTTCGTTTCCGGTACTCATAATTCTCTTACGCGACAAAGTTGGGGTTGGAAGCGGGGAGGCGGGGTCCGGTTGTAGCTAGGGGGAGTCGATGTCACGAATGGGTTGGCATAGTCGTCTTTATCAGCCGGTCTCTCTGTGCGCGTTCTTGTGTGAATGAGGCGCTGGTGCCCTGTCGAGAGCTGTTGGATAGTGCAGTGTCGACTGAGTCGAGGGGGCTGGGTGTTTAGGCGTTTGTGGGTTTCGTTGATCGAAGGCTGTTTGGTCTGCAGTACAGTACTCGCAATGTGAGGAATGCGTCAAGCAAGCTTTTACATGCAGCCTGGGTGAGGCCGGTGGTAAATCTCGTGATTGCGTGAGATGATCAGCCGTGGAGCCGTCCGGGTGGCCTGTGGCCTCTCGATCGCGCCGCAGCGTTTCCTGTCGAACGCATCCCTCGAGATTTGCATCACTGGCCAAAGATTCAGTCTCAGGTCGTCGGCCGCCCAAGAGGCCTTACATACCTTCTCGGCAAGCTCAGATCTGGGCTTACTACTCCGAGGCGGTGGCTCCCTTGAGCGGCTTTCCATTTACTTCGCGGCCGCGCATAGCATCAGAAGGGCTGTGCATGATCAGCCAGAGATGTGACGCCAGACAAGTGGCATCGCATCCTGAGGAGGCCACCCACGATGGCGCAATTGCTATGATGTGGTTGGCTGCAAGGCTGAATGCGGCAGAGCCTCTTTATCCCTCCGCTGTTCGGGTGGCCGCCAAACGTCGTGTTTATAATCGACGACGGCATCACCTCCCATCTTCTATCCTACGCGTCGCTTCATCCACTGCGGCAGCTAGGCAGCTGCGCTGCTAATCACTTCGCCTCGCCTAGCCCTACATCAGGGCCTAAACCTCGCATTTCGTCACGCTGTCTTTTATTCCATGTTCTGATTGCACAAATACGTTCGGGGCGGAGTGGTCCGTCGGTTTGTTTGATTGTCAGCTCCACGATTGTTCCGTAACTTCCAACCCAGTTAGTGCTTCATTAGAGATCCAACGACTATATAATAAAAACTATCACGACGACGCCTCTCAGGACTCTCTTTCTCATCCACAAGGCCTCGAGGTAAAGTTCGCCGTACTGTACCGACTTGTAGTTCTGTTTATATCTGATCACTGTGCTCAACCGCTCACGCTCCGATTGATACATAGAATTTCGCGCGCTTTGAGCAATGGCCACCAGACAGCAGGACCTGTGTACCGCAGTCCCTAAAAAGCACGGATTCAGTACCATCACTCCGGACGAACGCTGTTGATAACTACACTTTCTATCAGCCGCCTGAAGATGTACCGAGTCACTCAAGACCGTGGTCACTACAGGAGCCCGAATCGAGTCAACTGTCAGCAGGGTTCAATCTTGGTGAGCCTGAGGTAAACTCTGTTATGTCTGTATCTCAATATTCAGTATGCCGAAGCAGATCTACCAGGACGATTTAGCCGCACTTGAGCAATGGATCTCTGAGATGCCGGTTGTACCGGCCGACCTTTTCCCATCTCCCGCTACAGATTTTCCTGAGCTTTTGCTGTCGTCTTCTTCCTCCGCCATATGTCAACCGGTCCCCGAGTTATTTCCTGGCAACCGCCCACATCCCGGTAATGTGGTCAATAGAGGTACCTCACAACAGTTGTATGGCACCCCGCCTATTTCGGGCAACTCCTCCGCAACTCCAGAGCAGCGGTGCCCATACTGCAGCTATGTGATAACCCCAGCAAGTTCAACCTCCGCTGAGAATGGCACGCAAAATACATCCCGCAGTCCGGAACAGCAACCTGCAGCTCTCTGTGTTCCCTCCACCCAACAGCAGAGGCCCGTGCTGGATGCTTCTCCAACCGTAATGGCAGCAGGATTGCCTGAGTATCAATGCGAAACCTGCCATAAGACCTTTTCCAAACGACACTTTCTTAAGTAAGTCCGCTTCTCCGTCTGTTATTCTTGCATGCCAAAGCTGACCGATGCGTTCCCAAAACCGGCAGTCGACACAAGAAGCTTCATATGCGGACTTTCAAATGCATTCATCAGAGTTGCGGATGGGCCTTCGCGTCAAAGAAGGACCTCAACCGTCACGAGAGTACGTGTCATGGTGGCGATGAGAAGTTTTACTGTACCATTTCAGATTGCAAGTCCTCGGGGCAGGGCTTTAGTCGACGGGACAACTTGTTACGGCACAAGCGGCGTAAGCACCACCACTAGCGGAGATAGTGATCTGGAGAAGATGTTCTGGTGTCCGGAATATCTTTCTTTGTCAATTAGGTGGTGGTGTGTAAGGAGGCAGGCACATTTCGAGCGCTATTAATAACTCATGAACAAGCAAAGCGAATATATCACGCGTGGTTCCCGTGAAATCTTGAAGTGAGAACCGTATACATTTTTTAAAGCAGATATTCGAACCTCAACTAGAGACTGTAAGGCAATCTGCTGCATGACTCTGCCAGGTCAACGCATCCACGCACCTCTTCCCCCCTTTCTGTGCACCATTGCGATTGCCGGCCAAGCAGCATTCCAGAAGTCGTGAGACACTTTTTGGTGAAAGTCTGTGCAAAGCGTCCCACGATTCCTTGGTATGTTGCTTGCAACTGAGAGAGGGCTGGCAGGCTGGAACGACGGAAGTCCCTCTCCTCAGGGCGCCATACCACGTGTGCAGAGCCGCAATGCTCACGTTCATCTCAGTCTGCCTCAGTCCGCTGACCTCGGACCGCTGTGGGTGGCCGCTCAATCGCACTGCCACCACAGGAACGCATACACAGCATTGCGCGATACGAGCCGGAGCTTCGATCTTGGGTTTTCGGCGTAAGAGGCCTCAGAGGCCAGCCTTTATGGCGCGTTCCTTGCGATGTGGTTGGGCGCTAAGTCACGCGTGGCTTCCTCCATGCAGGTGTGGGCCGCTGGACGCACTGCTGTATAAGACCAGCGCATCGCCCTCTTTCATCTGTTTGGACCTTCATCCATCTCAGCCACAACCGAGAAGACGGCGTATCTGTATGGTGTAATTCCTTCGTTCATTACTGTTCGCGAATATATCAAGCTGATTGGTCAATTAGACACCTTCTCTCTGCTGACATCTACTGCGTCAATTTATGAGTGTCTGTGAACGTTCATACTCGATCGTATGATAGTCGCACGAAACTCGAGCACAGCCACCCGACCCGCTTCTCATACGACATTAAGTAGCTCAACAGCAGCCTCCATTTGTGCTTACGGTGACGGTAAACTCACTCTTGTATATACAAATACAGGATCACGCAGCACCGGCACGGGCAGAGGCTTGTCCAGGGGTACTGGCGCGAGGCCTCCGCAGCTCTATGATACTGTCTGATTGATAGGACTGTTCCTCAGACACCAGATGATCGTAAGACACGAGAGATCCAAAGGCTGATTCCACAAGGTGGAGTTTGTTATCCTACCAAGCCGTAGGACTCCGGGATTGCCTATTGGACCCTAGCTTGGACTTTGGCCACCAGATATACCGGAGGATTCCACACTACGGTCTTTGGACTCCACTTTGGACCGTCTGTTGTGCACGAAGTTGTCTTCTTGCACCTCATCTCATCTCAGTCTGTGCTCTTCTCAAAACCTTCAACACCTCCTACGCAGCCACCAGTAGGAGCATACTGCCTAGTCAACCTGGTCATCTGCGAATTGGTCCAGCCAGGCTTTTGACCAGTGGGGATTATCCAACCGAGCCGAAGCAAGCTTCCTTGAAGGTATAGGTAGTCTTCCACAGACTTGATCCCAGGTGCACTCACCCTGGTTGCGCTCTGCGTGTCAACATCCGCTTGCACGCCACTTTCTTTGATTTTTGTCTTTCAGTACCGCCAAGGGCATCATAGATATGAAGAGTCTGGCGCTGCCAGCATCCGTTCCGGAGGACTGGTTGGAGCTTGAGCCGGCTATTGATCCAAGAACACCACCTTCGCTGTACCAATTTGATGATCGATTCTCGCACCAGACGCTGGACGGTGTGTCGGATCTACTATCACCGTGGTTAACATCGGAGCCGCAAACCATTCAACTGCCGCTGGACGTGTATTTGGTCGGATGCGAGGTACCCCGCTGCGCATCCTCTTCGAGGCCTCGACGGAAACTAACCAGACTAGCAGGAGCAACAGATCCCAGGTGAGCAATGCATCTCCGAAACGGCGAATTTGCATGCCGGCCACCGCTCCTCCTCCTCCACGGAAGTCTTTGGCCGTACGCCGCTTCCTTACTATCCCAGGGGTTATCGACCAGACCCCGAGTCATCCAACAACTTTCTCCGCCATGAACCTAGCGTAGAAGCCAACCTGGATAGAGTCGAGTATCCACGGAGTTTCGAACAGGTGGCCAATCCAGCATTTCATATTCCTCTCGAGCAGTGTTTATCGATGCAGAGGCAGCAACACCCCTACTACAACTGTTCAACAAGGCATCCACCAAGGCCAGGTTTAGTTGAGGGCCATACTCCATATCATCTCAATGCGTCTCATGATCCTGGATCTCCGGTTTCATCTTCTCGGAATTGTTCCGTTTACTCGCTGGAGATTCTGCCGGATGCTTATCCGGCTATTGAGCAAGTGCCATTGCCCCAATTCCATCCCGGTTTGCTGTTTCCGTCTTTTCATGATCACTCAATCCCCATGCCGGGGCTTACACCGGATGCCTCTCCGCCGCAACGGGAACCGCAACTGTCCGGGTCCCAGAACGAAACCAGTGATGCTACCTCTGAGCGACACCGTCCCACGTAGGTCCCGTTCTACCCCGTTTCTTTGGTCCGTTGGTCGGGAGCCGCTCCGTGGTATGGTTTGGTTTCCGCAAGCTAACCGGTGTGTTTTCGGTCCTGGCAGCCGGCACAGAAAGAAATACGGCAAACGCTTCAAGTGCAGGTATGCACACTGTGAGGAGATGTTCACCTTGAAAAAGGATGCCCGCCGCCATGAGGAGAGGACCACGAAGCACAAGGAGGAACAGATGGATGCCGCAGTAAGTTCAGGAGCCGATAGAGCCTTGACGAGAAGCGACGGCGATTCGAGTACTCGGAGTCCCGAAGGGATTTATTGTTCTGTGCCTGAATGCAAGTATTCTCAGCAGAGTTTCACTCGGCCGGACAACAAGCGGAGGCACATGCGGAATGTGCACAAACAGGAGAGCTAACGGCTGCATGGTGGTGCCAGGACGACGGACGGAGTTTGGTTTGCGGGATGATGGCGCTTGGTTCGCTTGAGTATACCCTGTTGATGATGATTGGCACTTGGACTAGCGGAGGGAGTTGGATGTTTTATGATGTCAACGTTTTCCGAATCGCGAGTGGACACGCGCTATGTAAGGCAGCCGCAGCCTCTTTAATCAGACCAGATGTCATGACGGCGTGTGCTATTATCATCAACATGCATCTGGTCTTCAATCAGTACTGCCATCCTTTGAGTGAGTTGGTTGTACTGATTTCCAAGCCCCCTTGGGCGAGCATCACGACAGCTGCCACCCACTCTAAGTCTACAAGCGTCCCGTTAGCCAGCCGAGTTCTTTCGGGCGATGTATTGAAAGATAGACACGTAACCCCTATGTGTTCACTCGGTCCCAACAATCTGCAATCCAAACATCCGCGGCGCCTTCATCTACGCATAATGCTTCTTGATTTGATACAACAATACATCATCCCCAAGTCCTACCCTCGGGCCGCTCCTAACCGATAGACGGGATCAGCAGACGACGACCTGGGGAGAGCACCGCTTGGACGATAAGATTCGCCACATGTGCAGCAACATCACTTTTATGCGTTCCGAGGTGTATGCACAGAAGATCGACGCCATCTCGGTGTATTTGCTGACTGCACGGCTGCTGAAACCTTCCCACATCGCTGCAGCGTAATGTCTCGGTAGCGCTCGAGCTCTTCCGGCGACGATGAGATCTCGTCGTACGGCCGCTCATAGTCGTGAGCCCAATCCTGCCACAGCCAGACAGGAACGGCAGTCCAACCAAGTACTTGGAATAGGTAGCGACGCCTTGCCCGTCGATGAACGCGGTGACGTTTCCGTGGAGTCGACCAATGTATTCGGGTGGCCGGAGTCCGGGTAGGCGAGGACGTATTGTTCTGCTGTATTGCGGTCTGATTGCCCGTCATTGAGTGAGGCGAGGCATTCAAGCGCGATGTCAATGACTTTTCTACGCCGCTGGCACGGTTGTCCGGCGGATTGTCACTTCGATCTTGAGTCCTGTCCGTGTAGTAGTCCCTGTGAGGTGAAAGGCCGGTGCGAGGTGATCTATCTTGCAGATGGAAGACAAAGGAGCTTCGATGTGTGTCTGCGTCCAATGCCGTTTCGGGCTTAACCCGATCACAACAACCAGAACTAGAAACATTGACACCATCCGTGAGTTGCCAAGCGTTTGATCAGCGTACGTGTGATTAGAGCAAGGTGGTTCTCCAGATGGGAGGTTTGATCGCTCTTGGGCGGCAAAGAATTCTTATCCACATAGCAACGAAATAGCGCGTCTCGATGGCCGCTGAAAGGTAATGCGATTCTGCGAGTGCCGTAGGTTTCGAAGGAACGGCCTATTGTACGTCATACTGCGAAAGTGGTGAGGAGCCCGCGATGGGAGTCTTCCCGCTTGAAGTGCGTTGTTCTACAGCTCCGAGATGCTCATCCATCGTGTTGCTACCCATTCTGCCTACGATGAACCATAAAACACACTGGCAGATACTAAATAGGACGGAGGGAGAAGGAAGGCAGGGCCAACGGAGGTTCCACCGCACTGACTAATCTGGACCCTGCGGCTCACGCTCTTCAACTTCGTCCATTGGGGTACAACGGAACCTGCGAGTCATTCATGTAGACGCGATATTCGGTCGTCTTGCAAAACAAAGGCATTCATTGTTCAGAGCTGCCGGAGCCTCGAGGGTGCGCTGCGAATTGCGAACGGTAGGCCTGCCGCCACGACTTCAAGGAAACGAATACCAGCAGCACGAGTACTGGTCCTCGGTGCTTGCATCAGGAGGGAGCAAGGCGTTGGGACGCCCCGCTGTGGCCGAAAGTATTGGATGCTGGCATGTTCATTAGCACAATGTGAACAGGCAACTTCGTAAGAGGGTCTGGTAGAAAGTAGATCCTGCAGTGGTCGTGGTCCAAACTGTTTGCAGTCAGCAGTTACCAAACCTGCTTGATATTTTACCAAGCAATATGGACCTCAACATATAAGACGGTGTGTTTCTCGATCTGTACGAGGCTTTGCAAGTATGATAGACCTGCACACAAGACTGTACATTGTATAGGATAATGCGTAATCGTCTATAGATTTGGGGCTTTGTTCGATCATGAAGGAACCGCTCGACCTTCGAGGAGTCGCTCAGCTGCTCCACTCTCGCTTCGTGAGGTGCAACAGATGATAACACATAACGCCTTTGCGGCCGTACGCAAGTTGGGATGCAGTGTTGCTCGTGGTAGTTTAGCTGGTAAGTGGCCTGTCGTTGCCTCGATCCCGGCAAACAAAGTCCGATAGAGTTGGCATAAGACACGGCTCTAGAGTTTTATGCTGAGTGACGACTGATGCACATCTTGACAGCGACAATAGGGATGACGCTACACGCCGACCATAGGCATCGCTCATGACGACAGCACATCACGTGTGTTTGAGACTCATTCAGCCGCCGGTGAAGCAGTCCAAGCGAAGTTGTCCCAGGCAACAGTCGAGTACAATCCGGATCAATCAGATGGTTCAGTAGGACGCGCTTGTTGTTGGTGAATCTACATGCAGGGTGTGCATGATATCTTCACCTTCGGCAGTAACATTACGCGCAATCAAAAACCTGCTGTGCACTCTCTCCCCCCAACATAAACACTGCTCCTGAAACATCTCCATCCAATACACCCTCGCTGCGCTCCGCTGTTCCACTGCCACTTTGATTGTCTACACGTCTTGATACTCTGCTTGCGCTTGCGATAGACGTTTCTTGCTGTGTCATTACGCCTCTCATCCCGTTTTCGTGCATTTCAAGGATCGCTCGTCTCAAGCGAAGCAAACCTCGAAATCGCGTAAAAAGTCTTCTCAAATCCCCCGGCAACCCTTCCCAGTCCAAAGCAAGCACCGATTGCTACGGGAGAGGGGCCAAGATGCCGATCATCGACGACAAGGAGCGCGGTCCGAACGGAGACCAACGCGGTCGGGGCGGGATAGCGCACCACTGGTACGTTTCCCTACTCTCTCAACAACTGCTGGCAAGACTGCCCCTGCTGACAGGTCAACAGCCATGAGTGCCGGGGCGCCGAGAAAGAGTCCTGTTGGTACAACGGGCATCTGGCGCTATGCGAAGTGGAGGACTGCCGTAAGCGGTTCAACGCGAGATGGGGCTGTGTCAAGCACCGGTACCGTGAGGCGTTTAACCTCCGGGCCAAAGCTCAGTTCTTTGGAGAAGACTACGAAGAACTGGAGAAAAAGTTCGCATGGATGAAGGTGCGATCGACCGAGACTCAGGAAGGCGATCCATCTGGAAGCGATACTCCGGTGAACGGCGACGAGAATGCGGCCGAGAAGAATAACGAGGAGACGAGACTCGACCCGTCAAAGGAGGCCGAGCCGAAGACAAAGACACCCGTCTCGGTCAAGACAAGAGAGCTTACCCCCCAGCAAAGTACAAAGCTGGGGAGGAAGTACAAGGAACGATCACCGTCTCCAGACCCGGAAGAGGCTCCGAGAGAGGAGCCAAAGACCAACGCCAAGACGCGGAAAAGAGAAAAGTTTGCTGCGCTGATGGAGAAGAAAATGGGGAAGCACGCAGGTGGTTCCAAGAAGCCTGGACGCGTAAGATAGCCATCGCGTTCAGTTCCGTAGGATGTCACTGACAAGAAGCAGCGCGACTCGTCCGAGTAAACCACTGCTGTCTGGTTTTGGTCACTTCAACAGCATGCACTCTGGACCAGTTGATGATGATAGTATTGGTGACTGGAAGACTTTGAAATTGGCAAATGGGACAGCTGGACTCGGTTGATCTGATTCATTCTGCTTGCATGGCTCTGTTCGATTCCTTTCGTTGCTTCCGTTTTGGTACGGTTAGATGGGATCTCCGAGTTGGCGTCTTGTCCTTGAAGCATGTCCAGCTGTATACGCTGCATAACGCATAGAACGTACAGCATATCTTATACGTTAGACGCGCATCACTCTGCTTTCGATGCTTGTAACGTCAGACGCTCGGCTCGCCGTTTCTCAACCCACTCGCCAAAAGGCCTCCATATGGCCTCTTTCTCGGCCGGCCGTGTTGAAGCAGACAGCCCACTAGTACTCGTAGTCACGAACACCTTAGCTCCGCGCCAGACTTTGCCCTCAGCATCTAACTCTTCGACTTCGCCCTCACTTTTGCCCATGTTCTCCTTCTCATCCTGCCACCCGTACTTGAACTGCGCCGCCGTGGGGTTCTTCCCGTACCTCCATCTCCAAATAGCTTCCCAGATCCCCTTCCCCACGATACACACAGCTTCAGGCTTGTACCTCCTGACCTTCTCCTCCAGCGCCGCCGTGCCGGCAGCCATCTCGGCTTTCGACAGTTCCGCAGCATCCTTCGTAGGCCGCTCCACAATGTTGGTGTTACCCAGACTGTACAGCCTAGGAAGGTCGACGTCCTCTTCCGGCTTCAGTCGCCGATCTGTGCAGCCGGACGAGTGCAGCAGCCTCCAGAATAGGTTCGAGGGGTGTGCGTAAGCATGGCCGGCTGTGGCAGTGCGAATGCCGGGATTGTTGCCGATAAAGACCGCGATGAGGTTGGGCTCAAGGATGTCGGTTAGGAGCGGAAGATGAGCGTACTTGGAGGGTGGGGCGTACTTGCTCGGGCTGCGGCGCTTCTTGGAGGGGCTTGGGGAGCGAATTGCGAAGTCGGCATCTTCTCTGAGTGGTAATTTGCGCTTCAGCCTGCCTTTTGCTGGAAGGGACCCGACAGCCGCTGTCCCAACGGAGGCCTTGGTGCTGGAGGTGAACCCGAACTGCTGCAGCTTGCCATTGAAGGTTTTGGGCGGCATGTTTTCCGTTTCTTCGCTGTGGATGGGGCTTTCCGATGCTTCCGCCTCAGTGTGTTCTTCCGTTGCTAGACTCTCGACCTCTTGGTTCACATTGACGGGTTCAGTGGATGTCAGCTTAGCTGCTGCTGCTCTTGTGCGCGCCATGTCCGCTTCTGTGGCACCGATGGTGACACACGTTGCTCAAACGCTTCTTGGTTGTCCATTTTGAGGGGCGAAAGAAGCCTGAGGCTGGATAGGCAGAGGTGAGGTCCGAGGGGGCCTGAAATCTCGGCGAAACTGTTGATCCCGTTCAGGCCTCCTATTTGGGACACCAGCTTTAGGCCTGTTGCATCTCCGCTGTAGGTACCCATGGGCTCCTCAATTGATATATGTAAACGAAGAAAAGACGCGGATGTTGCGGTCACACCAATGCGGAGGGGTGATAGGCCTGACAGCCTTAGTTGGTACGGAAACTGCTACCGTGGCCCATGAGCGGAGGGCATGGCAAACACATCCGCCGCGATCATGCGGGCTCCCTACCGGGGAAAGTCATTGGAAGGCTGTTAATACGGACAAGTCTTTCCTCAAGCTGGCATCGACACGATCGAGCTCTTTCTATCCATTTGTTGTACCTTCAAGGGTTACCTCAGTCTCCCTTACATCTCCTTTCATGAAACTGCACCGTTACCCCAAGGCTATGTATCCCTTGGGTGAGTGGCATATGTGGACAAGTACAGATCATTGGTTGGATGTCTATGCAAAAGTAACACCATTTACCGAATAATGTTTACCCTAATAACCTTCCGACGGACAAATGTGCACTTTTTTCATCCAATTACTGTTTGCTCGCGTGTGTCCAACGGCTGGGCCGCCTGCACTCAAAGCAGTTAACCGAAAGGAGGAACAGTCGGAGTGTAAGCTTTGAACAGTCGCAATCTCGTCGAGTTATAAGTCCAGGACTCGCTCTCTTCGTATGAGAGCATCAGGTATCAACCGCAGTCTCTTCATCCGGCAATCTTTACCACAAGCCACTCCAATCTACCCTATCTCATTCGTTGTCACCTACTCAAATAACTATCAACCCACCAAAATGCACGTCCGCACCCCCTTTTTCGCCCTCACCCTCACCCTCCTCACCTCCCTCACCGGCACCTTCGCCGCTCCAGCCACCGAACCCGACATCGCAGCCCGCCAAGCCGCGCCCTGCAACCCCGACTACGTGCCCTCCTCATGTGGCGCATGTCACTACTTCCGCGGCTGCACTAGCTTCCAAGGGGCGTGGATCGTGCCATGGTAAGATCACCGCATCCTGTCGCTGGCAGTGGAGGGCAGTATTGGAGAACGATGCTAATGGAGGCTGTGATTAGTCCTCGCTGTGACGCCACCGCGTGGTGCCAGTGCTACGGACCGTTCCCGAATGGACCGTACTTTGATCCGGGACCTGCTCCGACGACCACGCCGAGGCCTGCTCCGACTCCGACTCCTGTCTGAGCGTAAACCGGAGGATTGCGATGGGGGACGAGAGGATGGAGGTGTATGAAGGCGGCAGTGGGAATGAAGTGGAGATGGGAGCCCGGAGCCATACCAACCTGTGCGAGGTTCTTCGAGTAGTACACTTTACGTATGAGCGACGGTCGTGTTCCTGTTGCCAAAAGTCTAAAAAAGCACCGCAATGTATTGTCTACCTAGTATCATTTCACCACTACAGTACTTCCGGATGGAATAAGGTACTACTATGCAAATTCAGATCAATGCTGAAAGCCCCTGCTCCCACGAGTATGACACCATCGTCTCACAGCACAATGACTATCGCCGCGTCTGCCCTACCCAACACCACCTCGTAATGCCTAGATTCCGAAAACATTCCGCGCTTGTGTCTGTGTGCTTGTCAGCAGACCGTCAAATCCCAACTCGCAGATGTACTGAAACATACCAAGAGCCCCGGCTTCTTCTCCATCACATTTCCAAACTCGACATATCCCTTGCCAACCTCTTCTCCCTTGTACGAGAATCTGGCCTGCCCCCATCTGCAGGCAACAAGAGCGGGCAACAGTCTCCGGCTCGTAAAGCCCCTCTTGGAATCCTCCTTAGTCCTGTCGGCAGCGCCGCGCCTGTAGGCGACACAGGCGTCAAAGCAGCAGATACGAGTAAGCACGATGTCTTTGGAATGCTCGTTGAGCCATTCATCCGTGAATCCGTTGGCCGGATCGTACTCCTGTTGATGCGGGTTCTTCTTCATCATGGTCTGGCGGTTGTAGCAATCCATAGTCTCCCTGTTGAAGGAGTCGTCCTTGAATGAGGACGAGAAGTGGTAGATTTTGTGCAGGTCACGCTGAATCTTGATGCTGACGAAGGCGGCGGTAGTGACGATCCGGTAGAGGTGTGTCCTGAAATTAGTGGCGGCACCGGTATCCTTCCAGCAGCCGCGCTTATCGACTAGCTTCTGGTCCAGCATCAGAATGGGCAGGAGGAGTTGCTCGAGCTGCAAGACCAAGTCGCTCGAATCAGAGACGAAGTACTCTGTAAGCTTAGTACCAGGCAGCGAGTGGTCTATGACATCAGCTCGTTCCTCAGCACGATCAAAACCTGTTAGGTCGGTACAGGTTAGCGAGTGTTTGACAACCCGACCAGGATGAATAGAGAGAAGCCTCACCATTGCCATTTTTCGCTGCGACCTCATATCTCTTCAATGTCGCAATTTGCCTTTCAGGAGCGCCGAACAGCGGGCCAGCAAAGACGTATTCTTTGAGCACCGTGCCAATGACACCCATAACAAGAGCCATCCTCAATTCGGCCTCAGAGAAGAGCTCGGCCCAGTCAGCGGAACCTCCCGGTCTGCCAACAGCAATGCAGCCAACGATCTTCTGGAGCTCTGGCGTCATGACATCCTTTAGTGTGGAAATAAGCTTCTCTATCGTTTGCGTCGGAAGGTCGAACATGAAGAAGGTCTTGGCAAAGTCCTGCGTGCGCGAGCGTACATCTGTCAATTGCTTTGTTATGATATCATCAGCGGCGATAATGGCACCCCGCTCTTCGTCGAAGGATGTAGAGCCCAGGGCATCTGTGACCAAGGAAGGCTCCCGGGCTGTAGGAGGTTTGGGAGCAACAAATGGCTTTGGGCCGGCCGAGCTTCTATCGGCGGAGAACCCGTTTACCATCTTCCAATGCTTTTCGACAAGCGGCGCCCTCCGTTTCCACCTGCGGCTTATCTCCGCCGATGACATACCGGGCGGCTTGTATGCTTTCTCCGCCTCAGCTGACTGACACGCAAGCCGGATCGGATCTGGTTGCTGTTGCTGGGGTCCTCGTGTGGTGGTGCGCGTCGGAGCAGCTTTGGATCTGGACTGCTGAGGCGTAGGCTTCGTAGCGATGTTGGCCGCCCGTTTTTCTGCGCTTACAATATCTCCAATGAGCTGCAAGCTGGGTCCGACAAAATCTGCATCTCTCGTGGCTCTAGTCACCCTGGCCGGCCGAACGGTGCGATTCTTCGCGCCAGGTGCTCTGGGCCGCTTGTCTCCTACGATCTTGTCGTTGAACTGGGTTATCTTCTGTTTCTTCCCAGGCGTGCCGAATGTCGCGAACTTGCTGGTTTCGTCGCGGATTACTTGCGTGCTCATCTCGCCGTCAGCTCCAGCCCTAGTACGCTTCTTGGTGCGCTGGACGGTGATGGTCTGCACAGGCTCGGTGTCTCTGGTGGCTGTCACAGCTGCAGAGCTATCCTTTGTGGTAATGCTTCTAGTGACGGCCATTTTCGAGGCGAGATCCCTGCAAATTCTCGTGGTGCTAAACTACGGTGCTGTGGATTGGAAACCGAATATTAACGCAATGCAAAAGCTGGCAGTTTTTTTTGTAGGCGTATACGGGGCAGCGCCAGTTGCGAAGTGCGAGGACGGTCTTGAGTATAGCCAGAGGAGAAGAGTGGCTGCCGCTGATTTCTTGCTAGCTAAGAGTCTTTGACGTTGATGCAGTGAGCTGGATGCGGTCGCGAGCATCTGTCCAACGACCGGAAGCAGGGGATCCTTTGATGAAGCCGTCCGACAATCGCATCTATCGAATGCCTTTGTGCAATCTTCCGCCCAGCTCTTAGTCGCATTCAGCGCAGGAGTAGTACGATAATTCTCATTGTCAAATGCATGATTCTCGCCCATGAGCTGAGTTACAGAATGAAGCAGGCCGAGCAGAGCAAAGCCGCATTCCACGCAAGGTATTCCCTATACAACAAAGCCACACAACAACACCTGCCGGCGGCCGGCTCGCGTGATCATCGTCCATGTACTATTGCTGTCCTTGGGGTTTGTCAAGACCAAGATTGAACAATTTGCCTACTCGGCACAGGCCAGTCAAATATCGCATGAATACGGCGTTCGGCCTGCAGGCCTGTCTGAAGTCCGTAGCACAATTGTCGACTTGTTGCCGGCACATGGAATGGGACTCCGATATGCGGTCAAGCCCTAAGCGAACACGTATTCCTCTCGACTTGAGGATACCTCAAACGGAAGGACTCTTGTAGGCTTCGGTAATATGCGGTGCTTCCTCCTTCCTCTTCATGCCTATCTGCCACAGCTGGCGTAACGTCTTGCGATTCGCAACATCTGCCGCTCTTCTCTGCACTATTCGCACCGGTGCTTCGGTGTTCTTTGGATTGTGTTCACTGAGGCCCCTCAGCGGCACTGATTTTGCTAAGTCATCCGTGATCAGGTTCTTCCTTATATGGAATCCGTAATAGTATGGTGACAGCTCCAAGTATTTCTGGTGGTCCATCGTTGAGACGTCAGCAATGAGCTTGAACTCCTTTGCGGAAGGGATATGCTCCTCCGCTGAGTTCGGATGGGTCGTGGGGGGACTGGAGGTGTTCGCCACTGTGTGGGAGGGACCAGAGGAAGATGGCTCTAGTGAAGGTTCATCTAGTAGCGATATCGACTGGCTCTGTCCAAAGGAGCCCCACTTGCCATCTCCTGCGGTGCTGTGTAGCAACGTGCTTGGTCGTACCAGCTCTTCAGCATCTGTTCTGCCGGAACCACGCCCCGTCACAAACTCTGCATCATCTGCGTTGTCTTCCAGTGTATTGTCATCCTGGTCTCTCGCGGCCTCCTCGCCGGAGACCCTCTCCAAGGTGAACCGTAGCGGGGAAGCTTTCAGCACCTTTGTGGCTGATTCGGCGTGCGAGAATATGGCTATCGCTGTATTAGGTGCAGGGTTGGGTTGCTCATACTAGTAACGGTAAGCCTCTCTGTTGATTGCGCAGCAAGCATGATTGTAAAGACTTCTGTTACTGACTTTGAGGCTCTTGAACATCGCTACATCGCCGAACGTCTGTAACATCCGGAGTACCTCTCGGCTCTCAGTTAGATTGGCCGGGCGGGGATGTATCTTGAGATGCAGCGCTCTGTTAGCCAATTGCATGCCTGCATTTGCAGCTCGATGAGCGCTCGCCATGAGACAGCATAGAAGAGCGACGACTTCACGCACTGAAGCGTACCTGCAACACGAGCTGGGATAGCTCCAAGTCGCTGGGAGCTAAGCGGAAGGTTTTCGGTCACGTGCAGCAAGCATCTCTTACTTCAGTTGTCCGCCAACTCATTCAAAAGAAGGATGTCCATGCAAATCGCAGATACGCTACAAAGTTAATGCTGTTGATTCGTATCGGGCTATTTGCACCATGTCCGTACAGTGCCAGATGCACTACACCTTATTCGACTTCAGCCAGCGAGGCCGAACACCACCAAATGCCCATAGTGGTCTCGCGAAGCACCGCTTGACGCGTGTCGCCTTACCAGCGGCTGTCCCAGCCTTACGTCTAACCCGTACACAAAACGCCGCGCTAACGCTGTGCCAGCATACATCACTCCCATGGTATCTTTATGCATGCTCCCCAAAAACCAAGATGCCCCAAACGCCGTTGTGCTCCCGCCGACAGTTGGACGTTGACATGCCCTTACTTTCTGCCAGCACGATTCCGTGGTCGGTCTCTCCGAAAGCGGATCTCTTTCGCAACGCCGGCCTGCGTATTGAAGAGGTCGCCGGACCGCTTGTACTTTAAGCTATGCGACGGCACAGCTGAAGTGCTCACCCGTCTGAGCGTCCGGGCATCGTCAGAGTCGTCGCCTTCTTCGGATGATGAGTCGATTGCGTCGTCGCTTGAGCCGGACCTTGAGCATACGCGACATTGCTCGCCGGCATCCACCATTCTCTCCACCAACGACGAAATGCTTCTGATGTGGAGAGAGTCGCACTGCATCCGAGTATGTCGCTGTCTTTGCGCGCGGATCGAATCACGAGAGGAGTTGCTGGCTACTGGCGATTGAGACTGCGAAGGATACTGAAACTCCATCTCGAGGTCCTCCTCGTCTGGCGGCGTCGGCGGTTCGAATTGGGCTCGTTGGCTATAGCCAAGGCTGTACTGGTTGAACCTCTGCGCCAAATCCGTCATCGAGTCTGCCGCGGGAGTGTGCGGTCGGTTTGGAGCAGCCCAGGCACACGGCGATGACGTTGGGGAGACCAGAGCCTCCGTATACATTGAAGGTGCATGCATGGTAGACGGGTGCCGGGAGGCAGCTTCGAAGGTAAAGCCCGCAAACATTGTTGGGAGTGTGTCGAAGTCAGATAGGGTGGAAAGGAGGACCAGACAGCGTAACCTGTTCCATCCTGCGCGGGCCGCAGCACGTTCTTATGACGGTCGAGAACGCTGCGCTAATGAGCTGCGTAGGGCTCCATACTCTACCAGTCTCTGGGGTGGTGTCTTGACCTGGCTGAGGACCCGAAGCGCTGGCATCGGCCCATGGCACCAGGGTTGAAAGGCCGAGCAACCAAGCCGCGGTAAGGGCCAGATTCAGCCCTGTCCTGGCTGTGGCGAAACGTCGGCCCTCGAACGCCGTCGGAGCGCCATGTTCGTCCACCGGCATCCCGAGGCCCAATTGAAGGTGTTCAAAGGTCCGTCGCCCTCCTGTTGGGGAACACTTCCGTCATGTGGTGTTTCCAAAAGGAATGGTGTTCGAACAGCGGCAGACGGGATTGCGTTCATTGCAGAGGTGGGGCCAGCAGCCTGCCGTTGATGGGGCATCCCCGCAAGCACCCGTTGGTTCGAAGATGCATTCCATCGGAAGAATGCGGAGTGATGGGCGCTAAAAGCTCGGTAGAACCATTCTAGAAATATTGTCGCGGGAAGGGCTGTCGGCGTTCTGACCGGGCATTTCACGCCGTCATCGTCGGGCCAGGAAACGGAGCGCGTGTTCGTCCTGCGTTGCCGAGCTGTGTCTGCCTCCATTAGTGGGGGCTCGATAGCTGGGGTTGCTTGGTGTGGTGACCTTCAAATATTTTACTGGCTACTCATCGAATTCCGATGACGACATCATAAATCGTAACCTGCAGTCAAGGCAGCGAAGAGGCACATCGGACGGAAAAAAAGCCTCACTGCGGACCTAGAAACGCAAGGCCTCATCAATAACAAAGCTCCCTTTACGATCGATGTGATGCTCCACAACACGTCTGAATAGCTAGCTTATTCAACGATTGTTGTTCTATCGTTCACTCATCGTAGATTACCTCCCAAAGTTGATGGCGGAATAGGGCTGGATAGCCGTGCGCGGCGAGGCTTTTTTCCCGCCCGACGTGGGAGGCTCATCTGCCACCCATATTGGTCAGCTTCAGCCTCGTACATTTCCAGCAGAGGTTGAAGAGCCGCCCATACAGCCCGACCTGACTTTAGAGCACTCTGTTGGACGCTGGCTGCAACCTAGACGCTCTTGTACGTGACCGATAAGTCGGTCGAGCGCCAGCCTAACGACCATAGACTAAGGCAGCCTTCATTAACTCTTCCGCAGTTTTTACGTTGCATTGTCTATCCAACGCGTGTTACCTGACTACCTAATTAGCTCAAGAGCCGTCTCTAGTACACTCATCCTGGATAAGTACCTGAGCCCGTTATCTTTCTAGTTAACAGCATAAACAACAGCAAGGTATCGGCCAGCGATCTTGTGAGTTGAATATGCCTCGGACCTCAGTTTCTTTCCCTCTCTTCCTTTTGAGTGAACGCTGGCAGAGCTGCGTTACTCTCCTATGTAGGTCAACCACAGACAAGACTAGCCACGTGGCAATACACGCTATTCATACTCAACTGGGTTGAAGTGTCATACGTTTCGGCGATGGTTCACAAAGTCTCCAGGTTCCGATGCAGTGGGAAGGCAAGAACTGTCCAGTGGACCTTTCATCTTCACCTTTCAATACAGCATACGAGCAGAACGCTGTGAGCGGAGGCAAGTGCTTGCTAACTGCTACCCTTGTGCCGTGGAGAAGCTGGACGTACATCAACTGGCAACATACTCTCAGGGATTGCATGCGAATAGACCCAAAACAACCTCTTTCCAACCACCAGTTCGAGGTCTACTAATTCCGCTACGTCGTAGGCCAGTTGTTTTGGTTCCGCCTGAAACGATACGGGAAAACGCCTTCTTGCGCCAGCAGGCCGTTAAGCCCTTCTCATGCGCAACACTTGAGCAGCTCGAAGCAGTGTTGTACCGTAGCCTCGGGCTGTATATTAACTTAAGGCGCCATGTGTGACTACACGTTTAAGTCGCTTTCTATCGCATAATGACAGAAGGTATGTTGATTCCTCCACCCGACACCAAGCATGTGGTATCTTTACCGCCAGAGTCACTTCTCCAATGCTAATCATACGAGTACTAAACGTGACCTTGAGCTTTGCACCCGACAACAGCTCCTCCCTAATCTGCTGCAAGTTTGACGAGGAATCATCGATCCAAGACCCATGATATTGCTCGAGATGTCGATTGCAGAGGCAGTCATAGGTCGAAGGCAAGGACTCATCATCGTGCTATAGGTACTCTAAATTACGTTATGCTATTCGGGTTCTTATCCGCCGAAGTGCCAGGTCGTCAAGTCGTAGGTCTTTGAAATCAACGCTAGACTTGACGAGACGCTGCCGTCGTTAGCAGTGGAGAAGACATCTGCAGATGGCTTGCAAAGCGCGCAGTCAACTTGGTTGAGTTACCAATTCCCCTGAGTCAGGTACCCGCATTGGAGCTGCTCGGCTAATCGACGTAACCCAAATAGGTAAGCGCAGTTTCCAACGTTGCTTCTTGTTCATCCTTTTTGATTGTCCCGTCTTCAGTGTGCGTTTATGCGGGTTTTTGCATCGTTCTTCAGCCTTATGCGAGTTCGAAGTCACTATCACCTGTCTAGCGGCCACAGCGAAACTCATCGCATGCATCTTCAGTGATCGACGGGGCTCGGCTGCAGCAATGCAGCCTTAAGCACAGGCGCTGCGGAACGGGAGCGCTTCCCCTGTTTCGGGCCAGCTTCTTCTATATGTCGCCCTTCAATCATGCACCGAGTCATTCATGAGTTTGCCCACAGAAGCAAGTCATCTCCGTATTCTAGAAAAACATCGATTGCTGACAGACCTGAGAGCCGGGAGCTATTGTGAATGTGTTCTCGCTCAAAGAGGCTCTGACGTGCTAATGTCGCCTACCCCTTAAACCCTGACAAAGTTCCTCGCTGGCAGCGGGAGAGGCGTTGTCCGCTTCAGATAGCGCTGGACCCACCCGTGGAAGATTAGCAAAGGGGTAGTCGAGGCGTTTGGCGATCCTTCTCTGCATCAGATTCATTAGCCTGGTCCTGAAGTGGTGAGTCTTTTTAGCCGCGATGAAGAAACAGGCGCATACATATGCCGCCGGTTGCCCTGCTCTGAGTCTTTCTGTGTGCAACTACCTTCGCTGCTAGCCAGTCATTCCTTTCAGTACATTATTTGTACCCACACTCTTTTCATCAGTTCATCGGTCTAGCCCAACACAATGGGCCTTCAGTCCTTCCTTCTTACGGCCAGCCTAGCGCTGCTTGCCAACGCTTCACCCATTTCACTTGCACCAAGAGCTGTTTCCTGTCCCGGCGCCAACAACTCTCTTTTCACCGTCCCAGCAACGGGAACAAGCTATCGCGTACAATGCTCCACCGACTACTACGGAAACGACATGCCCGGTAATCCCGTCTGGGTCGGCTCCCTCGACGCCTGCATTACCGCCTGCGACTCGAAGCAGGGTTGCAAAGCCGTCGCCTGGGTTTCAAAGGACGGTGGTTGCTACCTGAAGAGCGCAGCCGGCACAGCGAGTGCGAATGGCAACGTCTGGGCCGCGAAGTTCAACGCCGCTGGCACCCCGAAGGCGACTTCGCCCTCCGCCCCCACCCCAACCACCGTCGCCGCCCCTGGAAGCGGCAAGCGTGGCCTCGCCTACAATGATGCCTCCCTCACCTCCATTACATCAGGCACGAAGTCCAAACTCACCTGGGCCTACAACTGGTTTTCCGCGCCCGGCGCCGGCCAGAACAAAGCCCTGACCTTCATACCCATGCTCTGGAGTGACCGAGCCGACCACACAACTCCCTGGGCCGCAAACGCCAACGCCGCCATTGCCGCGGGCGCCAACACGCTCCTCGCTTTCAACGAGCCGGACCAGTGTGGCGGCGGCGGGTCGTGCATGCCCATGGCCAACGCCGTCGCGGCCTACAAGAAGCACATGCAGCCCTTTGCCGGCAAAGCGAAGCTCGGCGCTCCGGCCGTCACGAACGGCGGCGGGACCATGGGGCTGAACTGGCTGAAGACGTTCATCACGCAGTGCACGGGCTGCACGATCGATGTCATCCCGATCCACTGGTACGACTCCGCGACCAATGTGGCCTACTTCAAGAATCATATCCAGGAGGCGTATAAGGCGGGAGGCAATCGGCCGTTGTGGATCACAGAGTTTGGCGCGAGCGGCACCGAGGCGCAGAAGATTGAGTTCTTGAAGCAGGTCATGCCGTGGTTGGATAGTCTGAGCTATGTCCAGAGGTATTCGTACTTCATGGACTCGAAAGGCATTTTGGTTAACTCGAATGGGGCGGGTATGACTCCGTTGGGTCAGGTTTTCGACAGCTATTGAGCTGGCTGGTGGGGGGTTATTCTTCTTGTGAATATTTGGATACGGGCTGGATATCGCGATCTACAAGTGCAGGGCACAAGACATATATCCTAACCTAGGAGAGGTCGACCTTACAGACGTTTCGGCAAAGTCCACTGGTTTCACAAAGTCACGTGATATATATACGGTCTTCGTCATGAACACCAAGCCATGACCATTTTCGATTAATGAGTCAATGTTCATTCAATACTCTACGTTCTATCCTCTTATCTACACACCTGCTCACATTCCCTCACCCGCATGCCCCGTAGGTCCCTGCACCATATAATCCATAGCCACAAACGCCCTATCCACCTCCTCAAGCCCCTCAGCACAATACTGCAGCGTCTCCGCAACATCATGCGCCCGTCTCAACGGCGTCTTTTCATCCAACATGATGTCCATCTCGACCCACACCCCATCCCCCGCATGGTACGCTGTAACAGCCTTGTAGCCGTCCACAACCGGCGCGAAGCGCCATGCTAAGTACAGCAGCTTCTTGTGTAGACGCGGGGAGGCGGCGGCCCCAGTAAGGCGCGTCACGTTTTGGAGCAAAGTGTCGGCCCAGTCGTAGATTATGAAGAGCGAGAGGAGGAGGGCGCCGAGCGGGTCGAGCCACCAGATGTTGAAGCGGTGGCCAATTAGGGGGAAGGCTAGGGAGAGGGTGTTGAAGACGACGTCGGTTTTACAGTCTGACGCGTTGGGGTCAGCACGTGAAGATCTGGGGGACGATGAGAGAGGTAGAAGGCTTGCCTTGCGCCAACGCCTGGATCTGCGTCGTCTTTATCCGCGCACACCCGATCCAGATGAAGCCTTTGATACCCACGGTCGCCGCCAGGGCGCCAATCGCGACGGCGGGGAGGGGCGCTGCTTCTCCCTCGCCCGGTAGCAATTTCTCGACCGACTCTTTCAGGATCTGGAGGAAGGAGACGATCATGATGATGGAGAAGACGAGGATGCCCAGGGGCTCGAGGCGCTTGCGGCCGACGGGGAACTTGGCTTTCAGGCGCGCCAGACGCCACTGGACGAGCTTGTTCGTGGACCACACAATCAGCGTGCAGAGGAGATCGAGGGCCGAGTCGGCGAGCGAGGCGATGAGGGACAGCGAGGAGGAGTAGCCCGCTGCGGCACACTTCGCGGCCAGGAGGAGGATATTCGCAACGACATTAATGTTGATGGCCCACTTAGCATTCCGCCGCGCTTTCCGCCGTTTCTCGCGCTCGTCGTCGGGGAGGAAGGGCTCGATGTTTCCGCCGGTGCTGCGAAGGGGCCCGCCGCTTTCGGCGACCCCGTCGTTGTCGAGGTCTTGTGGGTTCATGCTTTCGAGCACGTCGTCGGCGATTGCCATCACGACGGTGTCGACCTTGAGCATGTCGTCGAGACGCTCGTTTTGGGACTCGTAAAAGGCGCGGACTTTCTTGTTGCTTATTTCTTTCAGCTGATGGAGGGTTAGGATATACTACTAGAATCTCATACTCAAGGATTGGGCACCTCCTTGTCGCTCTTCCGAAACCTCTCGAGGGCATCTCGATCGATGCCGTCTAAGAGCTTCCGCTTCAGCTCGTTGGATCGGTTCTTGACTATAGTCTGGTTGACCATATCTCTGAATCTCTGCCCAGGCGATCGCGTGCCCGTCTCGATATCATCGCGATACCACCCGTTCTTATGGAGGTTTCTTCCATGATGCCCGCTGTTGTCCTTGTTGCCATTTGTGCTGAGGGAATTGAGTTGTTGTCGACGGCCGCCCACCATGTTGCGCAGCGGCTAACGAGTATTTGATACCGTCCGTAAACGCAACCAGCAGAGACAGAACCTCTCCTCGAACGAGTAAACCATCGGTTGGGCACAGACCAGGCCGTACCAAGGGCCAAGGCCACCTCGTTGCATCATAGAGCACACTTCCTCCGCGGAGGGCCTCCGTTCAGCGCGGTTCCCAGTTTGACAAATGTCGAGACCCTTGGCTTGCGCTTCGGCCCAGTGCAGGGACGAGTTGAGATCTTGCCAAGTCGATCTGCGTGCGGAAAGCGGGACGGGCAAAATGGCCGCGCACGGCATGCGAATGACACAAATCGCCGGACTACAAGTCCACCGTGTTTACAGAAAATCCATTATGACTGTTCCACCTCCGGTTATGGCTGTGGACACATTAATGAGAGTACATGTGCCGCCTTCTTCATAGCCCTCTAACTTAGCTCCACTATTGTGTTCGAGGATAAGGCCTTCAACTGATGGTTGATGCACTGAGTGCCGGTTGTCCTTCTCATACCGCCGATGTTTTGACCTTCTCCGATAGTCGTCCCAATCCAGCATGTCAGCCGTCTGGGTGTTTGTAATTATAGTATATATATTCACTCAAACGCTGTTACTGTAGTCGTGATGGTGTGGCATAGCTTTTCACTTTAACTGAGGGCTACTATTGTTATATAGAAAGAAGGTATAGAATGCTATACCATAGAAAGTGAAGTAGGCTATATCGTGCACGCTTGTTCAATATCTTTTCTATGATTCTATCTTGGTGAAATAGTCGATTCAGAAGAGTTGCAGCCTCAACAAATGACTACAGCTATAAGATCATCATATACTCGACCAACGGACAACAAGTGATCACGCATATCCTCCCACTGCTTCTCCGACGCACAAACAATAACAAATGAATGTTTGGAAGCACTGATGCTGACGATACGATAAAGGCCCTGTTCCACATGGCGAGCGACTTAAAGCAATACCCAGTCAACGTCCTTGAGACACCACTTCCGACAAGTGGTGAAGTCTGATTCGGCGTACATGTCGTGCCAGATAACATCGAGGCCAAAGAACTGGATGCCTGGGTCGCTGATATCGATCTTAATTGGTGCTATCTGATCTCAGCTGGCTTTTCGCAGGAGAGTAGAGTTTGAGTATACCGCTAGTACCCGCACTTGTTTCTCCGCTATTCATCGCAATAAAGGAACGTCCTGATAGACTCGTAGCGGCAGTCGGCGTTTCCTACTAGGAGATGCTTGTCATAATGCGGTACTAAACTTAGAGGGTGGTAACAATCTCCATTGGAGGATATCTAAGAAAAGTAAGTGTAGAATGGGCAGCCAAGCAGGCCAAGGAAAGACTGTCTTATTATGTGTGGATGATGCGGTCGTTGGAGTTGCTGGTGGCTGAGATTCTATGCTAAGATTCGGAATGAGGAAAGAAGTGTAAATGTTGAAGAACTTCAGATAAGATGAGAAGACAAAAGGCGGAATGCGGTACGACGCTGGTTATGTAACTAGTCTATGCAGTTTCTAAAATTCTAATGGGGCAACCCAATATGAATGCTCTGAATATCAAGTTAAGCATCCACAACACGGTCTGGACAGCTACTTCAAACTTAGTGTCCTACCTTAAATACCTCCACTTCAAGTTAGCCGTGAGGTAGTATTGAATATTTTTGACAAGTTGGTGTTGACGAAACGCCAGGTTTTTGCCATGAGGCTTATTATACGCACGTGACTGGATGGGGGGTTAGGATGTCACGTGACATCCAACCTCACACCCACCTCCCGTCCACCCTGCTGAGCGGCTTCGCGTTCACAGCAACATCCAATGGATGCGGAGAAATCTACTCGCACCTGCAGCTTGCTCCAATGGGACGGCCCCTTGTCATTCGTGAAGTCCCTCGGGATTGGATGCGTCCTCCGTCGTGGATCCAGTAACACGTGGCTGATGAGGTGAGTTGAGCCCCCGCTGCTGGGCATGTCATGTAGGTCGGTCCCTCACATCTGATCGTCCTCTGTCCCTGTATCTGTATCTCTTCCGCAAGTTAGTCAAGCTTCGCTGTACACATTTCAACTCCCTCGTCAACTCTTTCGATTGCGTCACGATGTCTTCCACAACGACAACCACAGCATCGAAACCCAACATCGGCGTCTTCACGAACCCTGAGCACGACCTCTGGGTCGCGGATGCCGAGCCCTCTCTCGACTCCGTACAAGATGGCAAAGGTTTAAAGCCGGGCGAAGTTACCATCGCCATTAAAAGCACCGGAATATGCGGGTACGCCATCCTCTCTTCCTCTTCCCCCTACCCTCCCCTCACCACATCCCTAACTCACACCTCCCCCAGCTCCGACGTTCACTTCTGGCATGCCGGCGCAATCGGCCCCATGATCGTCACTGGCTCCCACATCCTCGGTCACGAGTCCTCCGGGCAGATCCTCTCGGTGCACCCGTCCGTCACTTCCCTCCAGCCCGGCGACCGCGTCGCAATCGAGCCCAACATCCCCTGCCTCGCCTGCCAACCCTGCCTCACAGGCCGCTACAACGGCTGCCCATCCGTCGCTTTCCTCTCCACGCCGCCTGTCCCCGGGCTGCTGAGACGCTATGTCAATCATCCGGCTACGTGGTGCCATAAGCTCCCCGAGAATATGAGCTGGGAGGAAGGTGCGTTGTTGGAGCCGCTGAGTGTTGCGCTCGCGGGCGTGAGCCGGGCCGGGGTCGAGCTGGGGGAGCCGGTGCTGGTGTGTGGGGCTGGGCCGATTGGGTTGGTGACGCTGCTGTGTTGTAGGGCTGCGGGGGCGTGTCCGGTTGTGGTTACGGATATTGATGAGGGGAGGCTCAAGTTTGCGCGGGAACTGGTGAAGGGGGTCAAGACGTTTAAGGTGGAGCGTGGGCAGAGTGCGGAAGAGTTTGGGGAGAAGATTACGGAGCTGATGGGAGGTGTTGAGCCGAGTGTCGCGATGGAGTGTACGGGCGTGGAAAGCAGTATTGCGGGCGCGATCCAGGCGGTCAGGTTTGGGGGGAAGGTGTTTGTGATTGGGGTCGGGAGGGACGAGATGAAGATTCCGTTTATGAGGTGTAGTACCCGCGAGGTGGATCTGCAGTTTCAGTACCGGTACGCAAATACGTGGCCGAAGGCGATAAGGTTAGTTAGTGGAGGTGTTATTGATTTGAAGAAGTTGGTTACGCATCGCTTTGGGTTGGAGGAGGCGGTGGAGGCGTTCAAGACGGCAGCGGATCCGAAAACGGGCGCCATTAAGGTGCAAATACAGAGTTTGGACTGAGTAAGCGTGGTTTCTTCCCTTTTTGTTGCCACTTCCCTTCCTCTGTCTTGTCCGCGAAGTTGTGGAGAAAGTCACAAAACCGGCTACAGGAGAGGATGTACTATCAATCGGGGGGGCGCTGCAAATCATCAGGGTCATGAGGACTCATTGAGGCTACAATCCGCAGGTGTTGGGCCAAGGCATAACCTTGATGAAGCCGTCTACCAACCGAAATTCGGTTTGATACTCATACCCTTTACTTACACCTTCTAGACGCGTCCGATAGGTAGTCAAGTCGCTGACATAATAGCGTAGACTCAGAGCCACTTGAGCATCACTTGAATCACCATTTCATCAATCACAACGTACTCTAAAATGTTTGAATATTATCAATAGGTGTGAAAGGACCTCAAGCATAATGTAAGGGAGTTTCAGCTTTAGTTTACTTATGAATAGGGGTGGTATCTAGTGGTTGTTGAGAGCTTCATGTGCTGTTGACTTTCGCTGAGTCCACGCTATTATGTCACCGACTTGGTAGTCTGACGCGATAAACGCGCTCTTGACCATTCAGCTCTTGCTCTAGCGGTTCAACATACCCTACTCTGACGTCGCCTGCAGGCTATCCGACGGATGCTCCTGTATCCTGCTGGAACTCTTCCTCTGAAGACACCAATCAGCTCCTGCCGGCGTTCGTTGACCATTGTCTACCCGGAATTGTCGGCCAGCTGAACTTAAGGGTGTTGCTTGCTCTCAGCTTCTTGAAACCCACCACTCCAACCATCGACGAAGCTCTTTCACACATCTCTCGTTTGCACAACCAGTATTCTCCTTGCGTCGCGGGTTGTTATACCAAGCAGCAAGCATCAGAGTGGACCTTCGCGCTTCAACTATCATAGCAGCAGCAGCAGCAATATGCTTCTTCAATTGCTTCTCATTTACGTTCCTAGGCTCAATGTTTTCTCAAGCATCAAGCATCAAGCATCAAGCATCAAGCATCAGCAGCTCTCACCGCTAGAAACATCATTTCAAGCAGTCTTCACCAATATCAGCAGCAAAATGGCGACCGCAAGCATCTCCACACCACAAGCAATATTGAACACCGGCTTACCATTGAATCTCGATCAGCATCCTCGACTGGTCACGCGGACCAGATCTCCGAGATGACTACTACCTCAACGTAAGGGACTGGTCGCGCGACAATCAAATCGCCATTGGCCTTGGCCGATAAGCTTACATCTAGTCCGCCAAGACGGGCACGGTAGAAAATCTCTTCAAGACCAGCGCGGAGATATACATCTCCTCAGTCCAGTTGAGCAACGACGGCGCCCAGTTTCTCGTCGACAACTTCGATCCCCCTCCCACATCGGATCCGGCGAACGCGGCAGCAGACAACGACTCTGATGCTGCATGCGACGGCTCAATCCGTCGGAAGGCCGGCGCTTCATCTCGCCGTCCTTTTACCCGTTCGATTGTTCAACTACGCCTTCTTTTCCCCAACGAGACTCAGCGTCGCCATCGTGAAACTGTCGGCGCAGAAGATGAAGAAGCCGCTACCGACATCGAGGTTCTCGTCCTTGAACCTACGCTGAGAGAGACGACCCGGTTCCGACTTCACCAGGAATTAGACGGAGAGGTTCTCGCGACACCGCCGGCGATGGGACGCGTCACTCGCTCGAGCGCAAGACCGGAGAAGGCTGAATATAATACGCCTCTCATAGCTGATACTAGCGAGCTGCAGCTGCCAGAGCATACGCCGCTGCTGATGCCCATGCACGCGACGCGCAGCAAGAAGGCTCGTCCCTTTGACAGCTGACGCCGCACGAAGGAGAGTTTGAAGGCGGCACTAGAGGGAGCGAAGAGGCAGGCCGAATCGATGAAGTGGGGTGAGGCGAGTGGAGTTCTGCAACGGTCCTGCCGATGCTGGACGGCGACTACACCTTCAACGTCCTCATCTCACAGATGCAGACTCGGACGTGCCCATTGAGTGGGGCGATAGTGATGCTAAGGAGATCAAGGATGGTGAGAAGGTGCAGTTGAGGAGTTTTAGTACCAGTAATCATGGGGTGAATACGGTGACGCTCGTCAGTTACAGGTATGAGTTCTGGCGGTTCATCCATAGACTATCGCCTACTGATGTCGACATTGGAGACCGTTTCGAACAATCCAACGACTTCACCGAGCTAACAATCAATTTTCCCTGCAGAGAACGCGTGTTCATACACCGTTGCCCGGTCGATCCCGGCCGTGAGTATCCTGAGCGTCTAATCATGCTCACACAGCAACCTGGCTTCGGCTTCATGGTGGCCAAGAGCTTCACGATGATTATGAAGACTGCTCAAGAGATGGTATGCCTCGCGTTTTTACCTACGAGAAGGGAGGAATAGCGTCAAGCAGCAGATACATAGCGAAGGAGAACCTCCTCATGGTTTGCATTGATATTTATTCCTTTCAGAGTGGAAGCTGTCTATTCTATATACAACAACGTCCGCGGTGAAACAGGTCTTCTACTTCTTTCCGGTATACTTCAGAGAATACAGCCCCCGTTCAATGCTGTTAACGATAATGTGCCCAGACTTGAAATATGGGTAATTGCTCCAAGTCCCGACGAATGCGACTGAGCCACCAACAGCATCATCCTCAGGATGAACGTCGAAGAAGCCCACCTGCTTAAAGCTCTTCCCACTCGGGTCAGCCTCCACAGCCCTGACGTCCACGATGCGCAGCCCCGAACCGTAGTTTGACTGGTACGACAGCCCGTCGATAACATACTGGTTGTGGTCGATGGCCTTGACGGGGCTCTGATACAGCCCCGTGTTGATCGGCGCAGCAAGGTTCGTAATGTTAAAGATGTACGTCGTGGTTCTACCATTCGCCGCCGCGCCTGTACCGCGCATCTCATCGAGCTCGTCATCCAGCAGCAGGAATGACATGTCGTTCTCATCCACTAACCAGCCCTGGTGCGTGTACGCGGCGCCGACATACGGCGTGCGCGAGATGACGACAGGAGCCTTCTTGTCGCTCACGTCCATGATGGTCAGCGTGTCCTCGTTGTACGCGAAGCAGATCTCACGTCCGTTGTACTTGCCATCCGGGCCGTTGTAGAATACGCACTGCGCGTCATGGACATATCCGTCCTGGTTCGCGCAGCCCGGAGACGTCGGGTTCGCGGGATCCGAGACATCGACCATGAACAAACCCCCCTGGCACGGCGTGCGGCGCCCGGTCCCAACAGCATAGATCATCTTGGCCTCCTCATGCGCAACGATGTTGTGGCTGGATCCGAAGCCGCGGAACCAGGCCGTCAGGTCCGTCGCGATGTTGAAGGTGACGGGTCCACTCGCGTCGTTTCCGTTTAGCTTGATGGAGAGCAGCTTCCGCATGTCGAAGACTTGGAGGCCGTGGCCGGGGGCTTCGGAGCCGATATAACAATAGCCGTCGATAACTTTCATATCACGCCAGAGGGAAGGGACCGTTTGGGTAGGTAGACGGCCTAGGTAGGTAAGCTCGCCGTTGGGGCGCACTTCGACGAAGGCCGTGCCGTCGGTTTGGCCTACGGCGCCGAATTCGCGGCCGTTGGGGGAGGTCCACCCTATATTATACGAGTCAATTACTACTCCATACAGCTAGAGAGCGAGGAGTGATGAGAAGGGGATTGACTCACCCCATACATCGTTGCCCTCGCGAGTCGTGCTGCCCATCTCCTCGTGGCTGATGAAGTCGAGCATGTCGACGTTATCGCAGGCGTACTCGCCCGCTCTGCCGTCCTTGCACTTCTCTTTCTCCCGTCGGGCGTGTTTGCCTTTGGCGAAGTCGCCGCGTGATCGCATGGCCTCACGCTCTGCGGTCTTCATCTCCATGAGTAGGTCCATCTCGCTGGCGAAGGCTGTGCCGACGAGGCCCAGGAGGGCTAAGGTAGAGAACCTCATAGTGGGCTACTGAAGAGAGAACGGGCTGATGAGGATAGGAGACTGGACTGAACGATGAGAGGCAGCAGTATACTTGTCTACTGTGCGAGCGATTGAAGGACAAGTAGGTAGTTTAGGAAACACACTAAGTAACCTTTGAGCTGCCGTCAGCGCCATTTATACTCTACCTCTCTCTTCAACTCCCGAGGCAACGCGGCCGTCGTCTCGGGGTGGTCACAGCGACGATAGCCGTCGATCCATCCATAGTCCCTGAGCCAAGCCAGGCGGCTTTGTGGGGAAGTCATACACCTTCCTGAAATCGTTTGGGGAGGTACATTGCCCAGCGACACCCGTTCGACAGACGCAGGGCCAAGAGCAAACTTCATTACCAACTTGAAATCCTTGTGATTAAACAGGTTCCACACGCGGAATGATAGCGGTGGCGGCACGCGAGCGGCTCCACACGCCAAGGACCGCGGTGTGGTTAAGGTTGGGTTGCTAAGACGTCCAAGACGGCTGGCGGGCGGCTGAAGAGCTCTACCTTCCGGTTTCGTCTTAGGTAGAGGTTGGTTGTCCGCAATACCGCCGTGGTTGCTGGCTTGATAGTCAAGCTGTATTGCGGTTTTCTTCAAGCGATGCCTAAAGGGCAGCGACAAAGGAGGTATCCTGCCTGCCGGTAATGCTGAGTTCTGAAATCTACTCTTGCCTTCTCGAAGAGAGTTCAGTGTGCCATTTAGATATCAATGGGTTCTTTAAGACATCCACAATTGTCTCCGGAGATGTCAAAACTGTACTTTGGACCTTCCTAATCAAGCATCTCAAGATACCCCCTAAATAGCTGTCGATCTTCTCCACCTCCGTCACTCTGCGTCCGCGCCGCTAACGAGATAAGCTTATTCTGCGTCACCAGATCCTCAATCGACATGACTCGTACCATTCCCAACTAGGAATGTCTTACCGCGTGCGGAGATGGTTACATCGTTATTGTGAACGGTCTATTGTCGGAGAGGCCGTCAAGGGATCTACGAGTGAACAGTGTTATGCTGTATTGTAGCCACGAAGGTTCGAGAATGGAGCCCCTAAAATCGAAGGCTCTCCACAGTTGAAGACTCGTTGCTTCACAGCCTCCTTTGCTGGGTCAATCAACGTATCCTCACACAAAATTTTCTTCAATGAAAATCGGGTTCCCTTCATTAACTACTACATGAACACTGCAGCAACTTCATAACACCTTAACCCTCTTCCCCACAAAACTCAAACCCCCACAAAGCGCACTAATCCCGGTGAAAACAATCAAGGCCCCATAACCCGTCCCATACCCTAAACTTCCCAGAGCAAACCCACCATTCCCATATTTGCTATCCTCATTCAGCGCGAGAAGAGCTTCACTCAACGGCCCACTCGCCACAGCACCGATTCCCCTCCCAACACAGAACAACGCGAATACAGTGCCGCTATCAGCCCCGACGGTATTCGCAATCGTCTCTTTCGTCATGCCGATGAACGTGCTCGTGAACCCGCCCGCGAAAGCGCCGTACATGAGCGCGAAGACGACCAGCATCGGAAGCGAAGTCGCAGTCCCCCAGAACGCAAATGCCGCGGTCGAGGAGCCCAGTGCGGAGATGAGCATTACGGTAGAGACGGGCAGACGGTCGACCATGTAGCCGAGAGCTAGCTGGGAGAAGACGGCGGCAACGTTTACGAGTGCGATGAGGAGGGAGCCTATCAGTCTCGAGAGACCGAGTTGTTGTGCGTAGGTGCTGAGATAGATTGTTGGGATGAAGTAGCCGAGGCCTTCCAGGATGTTGGCGATCTGGTAGAGCCAGAAGGTCGGTGTTAGGGTGAAGCGATAGCTGATTTGGCGCGGTTGAGCGGATTTGGAGAGTGGGATGCGAGGTTTCAGGAAGGGAAGAAGAGGGAGGGTGAGGACTGGGATTAGTATTGCCCAGCTGCGGAGGGTGGTACGATAAGAATAAGTTGTGAGTGACCAGTTTAGTACAAATGGGACGGTAGCGCCAGCAACACCTAGGTCGTAGTGTTAATACATGAATTCAAGGCTCATGTTTGGACAAAGAGGCTTCGTACCATTTCCAGTGCAAAGGACTCCGAATGCCAGGCCCTTTCGTTTAACGAACCATCCGTCAAGGAAATAGACTGTTGTGTAAAGTAGCAGGCACCCCCCAATTGCAAACATCACCCCCTGAGTTAGGATCAACTGCCACACAGTTGTGGCGAACGAAGCTAGGACGAGTGAAAGGCTCATAATAGTAATGCCAAGTAGTGAGGAGTATTTCTGGAACGGAGGAAACAGATGGATGGCAGCATAGACTAATGAACCGCCGAGATAGAGGATTCCGGTGGCACAGGTTCCGACTACAGCTATACCTTCCGCATGCGAGGAGAATGGGGGCGTTTTGCTATAGTAGTCTTGGAAAACACCATATGAGAACGGAAGAGCTAGTACATGTAAGTATTGGTGCTGTGCGGGAGTTTTAATGAGGTGTCATCGGGAAAGGCTCTAGATATTAAAAACGGAGATCGAATGACATCGCTGAGATAGTCTCGACTTGGAAGTATTTCCATAAAACTCAGAATAGTGTTCAATGCCTCAGAGTAAGAGGATAATGCCTCTACTCACCCCAACACATAGCCTCGGCCATGAAACATCCACACAAAAACAGATATGCATCCTTTCCGCCATCGGCCTGAGGTAAACTTGTTTGCTCAATCTCATCAGGTTGAATATGTCTGTCACTGGTCACATTGCGAGAAGTGAGCTCAATTTCATGGTCGGCAGTCGCGTTGCCGGTAGGGGAGCTACGTGTAGCCGTTGGGTCCATTGTTGGCGTAGGCGCGGCTTATTGAGAAGACCTTCTAGTGAGCAACGAGTTGGAAATTTGTACGGAGTAGACCATGCGTTGTTTTGCGTGAGAGGCGGTTGTTCTCCACCCGAGGCTTCGTGCGTCGTTGGTCAAACATCTTGCGGCACACAAGCCCATGTCCGGATACTGTCGGTTGCAAAATGTGCGGCCGCCTTGGCAACGAACTCAACCTCCCTCTAAGGCTCATCATTCCATAGAGCACGCGCAATGCTTTTGCCTTAGTTTGATATAGATAGATATAGCCGTAAGGAAGGTATATAAAGGTATTTGTGTTTATCTAGATGTATTTCGAAGGATATATAGTAGAAAAGCTTTAGATACTACAAAAAACTACGCATGTATACAAGCTTACGAAGAAAATAAAGTGCACTATAAAATCGTTTATTTTAATAAATTATTAGCTACGTAACGCCGCTACTCTTCTTAGACTTTAACTATTGAATAGCTGCAGCTACGTTAAGTGTTCTAGTGCTATTTGTTTATATCCTAAGCATTGGATCGTTGTGCGAAACGTGATATTGGCCTCAATAATCGAGGGGGGGGGGGGGTGTATGAAGTTTGTTTCCAAACGGCCGCACGTTTTGCAATCGACAGTAATACTTGGCCGAAGACGGTCGTTACAGGCCTGGCACGATTCAGCGCCTGCATACCCAATTCACCAGAACGCTCAAGAATGTGTCGAGCACAGGGAAGATGTTAAAGCGTGTGCCAATTCCCACAACAAATCAAAGACACGGAGCAGTTTGCACAGAGAATTGCTATGACATCGCTAATCACACATGTCCAATAACCACACTTGTGCTCGACAAAAACAATAATCCAAACGCCTACACCTCCCCAATATCCCTTAACGGGACATAAGCGCCCCTATCCCGGCTCTTTCTCCTTCCCCCAAACATCCCACCAAAAGCTCCAGTAACGCCCCTTATCCAACTTCTACCACCCATCCCACCGCCAAGTATATCACCCTGAAACCCCTCAGCCATCCACACCGGCCTCCTCCACCACCGCAGCGCCAAACTACTAAGCACAACACTAACACTACTACACGCCATCGCCGCCCCGGCAGCCATAGGATGCAAACTCAATCCCCACGGCAAAAACACCCCCATCGCGAACGGCAGCCCGACGGCATTATAGATCGTCGCCCACAGCAGATTCGCCTTGATGCGGCGAAATATCGTCTGGGAGAGATGTAACGCAGCCGGCACGGCTAATAGGTCCCCGTCCTTGATGAGCACGATGTCCGCCGCTTCCATCGCGACGTCCGTCCCGCTCGCCAGCGCGATGCCGATGGAGGCGGTAGCCAAAGCGGGAGAGTCGTTGATGCCATCTCCAACCATTGCGACCGTCTCGCCCATGCCACCTTCGCTTCTAGGCTTCTGCAACCTCTCGATGATGGCGCGCTTGTCGGCCGGCGTGGCGCCTGCGTGGACGTGCTCAGCGGGGATGCCGACCTGGCGCGCGACGACGAGGGCGGGGGCCAGCTGGTCGCCTGTCACGATCGAGGCGGTGATGCCGAGGCGGGCGAGGGCGAGGATGGTGGAGCGCGCGGTGGGCTTGAGCGTGTCGGAGAGGGCGAGACGGCCGGTATAGACGCCGTCGATGGCGGCGTGGATGGCGGTTGTGCCGGCTGAGATGGCGTCGGAGGGTTTTGGGGCGGCTTGGTGGTCGTTGTCGAGGGAGAAGGATGCAGGGTCTGGGAGGTCTGAGGAGGAGATGGAGGCTGGGTCGGTGGAGGAGGAAGGCACGGCGATGCTTTGCGAGCGGAGATACGCGGCGTTGCCGATGTGGATGCGGTGGCGTTGGCGGGAAGGCGAGATGGCGGCTTCGACGGTCGCGGCGATGCCTTTGCCGACCACGGCCTCGAAGTCTCCGACGCTGCCGTCGAGGGCGCCGTCGGGACCGAGACCGAGGTGGTTCTTGGCGGCGAGCACGATGGCTTTCGCGATCGGGTGCTCGCTGCCCATTTCGGCGAGCCCGATCAGCATCCACCAGAGCTGGGCGCGCTTCTCGTCGGAGGCCCAGTCGCTTGAGAGGTCGGTGTTTGAGACGCTCATTTTGCCGACGGTGAGGGTGCCGGTCTTGTCGAAGACAATGTGCGAGACTTTGGTGGCGGTCTCGAGGACTGCGCCGCCTTTGACAAGAATACCGTGTTCAGCGCCCACGCCTGTGCCGACCATGACAGCAGTCGGCGTGCTTAGGCCTAATGCGCAAGGGCAGGCAAACACTATGACAGAGATGCAGAGCTTGACGCAGACCATGATCTTGCCACCACTGGCTTCGCTTAGGAAGACAGGAGGCGGAGTAGGCAGGACATGGCTCAGCACCATCCACGCCACGAATGTCGCGAAGCCTAGCGTGATGATGATCGGAACGAAATATCCAGCAACAACATCAGCCGTACGCTGTATCGGCGCCCGGCTCGTCTGCGCTTCCTGCACCAGCCGGACGATCTGGCTGAGCTGCGTGTCGCGGCCGGCGCGAGTGACAAAAAAGTCAACGCGTCCGGCGCCATTGACCGTTCCAGCCATGAGCAGTTGGCCCTTCTTCTTCAGAATTGGCATCGCTTCGCCGGTCACCATGCTCTCATCCACGTAGCTCTCGCCACGGAGGACGGTGCCGTCTGCAGGGATCTTATCACCCGGTTTGAGGATCACGATGTCGCCGACTTCGATCAATTCAGTCGGAATTACCTTTTCCTCGGACGCGACGCCTGTTTGTTCGCTGTTGGCGCTGACCTTCTCGGTAAGATCGGCGGAACCGTCCCAGTTCTCTGCGGCCTTGGCTGCGGCGATAGGATCTGCGTAGATGGTTGCCATCGATGGCGCGAGAGACATGAGATGCGACAGTGCCTTAGAGGTCTGGCCTTTGGCTCTGTTCTCGAGGTACCGGCCGAGGGTGATGAAGGTGATGAGCATGGTGCTTGTTTCGAACACCACGCTTGGTCGAGTATGTGGCGGGGTTAGGAGTGAAACGATCATGGCTGCTACGCTGAAGAAGAAGGCCGCCGATGTGCCAAGCACGACGAGGACGTCCATGGTGGGTGCCCCGTGTCGCAACGATCGAAATGCGGATTTGTAGAATCGCTTGCCGATGCCGAACTGGACAGGTATGGTAAGAAATAGACAGACAACGTCGCCCAACCAGAGGCCACGAAACACCTTGATGCTGCCGTAATCGAGGAACGGTAGGAACATAGGGAAGATCATGCTCGTCAGAAACACTGGCAATGCGAATGAAGCTGAAGTAATAAAAGCTCTCCGCCACTCTTGGATCTCTTTCGTTTTCGCAAGGGATTCGAGCTGTGCATTGTTGTCGTCTGCATCGGCGACAAGTGCATTGTAGCCTGCGGCTTCTGTGGCTTCCACTAATGCTCGGAGGCCGATTATCGAAGGGGTGTGCGTGATTGCAGCGCGTGAAGTAGAGAAGTTTACTGCAGCGGAGATGATGCCGGACATCGATTTCAGGGAGGATTCCAAGTCGAGCGCCGATTTGGTATCTGGCATGCCATATATCTTGAGGTGGACGGTGGCGTTCGTAGAGGAAACTTGGGATGCGCCATCGGCTGATGACAAGATCTTCGCATCAAAGCCACGGTCCTCGATGATCTCTGCAATCTGAGCGGCTGAGAGTTTTGAGGGATCGTGGACAATGACTGCACGCTCCGCCAGCAGGCTGATATTGAATTGTAGGACCCCATCCACATCTTTGAAGCCGCCTTCTACTGCAGACGTACAGGCGCCGCATGTCATGCCTTCAATTGCAACCGTGGTCGTGAGGACTTGCCGCCGCTTTGCAGTTGTAGACGTGCGCGTCTTGGACGCGGCAGGTGAAGAGGCATCCTTCGTCTCCAGGACTGTTGCATCGAAACCGGTATCCTCAATAATATCCGCAATCTGCTCCGCGCTGAGTATTGCCTGGTCGTGCTCGATTACCGCTCGTTCCGATAGCAGGGATATACTAAATGATATAACGCCTGGTACATTCTTGAAAGCGCCCTGGACTGCCGAAGTGCATGCGCCGCAGGTCATTCCCCCAACCGACAGGGTAGTCGTGGAATGCCGTGGCCCTTGGGTGTCCTGCTCCTCTTCGCTCACGCAGTCGCCCTCATTGTCTGTCGATACCTGTGGGATATCCGAGGACAGCACTTCTGCATCGAATCCTCGATCCTCTATCAACTCCTTTACATATTCGGCGGACACTTTGGTGGGGTCGTGGTGGACCACTGCGCGCTCCATGACTAGACTGACAGATACACTGCCAACGCCGTCGACTTCTTTAAACGCGCCCTCCACAGCTGATGTACACGCACCGCAGGTCATGCCTTCGACTTTCAGAGTTGTGGTCGCCATGTGGGCCGCCGGCGCATTCGATCGCGGCGCTTGCGGCGAAGGGGCCGGATGCGGTAACGAGGCATCGAGGTCTTTTGTCGACACCGGTAGGTAGGAGGAGGAGGCCATCTAAGAAATATGCACAGGTAGACGGCGCCCCAGGTGCGAATGTTACCCTATCGCAGGGTTTGTGGTGCTGCCGGCTTACTTGCCAGCGCGAGTCGGAGGTGGCGCTCGGGGTAGTTTCAGCGAGTAAACGACGGAGACAAAGGGCTAAACAGGATGACGCAAGAGCACGAGGGTCTCACAAGACTGCACAGAGCGAAGATAGAGGATTAATGTTGAAGGCCAGCTTCACGGAGGCGACACAGACACAGTGATGGTGGGTGAGATAGACTAAGTTAGTGCTCGTGTGGTATGTAATGGGGATCCGTCAGCCACAGTTGAGGCCGATCTGGGGCCTGTCGATCATGTCAGAATTGTCAGCTCCTGGCAGGAAAGACCAAGCATTCAAGCGGCCATTAGAAACACAGCGAAAGCAGTGACTGAGTGTGTCTTGATTGATTGCTAGAACCGCCGCAGCTTGTCGGAGACGCTGATATCGAGACTTGTTCCGTGCTGGACTGGTGAGACACACCTGCAGCCGTCAACCAACGTGCCAAGCTGCCAAGCTGCCAAGCGGTGTCTTGCAGATAATCCATGCAGCTTAGTCCATGCAGCTTAGTGAGCCGTCGGCGACAGATCCTGGCTCCTTCCATTTTTAAAGAGGGCTGAAGCAGGCTCTTTCATGCCCTCACCTACACTTGCCGGAGCCTGGCTCAGGCTCCAGACGTCATCCGAGAAAGACAAGTTCAACATTCACCTGCCGATGGCTTCACGGCTGTTAAGAAATATGGTTTGACCTTGATGGTGTCTGCGGATGACCAGGTCGAAGACTCAAAGCCTATATCAAGAAGATCATGTCTCAGCTAAGCAAGTGGAGGCAAAGCAAGTGTGAACACCGGGAGTCAGGTTACCAGCTCGAATCAGAGCCGCCAACACAAGGAGATTGTCAGCACGAGGACCACAGGCTTACGAACGAACAGTATCTATACTGAGAGTCAAGTGACATGCCTTAACTGGAGCCGCTTCAATACAAAGATCACCAGTACTAACAGCTTTTCTGAAACCCTTCAGCAAGTTGATCTGGAGTTACTCAGACCTCGCGAAAGTGGTCGGAATATCTGCCCACGAGAGCAGGATCCTGCTAAGTCCAGATGGCGAGATGCTGAGACGAGCACTAAGACGAAGCGGTTACAAGGCTGCCGACTATTTCATTCCTAGTCTCGCCGGCCCCAAACTCATAAAAACCATCCATCACGCCGCCGTCAGGGGACTGGCATGGTGCTCGTAGCAAAATCACATGCTGGCAACGGTGCCTGGCAACAAGGCCTAGCAGCTACGACAGCACATCCGTTGCTGGAACACGATAATGGGTGCTAGATCCAACAGCATCAGCACAAGCAGTCAGGTTATGCTACCCCAGCCTCCCAAGGGCGTTGAAATTCCTGTGCACGAGAGCAGGATTATATCTAGCTCGCTGAATCTCGATTGGCAGATGCTATCGGCGGCGGAACTGTAGCTGATGGACTGCTTCAACTGACTTTCGGTTCTCCATTAAGTTCTGGTGGCGGCGGCGGGGATGACTCAACATTGTCCTGCGTGGGCGTGCGGTTGGACTACTAGGGAAAGTAATTCTTACGGAGAGCATCGGTAGGGTAGTCGATGGAGGGGGTTGTTGTGAGGGTTGTTGTGAGGGTGAGGACGTAGACCACTCTCTCGGGAGCAATATGCAAAGGCAACATGCCACACTGCCAAACATCTCAATGCAAATACGTCCGATGATTGCGAAGGAGCTCCACGCTGGAGCGGACACCATCTGAAATCTTAATCTTCGTGGCCTAGCACGTGATAGATGTAGGTGGACGTATGGCTTGGCCGCTCGGCTGAACTTGCACCCTTCCTCCGACACCTTCAACGTTACTCGCCGAGTGTCACTCTCGTCCGGAGCACCATCTCTCAACGATGCGTTACAGCAACCTTCGAAAGAGCAAAACCATAGCCTTGTTCGCAGTTCACAACCTAACACACCCACCCTGAAGCTACCACCTCATTTGTCTCTCAACTGAACGAAAGGATAAGACATCAGACCCGCAGTCCCTCTACCAGTCCACCCTCATTCCAGGCCTAGCCACCATGTCGTCTCCAGCGCCAGGCGGTTTCCTGCAGCACCAAGCTTTCTCTCCGACACCATCAGCGACCGCATCATCGAGCTCCGCATATGCTCTGCCTCACCCACGTGCACGACCGCTAAAGGCGGGGGGCCCGAAAGAATCAGCTTTCATCCGATATGTGGACGACAGCATCCTTCACATACAACGCCAATTCGCGAAGAGGGATAACGAAGCTGCACTCGGGCCTGAAGACAGAGGTTACGCGAGCTTTGGAGAAGCCGCGAAGGACATTGAGCGGTTGCTGGATATCATTTGGGTATCTGGAACGCGTAGGTCTTACATTTGCCGCAGTTCTAATGGGCGAGGTATGCTTGATGCTGACCGAATGCACCAGCGGGTTTGCAAGTACCTTACCTACTGTCGCTTGCGCTTCTCACCACGACCTTCGTTTCTGGCTTTCCTCCTTCGCCAAAGGCCATGTTCCGTCTACTGGGCAAGCTGGATCGTGCATTCGCATCACTCCTACAAGGCAGGGACGTAGAAACAGGAGAGCCTTTACCAGGCTCAGAGCGTGGAGCGGTCGTCAGTTCTACGCAAAAAGTCAGGATAAAGAGCATTGTTGAGCGAACTAGATTGTGTGTCATTGAAGTGATGAACAACAAAGATTTCGACTATACTACGGAAGACGAGCCAGAGACAGGAGATGAAGATGGGATCGATGATCTCGACGACGATGTTGTAGACGGAGGAGCAGGCTGGGAGATGGAGATTGCTAAGGTCTATGATAGGACTATCGTGGAGCTTGGGGATGCTATTGGTGGTCCACCAATTGGTATTTTCGGCGATGAATGAAGACGTCTTTATGGCACGTCTGGTGAGTTCGACCAAAGGTGACCTTTTCCAGGCGTGGCTAGTAGCTCCTGTGCTTCAAGGTCGGTGGTGTTCTGGCAGCGTGTGCCTCACTTCGCGGTAGGGTGGAATGCATGGGGTTGTTGAGGTCGAATTGACCAGAGCCTTGCGGAATGACTCCAGGAGGTCGTGCGAGACTTCCACTGCGGCATTTGAAGATCTATGTCCAGAGTCCTCATGAGATTGAGCAGCCATATGTGTGCCAGTCACTGAGCGAGACGGCGCATAACTTTCTGCCTCCCTAGTCTTAGTACTCTACAGGCTTGCCAACACTGTCGTTAGAGTTGGACCAGCCCCTCCGCTGCCAGCAGAAGGATAAGAAGAACGGCGTATTTCGAACCGGTACTGGACACTTCTGTGCTGCTTAGCAGCTGTCGTGGACGTGATGTCATCTGGATGAACCTCATCAAATCTCGCATCTTCTTCCCTTTGCTTTCGACCTTTTCACCAGCCACGCTGGGACTTTAACATTCCCTAACATGCCACGACACGTTCTTTCAACACACTCATTACCCCTCCATCTCTGCAAAAGCATCCATCACACTCAATCACCATGCCAAAGTATTTTGCGGCCAACACCGAAGTGCGGCTTTCAGTTGCGAGTCTTGCAGACACAACGACAGTCGACCCCGAGCTGCGCAAGTCCAGTGCCGCTACGGGCAATGCAGAAACCGCTGACCGCCTACTGAAAGCTGGAAAGAGACTTTATGAGCAGCCAGTCGTCCCCAGTGAGGATGATGGGCTCCTTGGATTCCTGGGCGAGCACCAGGACATACCCTTTTTTATGGTTCACGCCAGTGTCGATATCTTGGAGCCAGCTCCCACGCGCAGCTTCTACCGCGGAGACAACAGCGGACGACTTCAGCTGCGGCCGCTGGAAGAGCCGTCTGGGCCGCAGTTGAGGTCTCCGTTATCTGCCAGCTCCCTTACCGATCTTCCATCCACACCATGTCTCCCCGATGAGGAGGATTGGCTGGAAACGCAACTCAATGCAAGTCAGGGTACGAGAGGAAAGCAGCGACGCATGGAAAGCTCACCAACCCGAGCTGCCACGACGCGCTCCGCCGCCTCTCACAGAAATTTTGCCCCGAAAACGACAAATGCCGAACTCGGTCTCCAAGCACTCAGCGTCCAAGTCAAGCTCTCCTCCAAGTCCTTCCTGAGAAGCTTCGACGAGCGCAACGTAGCTCAAGACGTAAAGATGGATGTCTTCTTCAACGGCGACCTGATCGCTTCGACCTTCGTACCGGCCCGCTACAAATCCGAAATCAAGCATTTCACAGAGCTCCACCAGCAGTTCTCCGGCAAGAAGATCCACAACCTGCTGGAGCGCGTACTAGTCCTGGTTCCTCTTGGTCAAAACGCAGATGGATCGCTCAGAAGCCTCAAGCGGGGGAAAGCGGCAAGTGCGGGTGCAGCGGAGAGGTGGCACCAGATCAGCACCATATTGGAGGAGGAGGCGGAAAAGCAAGGGTTTAATCAGTATGGTGATCGGTCACCCGTCGGGGAGTACCTTGCAAGCCTGGCAGCGCTGCCAATGCCTGAAGCCGTGCAGGGCTTGCAGAAGCCTGGAGGGCTGAAGTTCGGCGTCATCGACGTGATTCTTACAGCAGGGAAAGGAAAGAAGTACGGCCCCAGTACAAGATACTTGAGCGGACCGGAGAGGTTGGTCGATGACCGATACCTGATCAAGACTAGGGAGACGTTCAAGAAGGAGGTAGTCGAGACGAGGAAGGACGCTAGCGTTATTGATCTTGCATCGCAACAACCAGAAGCTTCAGCACAACTCCAGCAGAGTGTTGTGTTCAGCAGTCCGGTAGATACTCGTCTGCAAAGAGAGCGGAATTGGGCCTCCTCCAACAGCACCAGAGGCGGTTTGAAGTCGCCAATGCAGGTCGTGGCGGCCAGTCCTCGAAGCGTGGCTGCACTTGTGGAAGCTTCACCTAGAGGCACGTCATCATTTCCTGCAAGCCAGAAAACCTTTTCTACGCCAATGCTCCACAGAGCAACCGCCAGCCCGGTAATTGATACTGCTATTCCGGTGTCTTCGTTTCAAAACACATCGATTAACTCCCAAAGCCAAAGAGCACTTCCTCGGCTATTTTCACAGGGCACACCGACCCCTCTCCCTGTCGCGAGCACCAAACCAAGCATCGCAGGACACTATTCATTGAAGAATCTCAATTCGCTGATGACCAGCTCACAGCCATCAATGTCCAACACATTCTTTGACCCAGTCCAGCCATTCATGCCACCACCGCGAACCCCTGACAAGTCGGACTCTATCAACGGTACGAAGCGTCGCCGCAGAAGCTCGTGGCTCGCTCCCGAAAATCTATCTCCCTTGGCGAAGAAGCAACGCGTACTGAGCGACAGCATGGTAGAAGGCGCAGACTCAGGCTACAAGACCGTGCCAAAGTTCTTCGCCTCGATTGGTAGGTCCCAACGCCCCCAAATCCCGGTCCTGAGACGACCTTTTCTCTATCCACGCAGAGGCAGTGTCGGAGATATTCCATTCCGGCTCACAACAAGCTCACCGTCTCCTTTTCATCAAATCCCAGACGTCCCACCGAAATCACTTGATGTATTTGGCGGACCGATATTGAAGCGCGTGGTAGTGAAGCTGAAGGACACCACCGTGCTTGATCATACTTTTAGCGAGCTTAAGCAGCTGAAGAAGCCCCCTTTCAAAGGAGTGGAAATGGGCACCAGAAGGCACTCGATCGCGGCCCCTATCTTCACTCAACAACAGTCAAAAAGAACGCCTGTCAGGCCGCTTCGTTTCGAAGATTCTCCAACGGGTTCGACAAAGTCGACAGTGACCGTAACGCCGCAGCAGCTCAAATTCGATGCCATCAAAGCCCCAGCAGCCTCTACGCCGCTCCTCCCAGCCAGCTCCGCAGAATCGACCAACATCCAAGACACGAAACCGGCCAGTCGGAGACGACGCTCCGCCATCCAGAAAGCAAACCCAGGTACAGCACCACCACAGCCCCTCGCAACACCCATCACGCCAGCCCTAGCGCCCACCCCGGCGCCTACCACCAAGCCTCGAACGCGGCGCCAACCAAAGACCCACAACCAGCCCAAGCCCAGGCCAGCAAGTCAACAGAAAGCAGGGAGCCAGCCAAGACGCCGTGCCTCTGCGATCCGCACGCCAGCTAGAGCTAGAACTGAAGCCGAAGCGGAGTTCGTCGTACCGCCGCTGAGTCAAGATTGTGTGGTCACGTATGCTCAGCCTGGTGCCTGGAGCGGAAGCTGTGTGAGGCAGGTGAGGTCGGAGCGGGGAGGGGATTTTCGGGAGGAGAGCGTCATTATGGGAGTTAGGTTTTTGCTGGGATAGGTGGTGGGATGGGGAGAGGGCGAAGAGTGAGTTTTACACGGGTGGGGATTTGTAGGATAGAAAGATGGTGTGGGGTGCTGTTGCCTTATGGTTGGGGATTTGTACGATAGATGGGCGATTAGGATCTCTCTGCTAGTTTTGATTTCCGCATCGAGACGATGCATGTGCCTGATGTCTATCGCGCGAGGTGGAAGAGGGACCCAAAACACCGATACAAAATACATGCAAGAGAATGTCAATGCCCTATCCCACCCACAACCCAATCGTTCCACGCCGGATCCCCCGGTTCGGGAAACAGGCCGGCTTCATCCGCCTGGCCCTCCCGCAGCAACTCTTCCGCCTCCGCCATCACCGCGTCCAGCTCTGCATCGATCTGACCTTGATCTTGCGCCTGGTTCTGCCCCTGCCCCTGCCCCTGCCCCTCAGCCTGAGCCTGAGCCTGAGCCTGATCCTGCGCCGCCAGCGCCTGCCTCCGCCTCAACTGCATCTGCTGCCGCCAATACACCAGCCCCGCAAGCGCAGCCGCCAAGCCAATAATAACCAAGCTCTCGAGAATCCCCTCGTCGATCTCGTCGTAGAAGCCGTCGTCGCCGCCGGGCATGTCGCCCGCCGAGCCGTCGTCCCAGTCGTCAGGCTCGTGGTCGATGTCTTCGTAGGCGGCGGCGGCGGCGTCTGCGGCGAGGAAGTCGGCGATCCATTGGGTGATGGTGCGGGACTTTTTCTCATCTAGACCCACACATCAGCAATCTTAGCGTCCCCTCCCAAGACGCTGTCGCAGAACGAGAAAGGAGGGAAGGGAAAGAGAGACAAGGATACGTACTCGGCTCCTCCACAATCCCCTTGACTTTGCCCCCACTGACCCCGTTCCACCAACTGCGCGCCCTAAGTTTCCACAGGCTCAGCTGGACCGGCAAATACGCTTCCTCGTTCGTCTCATACGCCTGGTCGTAGAACCGCTTCGCGAGATGAAAGTCCTGCTCAACACCGACTCCGTTCTCGTGCATCCAGCCGAGATTCCACAGCGCCTGCGCGCTCTGCATCGTCTCGGCGGCGGCCTGGTAGCACGCGGCCGCCTTCTCTTGGTCAGGGTAGGATGTCCCGAGCCCGAGGAGGTAGTAATCCCCCATCTTGACCATGGCGTCGATGTTCGACTGCTTGGCGGCGCGGGTCCAGTAGACGAGTGCGAGGGCGGCGTCGGTGGCGAGGGTCGAGGCTTTGCGCCTTGCGAAGGGCAGCATGGCGCGGAGTTTCTCTGAGAAGCGCGGTTGGGCGCTTTCGAGGAGGTACGCGACGTTGGATTGGCCGGCTTCGAAGCCCTGCTCCGCAGCCATCATGTTGGCCACGAGGGCCGTCTCAAGATCCCCGGCGTCATATGCGGCGTTGGCGTCCGCGAAGGCGGCGAATACCCCCTCTGCTTTCTCGGCAACAATCTTGTAATACACGGCCGCGACGCTGCACGAGCGCTCGCGGCCAACCCCCTGGTTGTTCAGTTCGGCGAGGTAGTAGAACGCCTCGATGTGTCCGTTCCGCGCCGCGAGCTCGAAATACTGCGTCGCAGTCCTCACATCCCCCTGGTCGAGAAACAGCTTCCCCAGCTGGACCTGCGCGGATGCGAGATCCTGGTCTGCGGCAGGGGCGAAGTACTCGGCTGCTTTGAGGGGATCCCGGGGAACACCAAGGCCGTGCAGGTGCATGAGCCCCATGGAGTATTGGCATAAGGCGTCGCCGTTGGAGATGCCACGCCTGAACCAAGTCGCTGCGATTGCGTAGGAGGGCTCTATGCCTTCGCCGCGCAGGAACATACGGCCGAGGTAGCCGGCGGCTTTGGAGGCGAGCTTTTCGGTGCCCGGGGGTGGGTCGTTTTTGATTTTGCCGTCTTTAGCCCAGTAGGCGCGGGCGACGTCGAGGAAGTGGGATTTCGCGGCCCGCAGGTCCCGCTTGAGCTGGCGGGAGCCGTCGTAGTAGAGCTTGCCGAGGCTGAAGGTGGCTTTGAGGTCGCCTTTTCGGGACATCAGGTCTAGGTATTCGAGGATGTCGTCGAAGGCTGCGTGGGCGTCTGAGGTTGCGCCGCCCCTTTTTGCGTTGGGGCCGGAGCTGCTGATACTGGCGCCTTCGCCGTAGACGCCGCCCAGTTCGTCCGCGTATCTGTACGATTCCTTGATCATCATGTGCCCGCCCGGCGGACCCGATCTCTGAAATGCAATCGCCTTGTCCGCAACTTTCTTGTAGTGGTAGACAGCTTCTTCACAGTTCCTCGGCGTCGCGATCCCAATATGATGTCTGTACCCCATCGTCATCTGCGACCTGGCATCGCCCGCCTCTGCCGCAAAGGTATGGTAGAGCATCGCCTTGGCCTGATCTTGCTTCACCGCCCCACCTATACCGGTCGCGTACATGAAGCCAACCATATGCTGCGCCGAGCTGTTCCCGTCCAACTGCGCGAGCTGCTGGTATCTCCGCAAGGCCTCCGCATAGTTGCGGGGATGCGTAAAGTTTCCATAGAAGTTCATCTCTGCAAGCAGCCATATCGCATCCGTATCGTTGTTCCCCGCTGCGCCCTCCAGGAGCTTCACGGCTCTCTGAAGTGGCTGCCCGGGTTTCTTCTGGGGGTTCGAGATGAGGAGGTCATCCTGCGGCGGCGCATTCATGAACAGGAGGAAGAAGAGCTCTTTGGCGTAGTAGACCGAGTGCCCGAGGATGCCGGATGGCTTCTTGAAGCTTGTTCTCGTCGAGCCGCTGAGTCCGCGGAGGATGTCGTATGCTTCATGGACGTCGCCAGCTTGGCCGGACGCCGGTGTGGGAAGGAGGGCATTTACAACTACACAAGCGTTAGAGGAGTCGGACTTGTATTTTCAGAGGACTTACAGAAAAGCAGCGGCAACAGCCGCCGCAGCAATAACCTCATTATTGTAGAAGCATCGTGGTGGTTGTTCGAAGCAGACTGGACACCTTTGTCAGTTGAACGTCCGCTGCTTAGTAAGCCGATGTACGGTGGACTTGAAAGTCGCCATAGGACAACGTTTGGAATTCCTGTAAGGGCACAAGGGCAAGCAAGTCTCCAAAGACTTCGAAAAGTCGTGTGTATATTCATCTATCTACAGAGCCGACATATCCCACCCCCTACCTGCCTCCTCAACTTCCCTTCCCCCTCCCCTTCACCCTCTCCCCCTTCCCCCCAATAAACCCCCCAACCCAGACAGCAACCGGCACCGCACTAACCGCACTCAGCGCCCCCAAGCTCCACCCCATAGTCCCCCACCCGGCCCTCTCCCTCACCAAGCCCGCCCAAATGGGACCCACCAGACAGCCGCCCGCAAACGCCATATTAAACAGGCCATACGCCTGCGCATACGCGCCCCGTTCGCCGAACGATCCCGGCCGCTTCCTCTCCTTGGCCTGGACGACATACGTAATCTCCGCCATAAGCGGGGGCATTGCGCTCGCCAACGCCAATCCCAGCACCGCCAGCAGCGCACACAGCAGCACCTTGGTCTGCAGCGAGCTGGCGGTGACGAAGCGCAAGCACACGAAACACGGAGCAGCGAGGATGAAGCCCGCGGTGGCCGGCCAGCGCGGCCCGTAGCGGTCGGAGATCCAACCCGCGAGCGGCGCGAGGAAGGAGGGGATGGTGATGGGGAGGAAGATTAGACCTGCGCCGAGAGAGGTCCAGCCGAAGGTCTCGTGCACGTGCAGCGGGAGCACGGAGTCGAAGCAGGTCATTAGGGTTGCTTGGGCGAGGCAGCCCCAGAGGGCTGCGAGGAGGCGGCGGGAGGCGAGGAGGGAGAGGACGGGGGGGAGGGTGGCGCGGCGCTGGGTTGGGGGTGCGGCGTCGGAGTGTGAGTCGGTGCGGGTTGTGGTAGTGGGTGCGATTACCGCTCCAGGCTGCTCTTTCTCCGTTTCTGCCCTTTCTGGGCTGCTCGCGACGTCTCGGTCCCTCGGGGGAGGTGTCGCCACCCCGCCCTCAACATCTCCCTTCTCCTTTCCTCCCTCCTCCTCCTCCGGCAACCACCTCACCGCGATCTTCCTCTCTACCATAACAAGCCGCAGCAGGATATCCACCCCAATAAGCACATACGCCATCGCAAACACCGCATTATACCCTGCCCTGTCATACACGACCCCTCCCAGCAGCGGGCTCGCCAAGATCCCAAGGCTCATGCTCATCCCCACCCACCCCATCGCCTGCCCAATCGCCTCCTTCCCCACCGTATCCGCCAGCAGCGCGAGTCCCACCACCCACACCACTGCAGCCGAGACGCCCTGCAGCACTCTCCCCGTCACCAGCGCCGCGATGCTGTTGCCCACATTCAGCATGACGGTTGCACCCGCCAAAGCGAGAAGGCCGACGATGAGGGGCAGGCGGCGCGAGGTGCTGCGGTCGGCGAGGTAGCCGCACACGGGGGAGAAGGTGATCAGCGCGGCGCCATAGATGGCGATGAGGAGGGAGACCCAGTATTGGGTGCGTTGTGGAGGAACGCCGGAGCGTTGCTCGAGGGCGAAGGGGATCACGGGGACGATGAGGCCGTAGAGAAATATGTCCTAGTATGACATCAGCTTAGGCGCAAATATAAAGGAGGGCGGAGGGGCGGCTCGGCGTACCGTGAAGACGGCCATACAGATTGTGGTCAGGATGAGCCATTTTGAGGATCTATATTTCAGGAGGAATGGCGGCGAGGAGCCTTCGGCGAAGTCTTGGGATAGCCATGCCAGTGTTGACTGCCATGTCGACTTCCTCGTCGTCACGGAACTCATTTAGGAAGAGTAGCCGTCCACTTTTGGTTCAATTGGAATCTACGCGCCTGGACGCCATGTGAGGCAGTAATGTTGATATATACCAAAGCTGGAACACTAAGATAGGGAAATGCTAAGAAAAGGAAGCAAAGGAAAGTCGTCCGTACCGTCTCCGCGTCGGAGGCGACCAGCGCCCTACGCCATGACCGGTGGAGGTGCAGGTGAGGTTGCCGAGTCCCCACCAGCGTGCTCGTTTAAGACATCGTCATGTCCCTGGTCCGAACTAGGCTCGAAACAGGCAATATCTGCGAGAACACTGCAAGGCGCGATCGCGAACGCAGGTCACGTTACACCGTACAGCCGCATCCGCGCCTGTCTCCACACCTCAGAATACTTCGTGAGACAAGGAAGCAACTGTAAGCAGAATGCTGCAATGTTGGCGTACATTTCGTGAGTTGGAGCAAAGACATGCGTAAGCAATTCCATTCCATGTCTAAAAAACCGCCATGTCCGCGTTCTAGTTCAGCTTCAAGATACGAGTGCATACCTCTCTCAGCAAACGCAGCGATGAACTTGACTTCCACTTGATTTCTATGTATCCCACACACCCTAGATGCTCGCTACAATGGCCCGCCGCCATGCCATTCCATTCCATGCAATAGTGCCGTTCACGGCAGACAAGAGGCAAGAGGGAAGATTATCCCGCCTGGGCAATCCAACAGCGTAGCCTCAAACGCCCATGCGCCCAAACCCCCAGCAGCCTGGAACCCAGAAAGCAACAATCGCAGTGCAACGCCGGGAACAGCATTGACAGCGCAACGCCGGTATGGTCACCGGTCAAAAGACCGCCGTAGCTACCGCAAGAAATCCCTGCGGACGTTGACAAACGCCCCTGCGCCGCCGTCCTCCCCCAGCTCGTCGACCAGAGCTTCTGACTGCTGGACCAGCCGTTCCAGTGCCGCGGAGGAGGATTTGCCGAGGGAGACTATTCATGGAAGTAAGCCTTCAACCCCGTTGTGGGTTGTCTCGAAAGGGGGGTTGCTTACCGAGTATCGCACTGTTCAGCTCCTCCGCCACCGGCACCCTTCTCCTCACCTCGAGCAGACTCCCCACACTGCTCTCCCTCGCGTCCGGGTACGCAATCAGCGCAAACGTGTCCTCGAGCGCCTTCTTGACCTCGCGTCTCGGATCGTTGTTGAACTCCGACCTTAGCTCCTGGCCATAGAGGATCGTTTCCTGCAGCAGCGTGCTGTATCTGGTATTGACGTCGACGTCCTCCGTGTCCATTCTCTCCCAGTCAGACGTGCCGCTGTCCGGCACGCTGTCGTCGAGCTCCATCTGGTGGTCGAAGACGCCGTCATCATAGTCGTTAGCCATGTGGCCGTTTGTGACTTTTGCGGATTTCTGGTGGAAGCCCGATTGCAGCTCATTGCACTTCCGTATCATCTCAATGAATTTCCGGCAACGGAGCTTGAAGTAGATATTCTCGTTGTCTCGCAGGACTGAAGGGTAGTATGCCGTGGTGTGCTTGAGGGCTTTGTCGATGTCGCCGTCGAGGATCGCTGCGCGGATTTTCTGCCGGTTTATTGCGTCGAGGTCTTCTTCGGTGGTCAGGTCTTTCACGGCGGCGGTGTTGCCGTTTGCGAGGGCTAGCGACTCAACGCGGACTTCTTCTGTGAAAGCGCGTGCGGTCTCAACGTAGCCGTCGTGGGCGAGATATTGGGCGATGAGCTCGTGGATGAGGGCGGCCTCGTCTAGACGCGGTTGTAGCGATGTTACGCTTGCTTTGCTGATTTCTTGCCGAACGAGGAGTCTCTCGTTCTGAGTAATGGATCAGTAAAACTCCATGGTGACAGATATCTACCTGGAGGACTCACCTCGACCATACCATCGATATCGAATACAAAAGGAGACTGTCCGAAGTTCACCCGCAAATGCTCTCCTGGCTTCTTCATGCCAACAGAAGGGTATAGATGCTCGCTCTTGATGTCCCGAAATGCAATGCCTGGCACGTGGTTAGCTGGACATCTACATTTTGGAAGACTAGTAGACTCACCTAGGTTCACACCGTTCTTAGTAAAGAAAGCGCAGTTGGTCCGGAAGTTAACGCCACAACCTATGACGTCCAGGCTCGAGAACTTGGGCCCGTACGCCTTGCCTGAAGCTGTACAGCAGAAGCTGAATCCATCATCGCCATGATAAGCCCACGATTCCGGTTCCCAGCCGGGAAGCCTATTCAGACTAACTCTTCGACCGGAGAAGCCGATACCGATGAGTCTGTATCGCGTCAGTATGTCCTGTTCCTCCACTGAAGCGCAACCGGGGTATACAATACCCTTCCTTTCCCTTCGAGACCACCGTGACCTCGTAGTAGTATATCCCGCACTGCCTCGGCATCGGATGATCCGCACGCACCGAAGCAGCTTCCTCGTGTACCTTGCCCAATCCACCAAGCCGTACCTCCATACCATCTTGCAGAACGTCCAAACCCCCAAACTTATCGCTCTCACTCCACCGCGAGGGAAATGGTGCTGTGGCCGCTTCGACAAACACTGGCGCCCGCTCGATAACATCGTGCGTTATGCCTCGGTGGGACGGCCCCATCTTGTGCAGATTCATGCTGCTGGAACTCGTGGACAGTGACCCCGCATTCGACGACTGGGTCGATCGTACGTCTCTCCGCGCTGCCATCTTAGCGTTGTGCGCCTCTTCCAGCCTCTCAGCATGCCGCGAGCCTCGCAGGTATGAGGGGACGAAGAACGGCGGGTATTGCGCTTCTGATCCGGCGGCTCCGTGGCCGTTCCCTATGTGCCCGAACTGGCTCGCGTATGAAGGTAACGAGCCGCCTTTGCCCCACGACTCGGACATGTTGCTGTGCCCGTCCCCTTCCATAGTTCTTGATTGTGTTCGTGAGTGGGTTGCGGGTAGGTGCGGTTGCGTATACCCAGGCGGGTTGTTGGCGTGGGAGAGATGTGAAAAGGCTCCGGCTCGGGCGGGCTGCTGGAAGCTTGGTGCTGCTGCGGCACTCGCGGTGCCAGACACGACAGCAGCATAGGAGGACCGTCGTTGAGGGAAAGGGGTGGAGCCGGAGCCGGTATTTGGCCCGTAGGATAGAGGTGGGTGTCCAGGGTTCGCCATGGTGCTAAGGTATGAGAGCTGGCGAAGAGATGTTTCGTGGATTGTATATGAAGGGTGCGCGCAAGAAGCTCGGAATTTCGGTTGATTAGACACGTGCAGGAGTTTGTATGCTTGCTGCGTAGGGATGTCTTCCAGGTGTGGGTTCGCTGTTACTGACGTGCGTGTGCGGACGTATGCAACGAGTGTGCAGCAAGTAGATCAGCGGCGGCCAGGCACCGCTCCCGGTGCCGTGAGTTCAGGATTGACGGCTGTCAACATCTTCAGAGGGTGGCAAAGGGTATCGAGCAGGATCTTGGTCCTATCGTGCGGTTGAGTCGATCAGTGCAAGTCAAGTGAGGTGTACGAGTAGGAGAGGTGACGGGTGGCCGAGCCGTGACGCGGGGAAGGAAAGCTAGCCCATCACGCCCATGCATGCGCCGGGACTTGCCTATCAAGCCCGCCACGGGACGGTGTCACAGGGTACTTACATTTCAATAGGCACAAGACATGCGTAGAGCTGCCTTAAGCTTAGAGATCAAGTCACTACAAAGTCATGGCTTCAAGGAAGCGCAGTGCCAAGTGGTGAAGCGTTGATTTGGGGTGGTAAAGTAGAGCACCCCCAACATAGTGATCTAGTAAAATAGTCGTGCAATCAGAATCCCGTGCGGATACAAGTCCACGTACATAACCGCAAACCCAGGTGGACAACCAACAGAGCCCTCCTACTCAAGCCGACGCCGAATCTCATGCATCCTTTTGACACGCCAGCCCGTCACAAAATCTTTCCGAACGCCGCCAAATGCAATGATCCCCCAGTCCCGAATCCGTCTTACGTTCGTCTTTCCCAACGGCCAAGGTGAGACAAAATCCTGAAGTAAGTGCCCGCCACACTCTGTAGGAACATGAGTGAACCCGTCGAAGTGTTCTCAAGCTCCCACTCAGGGCGACGACGCTGGTAGTGGTGGAGGCAGCATCACAGCATCCGGACCACTATTGCTCTTGTCGCTTGCAACCGCGTCGCTCATCTTGACGTCACTGGGAGTAGAGGAGTCGCTCTTTACGTCGCCGCTGAACTCGACGGCACTCTTGTTTGGGGCACGCCATGTGGGAATACTCCACGTGACGCCAGTGAAACTCTTAAGCTGGAAGCCCTTACGCTCCCACTTGCGGCACGGCTTGCCCGTCCTGTCAAGTGCGCGAAGGTTGGCGTTGATGGCGCCCTGATTGGCTTTCGGATTGAGTTTGGATGATGTGATGGGCGTGACACCGCCGAATGGGCCTTTCGCGAGCGGGTCGTTGGTAAGATCGCCGCTGTTGCAATCTGTTAGCATATGTGTGACGACAGAACGGAGCAATGCAGTGGGTCATGGACAAGAAAGGGTGTGGGATGAGATGATCTGCTGACTGGCGCTGACGGGCATCGGTATGTAAGATTGCATGAAGACTCGGTGGTAGCAACGCGATGAGAGCCTTGGTGTGTCGCATAAGACATGGCACGATCATGCAGTTGAAGACATTGCTGTCTGCAAACTCCAGAGTCCAGAGACGGGGTGTTCTTCGAGCCGCTCAAGCGTGCAGGGAACAAGACATCGAGGAAAGCGTGTGACGAGGTGCTACTTACAGTCGGGGTTTCTTCTTAGGTCCTGGCTTGCCTCTCAGCTTAGTTACGCCGTCGAGGAGTGAGGGTCCCCGTTTGGCGCCAGGCTTCGGTCCAGGTATGCCCTTCCTCTTAGCACCGTTCGGCGGAGGCGCCAGTGTGGTCGAGTCCGAGGCGGTGCCGTTTGGTAATGGTGTCGAGTTGGCTTCGGAGGTGTTGGTCGAGGGCGGTGGTTCGACAGCTGGTGCCGCTGGGGTGGACGTGGACGATGAAGAGGCCTCGGATGGGGATGGCTTTCGAACGGGCTTTTCGTGTGGAAACCGCGCCAGGAGGGCTGATGGTAATGGCAACTTGATGATTTTTGACTTTAATGGCTTTGTCGATGTTTTAGGCACGGTCGCGTTAGTCGCTTTGGCAGTCGCGGTCAGCGAGGCCGACATGGTGAGCGTGGATGGTGGACGGCGTTGTGAGGTGATGGAGGGAGATGGTGGTGAGAGTGTTCAGCTTGCTTCCGGTCGCAAAGCGAAGCTTGGAAAGGGAGGGCACTTGTCCCGGGCGGCAAGGTGGTGAGCAAGGCCAGATGCGAAGTTTCTGCGCAGAGCAAGGGAGATTGGCTATTGCATGCTCGCAGCGGTGGTGATTTATGGTGGATGAAGCTGGCGACGGTGTGGTGGATGGATGGGTGGAAGTGAAGTGAAGGGGAAGGTGGGAATGGGCGGGCGTTGTCTAGTTGCGGCGACGGCATTGTGATCGCTAAGTCTGACGCTTCTTTTGTGTGTCTCCAGTTCCGAGTTTCTGAAGGGCTGGCTGGGGCGCGCTTCATTTCAGAGGATGGGTCGAAGTCACTGGGCCCTCATCGGCACGTGACTGCGACTGCAACCGCGTCTCAGGCACACCTCGCCGCCGCGTCTTCCCTTCTGCACTTCCTCTTCATTTCTTCTGGACATCTCTTCGGCTCTTCCACCGTGACTGCTCTCGCCTTCCTCTACACGGCTGGCTGGTCGCTGTCGCTTGGTGCGGCGCATGGGCCGCATGAAAGGGGAGCCTGCCAGACCTTGGCTCCTCGTCAGCGCCCGCGTTTTTCATTGTTTGCAGCCATCCACGTCATGCGCGAAATAAACCTCACCGCGACAGCAGCTCAGCGCTCGTTCACCGCCAACTTCACAGAGTAATCCTCCATCAGCCGCTGTGGCAGATCGAAGGAGTGGCCGACAGAAGGACAAGCCTTTAGTGAGCCATTCAGACGTTGCTATGAAGCATTGGATGGACCATAGAGGGAGCTTTGTTCTTGATGCAGCTGTGAGTTTCCACAATCGCGGTGAGGCCTTTTTCCCGCTCGGCGTGCCATCCAGCTAGATCGCCCGCTCTTGGCCCTTGACGATTCCAGTCAGCGACCGGCTCCGCAAGCATTTGCCAAACCACTTCGGCTGTCTGGAACCACCCATGAGCAGCTGAACCCGACCAATGCGACGATCCGCATACCATGGCCGCCGTTCAGCCTGCTTCCTCCTGCTTCCGCTACTGCACTCGTGAGGCATCCTGTCCAGTAACTGCACGGCTTCAAGGTGGTGGAGCAGTCGCCACGCCTGCGTGATGAAAGTGGGAAAGACTTGTCGTGGAACGCCCACTCAAGGCAACCCACAGCATCTGTAATCACGCCCGTTCCGACCGAACAAGGCGCTCGGTTATGATATTCACGCTCCTGAACATCCAACGTGATTCTCCGAGGCGAAAGGACGGCCTTCAGCCCTTGTCTCTCTACGCGTAACATACCATCAATGCGCTATTTTTTGTGTGATCCAGCAACTCTGGGACACAGGGCGGCTTCTATTATTCTCGGCGTAATGAAAGGCCTATTGACAGACACATCCGCACATCGACTTTTCAGATAACACTCATTCTAAGTTGCTCTCCCCAACCTCAAAGCAGTTCCCAGACGCAAGCGCAAGCCGTCTTCCTCACCACTCAACCCGGTCACGACACGGCATGCATAAACTGTGCTTATCGTGGTCAGACCACCCACAGTCTTTCCATTCTCCCTCCTACACAGCCCCGGTCTTTCCGTTCTCCCTCCTACACATGAGTACATCAAACTTGTTGGACAGATGAGAACTCTCCACACCTCTAGCTCAACATTCGATTATGGTAATGCATAGCAGCGTTACCGAACAACGATGCTACAACCCATTCCTGGAGCATGAGAGTATTCGTGAGTCTCGAGAGTTGATGGACTGCACCATCTCAATAAGATCGGTGCTGGCAAAAGGTTATGGAGAAACCTCACTCACGTGCTCAGGGAGTGCAAGCGAGAAGCGATTGTCCCACATTTCCGTATACCTATTGTCTCAGCTATTGAAGTCCGGAACAACCAATCCCTTCATTACAAAAGGACCGAGTTCCTCCAAAGATCTATCAGAATCATCACACGTCCGACACAGACGCACAACCCTCAGTCAACCACGTCGCCGCCATTCTTCTCGAACCAAACAAGTCTTCATGGCGTGCAATAGTCAGGAGGTGAGTTCACTGACGTGTCCAAGCTACAAGCCGCGCGACGGCGTCACCACTCTCACTCACTTGGTCGGCTCAGTCAATTAACCAGCTTCACCGTGTCAGTGTTCTTCAAGTATCAATTGGGTCAGGCATGGCTCTTCAAAGGCTCGCGGAACTAATCGGTTGCCGTCGCCGCTGCTTCAGCAACCTGTTGAGCTTCTCTGAGCCGACGTTTCTTCAAGGTACGTACGCGCCGTGTGAAAGGCTTGCAGTCAATATCCTTTCAGACTTTCGCTGCTAGCCGCCTCATCGCTCTGACCAACTTGTTGAAGCACGGAATGCCAATGCTCCCACCTTCATGTTCAGTCCGAGTCGCATTGGAACTATCCAGATTCGCTGACTAGATCGGCTTCCCAGGCGAAACAACTCTTCTAAGGCCCAGCGTGCCCAACCCTTGGAGCTAATCCTTTTCCCGAATTACAACCCTGTTTGCCCGGCGCGGCAAAAAAGAACCTATGTTCTGCCCTCGGCCTGGCCCCAGACATTTTCTGCCGTTGGCCGTTTGGAAATCCTCCTCCTTGCTGACTGCGAGGGAAGAGAGACGTGTCGAGGGCACAGAGGTCGGCCGGAGGTTCACGCGGCAAAAAAGAACCTACGGTCGGCCTCCTGCCAGGCCTGAAACAGTTTCTGAGCGCTGACCCCCTGGGAAGCATCTTCATGGTGGAATTTGGGAATGTGCCGATCAATGGAAGCCGGCCGAAGGTTCGCGCGGCAAAAAAAACCTACGGTCGGCTTCCGGCCTGGTTTTGGAAGATCTGGACGCTGGCGGGTTCTGTTTGGCGCGGTAAGGACATCCTTACACCATCCTTGACACGTGGCACATGACGCGAGGCCTGCGTATCGAGCAAATCTCTGACAGAGGTGGCAGTTAAAAGACGACGGCGCTCACTGGGTGGACTTCAGGAACTACTGATTTCACATTTTGTTCTTGTCTTCGGAGTTCACACCGCCACGGCCACTCAGTACCGACGACGGGCCGCCTCAGATTTTGAGCGCGGCAAAAAAGAACCTAGGTGGTGGCGGGCTTCCGTTCCGCTCGATGATGTGTGTCAGTATCTGACTACGACGTAGTCGATCAACTTTCTCATTAGATAATGAACAGAACCATGATCAAATCATGTATCCAGCTTCCGCGGCGTTTCGAAGCAGCGTCTGACTCATTTCCATAACCCTCCAAGTCGTCCAACTGTACGCTCAATTCTGCCATATGCTCCATATTATGCAATCCAAACGCCGTCCCAATGCAATGCCAACCTTGCAAGTCTCCAAACGCCTTGGCTAAACCAAAAACCTCAGTGAACGCCTTATAAGATGAGCCATAACCATCTCCTAACTCATGCCACGTCCGGGATACGACGTACGCGCTTCTCGATGAATCGACTGCTGACAGATCACAGCTCAACCTCGCGCTCACCGTGACCGTCCCCGGCGCAGACGAGCCCGCCAAAATCAGTCCAAGTCAAGCCGTGAAATCCAGCCGCGCAGTTGTACGCCCAGTCTCTCGTACTCCAGCTGGAGTAATGTACGGATTGGTCAAAAGATGCTACCCTGGAAGTTTCCGATTCCCGATTTGAAGACTCGGCGATAGCGCCCTGGGGGCCCTCAAGCTGCTTAGACGGTGTACCGGACCCCAAGACAGTCTGCTCAGTTTCCGGCAATGCTTGCAGAGGCGTGAAGAATGCCGCGGACGACTCGTCTCCTGATGTTAATGCGGGCCTTGGACTGGCGATCCGTATCTGCGTCACCAGACTCTCATCCTCGGTCTCGCTGTCTCGAGTCTCAGGAGTCGTGGAGCCGTCTCCGCGCTTCCTCTTTCGGCCTCCGTCTTCCTCCTCGCGCTCTGCTAGGAGCTCGTGCATCTCTTCGTCGTGAGCAAAAATGTCGCCGGAACAGAGATGGCCAAAGAGTGCGCGCATGCTGAGTGAGGGATTCCAGTTCGCGTAGTCAACGGTGCAGGGGTAGACGTCGCGTGGGCGGAAGGCTTCGACGAGCCTGCAGAGCTCACTGTAGGAGGAGTGGCGCGAGTAGGGGAAAGTGATTGTTCGCGGAAGCTCCTTGGTCCGTTTCTGCTGTCCGAGAGGGCGCAGAGCTTCAGCGCCGTCGCTGTCAGCCGAGGCGAGGCGAGCGAGTATATCCACCAGCTCCTGTAAGGGCAGCTGATCCAGATCGAGATGGCCCTCTTCGTTATCCACTCCACCTCCGGCTCCTCCAAGCTGTATCCGTGTCTGCTTCTCTTCCAGGACAGAAGAAAGCAGCCGCAGCACCCTCTGAAGCTTCTCCGGCTCCGTGATCTTCGTCGCACACATATTCATCAATTGCGCAACGGCCGCCACATCCGCGGTATCGAGTTCATGCACCTGATCCAGATCCCCCTTACCGCCTCCTGCCCCCAGCTCCGCCATCTCAGTCCCGTCAGGCGTCCGCGTGATGATAGGGATGATCCACACGACGTTCGGGTTCCCATCCACCACCGAACATCCCGTCCCTCTTTCACAGCTATGCAGCCGCGCCCCCGGCTCGTCCGTCAAACATCCACTCTGCCAGTGATTCCCAAGCTGAAACCCACACAGCGGCGGCGCCTCCGCACAAACCGGCCCTCCCTCTTTCGCCGGCGCCGCAGCCAACGACCGATAGATCCGCCACCGGTACCGGTCAAGATGCACAGCCGTCCCCAGCAGCGCCGCCAGCGCAATCCACACGTCCTCGTACCCAAACGTCCACGCCTGGAAATAGAAGATCGTGTCCGCCGGATACAGCGAGACCTTCTCCAGCAGCTCAGCCAGCCCCGCCGCCTTGGAAGGAAACTCGCGGTACACATCCGTCTTGGTCGCGAAGGTCGTATCCAGGTATATCGTATCCAGCCGCCTGCTCCCGAGCGTAAAGGGCACGAGCACTGGACTCCGGACCAGGGACTCCACGAGCCAGGGCTCGGATCGAGTGTCTCCTGTATAAAGAATCGCTTTCCGGGTGTCCTGGATCAGGAACATGACGGCTCCCGCGCAGTGGTTCGCATTCAATAACGTCACTTTGATCTCGTTCCCGGGGCTAAGTTCGATCCTCGTAGGTGTTTCCAGGGGGATGGTCTTCAGCAGCATCCTGAGGTGCTTGTAAGTCTGGACCCGGCTCTCGAGGATCCCCTTGGCGAAGTTCATGCGGTGAGAATAGCGCTCTAGCCGTAGCAGGATCTGGCGGGTCGCGAGGGAGCAGTAGATGAAGGGCGCTTTGAGGGATTCGAGGCCTTGGAGGTGGTCGCTGTGGACGTGGCTTAGGAAGCAGGCCAGGGGTGGGGGGTGGCCTGGAGTGGTGCGGAAGCAGTCGATGCGGATTTGGGGGAATTCTAGGGGTGTTAGTGGATGTGTTTGCGATTGTGACGGGCAAGGGGGGTTCACCTGCGACGATACCTTTAAAGGTCGACATAGCGTTTGACTCGCAGGGACGGATAAAATTTATTTTGATGTATATCTTTCAACTGCGGCAAGTGATTGATGTGCGTGGATCGACCGCCTCAATTCCTCATGATTGCGCGCGCATGAGCTGCTCTTTCACCCGAGTTCAGCACGCGAACCTAGACGTTGTCACAGTCGATATTCACGCAGCCATGTCACCGTGATATACGGATGCGGGCTCCCCTTACCCAAGGTCAAGCGGCGTCAGAAGGAGGATCTAAGTTCACAGACCACGGTGGCCCTTGGCTATCTTCACTGCTCAAAAATCCGTCCCCCCGTTCGCTTTGAAGCAGCTCTCTAGGAACAGTGAACTAGCGTAAACATTCCATGAAGGATTGTCCGAAGGAGGTGAGCGCGATGCGTCGAGGGATACGGCTGCGCCCAGTCACGTGCACACCGATCGTGTGAAATGGGCATGGTTCGCGTCTTGTCTGCATCAGCGACCTAGAGGTTGTGGACCCGCAATTCCACCAATTCCACTACAAGCGCTTCGAACTCAGTCTTCCTTACCCATGTTAATCCTCGAAACAGCCCGTGATCCAACGTACGCGTCTGTGCACCATCCGTGTCACACTTTCCATTCCTCAAGGGATCTTGACATGCCGATTCTTATGTCCTGGTAGTCACCTATGTTCCTTCAATTGCGGCAATTACTATAACTGACCCTACTACAGACATAGACCGCCGAGTAGGTTTCACCAGAGCTGTGCTCTTGGCATAAGCTGAACTCCACGAAGCTAGAAAATGGACACAGCCTCCCCTGCCGAACAGCTGAAAAGACGACATATCCAATCCTACCAGTCCTTACTCCTCGATAAGTCACGAGAGGCAGCGAGGATGAAATAATGAGATGCTTCAGAACGCATGCGCGTGAAGTCAGCTCCGTCCTGGAGTCTTCAATCTGAGAAGGGGCACCAATCGCAATATTTTGTCCAGCCAAGGCGTTCTGGGCTTTAGTGGCCATTGTCTTAGAATAAACATCTTGTATAGACAGTTCCTCTTGGGACCTAGCTCTTGGACAAGTCATTTGCTGCTATTGGGTTACGTCTTCTGAGAGCGAAGGCTGAGGAGTTCCGTGATCATGACTAAGTGAAAGACTTCGGCGAAACAGGGTAAGTGTGCCTGTCAGAACTAGCACTCCAGAAGAACTTAATCTACCGTTCAAGGGTGTGGAGTTACTACAAAGCATCCCCATAGCCCTGACTTGGTGGACGTGCGAGAGTATTACTTGAATCCTTGGAATCCTCATTTCTGATCTCCTCTTCTCTGTCGGTAGCTCACCTGATTTGAAACGACCCACATCGCTATGAGGTATTTTCTTCGGTTCCTTACTACGGCGGCAGCTTGTTCCACCACTGTAGCAGCGCCAACAACTCTCTTTAACTTCCCAGACTCTGCCCCGAACCGAGTGGCCGCCTTCTAGTCCTCGCTGGATGGCCCTAACGACCTCTATTCAACTCCGCTCTTTCTTTCCAAGCGGCGCTCACCTCTTAAGAGATTAGGCAAGGCAATATATAAGGTTGTTGACAAAGCAGGGAAGGCTGGGCATGATGCCATTGATGCCGTCCGCAAGTCTCTTGTTGGTGCCGCCAAGACGATCGAAGTTACCGTCGAAGATGTTGGTGACGCCTTCGCTGATGGCGTTATGGAACTGTCAGAGCCATTGAGTCAATGGCTGTGACATCGTTGCCGACATGTCTGTGCCGTTTTATGCAAGTGAAACCTACAAACCACACTAGGCTACCCATCAGCTACCTATGTCAGTCTTGTCGAGGACCCTGCTATCACCGAACTGCAGTTCCAAAGTGCAATGATGCTGGTCGACTCAAAGAGCCGCTTCAAAATCTTGACGCAAGCTGAAAGTCAAGCTCGTGCTGCTGCTAAATGTATAGTTCAAGAAGTCCGCTGCGACGGCTCCCACGTTCCGAGGTGGTGTGATCCGCAGGTGTTTGATGATAACAAGATGTGCGGAATAGCGAGGAATGCGTGGCGTCTCGCGCGGCGCCAGGGTTTCGACTGCAATCCTAATTGACCGTCACAGGTATGGTGAACAGGTCGAGCGGAAATATCTGTGGTGTTCTCATTTTTTTATTTTTTTGGATACACAGTCTGGTGCATGCAGGCCATGGCTCAAAACATAGGTCAGGGATGCCCGCTTAGAAAGTGGGGATTCAGTATTGAATATAACTATGAAGCTATGCAGTCCTTCTCAGGGGCTATCGTACCATACCTTATAAGCTCATGAACGTTTGCCCTCGCAAGGCGAGCTCTTCCTAGGAGTCTTCCCTGAATAAGGCCCTGCCATTCATCACGTGGTGATTTCCAAGCTTAAAGACCGCAAAGTCCTCATCTACATCATTCCTATTATTAAAGTGTCATTGATTCTATCCTGTTCGACGTCCGATTCTGCAGTACTAGTGTTTTTTGCAGCATTGGGCTTGAGGTCTGGCTCAAGAGTCTCCCCAGATGGCTTAACAACAGCAGAAATACCTTGACTCAACCCCGTGATCTGAGCGGTGAACTGCAGAGCGGGAAGCAGGGAGCGCGGCCAGCCTGTACTAGGGGGACCCTTGTTCGTATTCAGAGCTTGGCCTTCAAACACCACAGATTCTTAAGCCATGCTTTTGGCTCTCCAGACTGCAAAAGGCAAAAGCAAAGAGAATTGCAAAGACATACTAGACCGCCCCACCAAGACTCCACTATGAACACGGTTGTACCGAATCAACAAGGCAATGTTCGAAGGCAACCTCCAAGCCAGCCGCTGCAAAAAAGCTCTAGTCTCACACGCTATGCCAGAGAGAGCACGGGTATCGACGCTGAGGGCCTCTCCTTACAGTTATCCCTCACTCCGCGTTTCAAGTGCCACCGAAGAAGCTTTGTCGGTGTACCACACAAAAAAGAAAACCGCACTCCGACGCCAATTAGCAAACTGAATTGGAAATGGCAGAATACGCCCAGCTCCGAAATCTCAGCTTCTTTCGGGTACCGCATCACGGGAATAAGAACTGCTCAATTTCTCCCATTGAACGTAGGGAATTCGAGCACGCGTCATCAGACCATGGCCCTAAATTTGGCGGGGGTGTGAGACCTTTTACCACCATATCTGCTCTAGCGGGAGTGGATTGATCTTGAGAGCTCGTGGATGTGCAATTCCGCTCCCACGCGTTGAACAATCGGGTAACGCGTAAGTGAACAAGCGAAGGACCTCTCAATGAAGCTAGTCACGGATACATAGTTCGCTGTCACATTCATACGTCTCGATTTGCTTCCACAACCTCAAACCCGGCAGTTTAGTGTCACTCGTTGTTCCCAGCGCTGACCGCGCCCTCCAATCCAGTCTTGTCAAGCTGCTCAGCAGAAAGAACGTCAAGAATGTCTTTCCAACTTCCTCACCGGGGTCTACCACAAGAGCTAAGGGATATAATCTACAAGCACGCGCTCTGCCCGCACGAGGGCCTTACCATCCAGCGAGATGGTCCCAGAGAACCTTCCGATTCCCTCGATATCTCGAAATTCAAAAGCGTGCAGCCTACAGCGCCAGCCCTATTGCGCACGAGCCGCCAGGTTTACTCCGTGACATTGCCCCTATTATACGGCGCAAACAACTTCACTCTGGACATGAAATGCTCGGACGCTTTGCTATTCCTGCAAGCTCTGCCCAAAGACAGCCGGCTGCAGACCAAAGCTCTCACTATCCCGGGCAATCTCATCGCGGCGATTAAATTTAGCAACCAAGCCCATGCCGACAAGCTCAGCGCCTTTCTCATTCACTCCATGCGCCTTGAGCGCATCATCCTAGCGGTACCGAACCCACCGTCTGCCAGCAGTACCGGAGCGTTCGATGGCGAGTTCAGGTGGTCCACGTGGACACTACACCGGGCCCTGATCGACGCATTCAAAGCTGGCCATTTTCGCGCCATTACCGTGGCCCGTCCAGAACCGTACGGCGAACGCGTGGATGTCCACTATTTCTGCCAGGTCAGGCAGCACGTGGAAGAGCGCCTGCTGGAGGACTACCGGGAACAGCTGCGGGAGCGGCGGCGCGCGTACTGGGACGCCGCATACGAGGATGCTGTTAACCACGCCGTTGCGAATGACTCGCGCGATGCTCTTGCTGAGTTTGTGAGAGATACGTGGAGACGTGCGGGATATGCCGTCGAGTGTGATGGTGGCGTCCGTCTGGAAGACATCGGTACTTTCTTTGCTGTCCGGCGAATAGCTGCACCTCCGGAGGGAGCCGCAGATTAGATCTTGTAATGCCAGTCTGGCGACCATGCCAGGTAACCATGCATTTGTGAATTATGTTATACTCTATAGTCAGCGATTTGCCTATACTTCTCGTCCTTCTGGCCTTGGAAGGCTTCGCGCCGTTCATGCATAAGTTTACTAGCCGTAAATTCCACAGGTAGAAAGTTTGAAAGACCTCATACTTCGAGAGCGCCGTTGTAGTTAGTGATGTTTCCTCTCCTACAGATGGCGATATGACATTGCTTGCAACTGCGTAGGTATGCAATTCGAAGTTGGAACAAGGATTTGAGCTTTTCTTTCACAGTGGACTTTGTTTACGACCGTCTCTATGGTTTCCAGTTTCCCTATCCTTATTGTTGGATGGGAGTCCCAAATAGCTGAGCATCATCGGATCTCAACCAAGGGCGCGTAGCAAAAGATGCGGAATGCGATGTAAGACTTGTAATGATCACGTGACATACACGGTCACGTGGCGGATCAGGGGTGTCTGGCTAGAGACAACTTCGTGGAGGCATGGCCTTTCACTCTCCATCAGCCATGAGACTCTTCTGGGAGCAGTAGCGTAACACCTGCAGAGGTCGAGACCATGGCTCAGTGTGGTAAATCAATAAGCCGCGCAAACAACGTTGAGTAACTCCTGTGTGAGACGGAAGCATACAGTCCCTTAAGTTTGCACCCCACACCCGCGGTGCGCCTTACTCCAGCACGTCGTCACCAAGAACGTCGTGAGTACAGAAGTCTTCGATTCTGGTCGAAGCTCTGCTGCAAGGAACCGTGACTGCTGCCGTTTGGACGGCAAGAGACCCCGGCCACGAAGCTCCCGCGGGTTCCGTCCTGCAGGCTTACTAGATTCGACAAACAGTCAAGAAAAGGTTCCATCACGCTCTCCAAACTGCGGTGTATCAGACGGTACAACAATACTCCCATGTACACATCTAGTAACAGGCAGGTATTGGGGCAGGGCTCACCGCAATGATGTCCATGAAAGGACCAACCAAAGTGGGTTCGTTTCACTGCTGTTAGTTATGGTCCCTTTTCAGCTGTAATATGGTCGTACGTCTGTTCGCTTGTGAAATTCAGCCTGTAAGCAGCAGCAGCAAACTTCTAGAGCGCTCTTCAAAGGTTATATATCTTCATCGACGGCGGGCAGTTTCTCATTATGCCTAACATCAACAGCCAAGAATCCGCATCACTTCATCTCCGCATCCTAAGTGACTCCTGGCGTATACTCTTCACAATCAACCAGTTCGATTCCTCATCCTTCGTCCCTCTCTAGTCCGACGTTTTCACTCTTCATTCAATCCTCGGACACCTCCTTTTCCCGACAATCGATCAACAAACAGCCTAGCCGCACCTCGCCATCATGAAGCTCTCCATCGCTCTCCTCACCTCCGCCCTCCTCACCACCACCATCGCCACACCTTTCAAACAACCCGCTCCCGGATCCGCCGCCGAGCTTCAAAGGCGCAAAAAGCTGGGCGTGAACTGCATCGACAACTACGGTTACGCCCGGGCGGGCGACGTCCAGCGAGGCATCAACAACATCCGCGGCTGGGGCAACATACGCATATACGTCGGCGGACACTCTTGCGTCCAGCTGAGCTGCATCGACCAGTCTGGCATTACGCTTTGCAACGACAACGATGGGCACATCGCGCCGTTGTCGGATTATATCTCGTCGTACGCGTGGGATATCGTTAATGCTTGTGGTCGTCAAACGGGGGGGCAGGAGTTTGACTCGGATGGCTATAATGTCATTGTTGGCAGCTGTTGATGAGGGTCGCGTGAGGAAAAGTCGCTGGAGGCGGTGATATCCGGCGTGGGTCGAGGCCGTTCAGAGGTGGCGCTAATGGGTTCTGCAATATAAGTCCTGCTGCCATGTTCTCCGCTTTGCCCTGACATTTGTTCTCGTCTGCGTTCTGCAACCTTTCGTCTGTGTGGCGGACTTCGGGAGTCACATACAGCTACATTTTAGCTCAACTTTCATCCAGTTTTCCTTTGCACACACACCTCTCGTACAAAATTTATAATTTCGCGTACCAAGCCAGGTGTGCTTCACGAATATCCTACGATTAAAGGATGAAAGGGAAGAAAATCCAAGTTGTACACTCCTTCGAACGTCTGTATGGTCGTAAGAGCGAACCAGCAGGATGTAACCACACATCGAACAAGATGATCAGGATGCTGAAACTGTAAATCCTTCTGAACGTCTCAGACCCATAGTTGCCATCGCCAGTACGTAAGTAATCAGGCAAGACTGTCAGATAAGTCAGGCAGACTACCATTTGGGAAGAGAAGATAACTACAACACCTTGAGCTTTTACCCAGGGAACTCGGTGCGAGCGATTCAGGCAGATAGAGCCACAGACTGTTCTGTGAGGGTTGAAACACTCCATCCAACACTGTATGCTCCAGCAATGTATTCATCGGCTTAAAAGCCTGCGAAAGTACCTAGACCAGCAAGCTAGTGGCTTCTGCACACCATCCAGGCTCTTCGGCTTCTCTTCCGTGAAGCTGACCGCACCTGAGACCAGCTCCTGTCACCCGCTCTATGATAGGCGGTGACCGGTGACCGAGCCGGTACATGCAGGCTGCGGACCAAAGAACGGCACAGCACGAGCTTGCCGGACCGCGGGAGCTGCAGGCACTAAAGCTGCCCAGAAGTGTGCTGTCCTTGAAAATTCGGGCAACGCGCCTGGCCCGCAGAAGAGTTGAATGCTCCCATGGGGCAACATGCATGTCTACCGCAGCTAGGGCTCTTTGCTGCAGCTCGTCCATTGGGAACGGTGAGGATTCTGCAGTGGGCTGGGCCGTGGGCTGTCAACCATAAGTTTGACGTGGGCCCTCTGCCTCAGGTACCGCTGTCGTCTTCCTCTTTCCACTCTCCGCCCAAGGTACTGTACCCGTGAACCATACTTTCCTCCACTCTCGCCCATGCCGATTGTGCGGCGCAGCTGTCAGCCAGTTCCAGAGCGAAGAGCTAGCCGGTGCCTGATCGGCAACTAAAATTGCGGATCGCTGATTGGAGCGAGCTTCCTGACAGCGATCAACACGGCAAAGCTAAACAGCGGCTTTTCCTGCGCCTGGGAAACCCTCGATACTCACCGAAATACCGCGAGAGGCACAAGGCGACAGCAGGCATCAGAGCATTTAGCCCCGCGGTTTCCATCGTACATTGTCAACTTGAGGCTTCGAGCTGCCCCTCTAAACACCGTTGAGACGCATCTCACCACCAAATCACCACCTCACGAGAAAGAGGATCTCAATCTCTACCCTCAGCAGCGCTTCACCAACACCTACACCTAGCTCTCTAGTCGGCGAAGTCTCCGTGCCTGTCTCGTGAGGTACTGATCTATCAACTTTTGAGCGGCGGCGAGCACCGGAACCGCGCATCGACACCAAGCCCAGATCCTCACGTGCGGCGCACACTCGCCAGCCGGGCGCCTGGCATCATCTCCTGCACGCAGCCGACTTCTCCCCACCAGCAGCTCTCTACCACCTTCAACAGCGCGCCCCAGAGATACAAACCGCTCCCTTCCGCAAGATAAGCCAGCTAGACCGGAAGGAGCGTCCAAACCCACCACAACCTCTCCCACTACAACCACAACAAACAGCAGCACCCACAACACAGGCACCATGCACCGCACAACCCCGCTCAGCACCCAGCTCTACACCCAGCTCTTCCCCACCCCGACGCCCACCGACCCCCCAACCTTCACCGCGCACCTCACAAAACACCTCATCCCCGAAGTGCGCATCGAGACCGCGACCTTCTACGGCAGCCTCGACAGCACCGAAGCGCGGTACCCCGGGCTCAACTACACCTTCCCGCCGCACCGCAAGCGGCTCGGCCGCTTCGAGCACCACGCGCGGCTGTTCGCGGCGTTTGACACGCTCGGGTGGACGGAGAGCGAGGTGCTGGGGTTTTGCAAGTGGGAGGGCACGGCGTGGGCTAGGGAGCGGTTTGAGCGGGACGAGGGGGTCGTGGTGAGGGATACGACGGGGGAGGAGATTGGGGAGTGGGTTCCGCGGAGGCTGAGGAGGGGGCAGGGCGAGGGGGACATTAGGGTCAAGACGGATATCGAGGTTGAGATTGAGGAGGCTGGGGAGCAGGAGGACGGGGAGGGCGAGCCGATGGAGGAAGATGCGGAGGGGATGGGTTTGATGGCCGAGGTCGATGCGGTGGAGGATGATACCGATAGTGATGAGGACGAGCTGCAGAGTATTGGATACCCGCTGAATCAGCAGCTGTTGCGGGCCGCGAGGTTGCAGGGCCAGGCCGCGCCGACGGACCCGGAGTGGGAGCAGCTGCTCAAGGAGGCGCAGGAGAGGGGCGTCTTTCTTGGGGATGTGTCTAGCGCGTTTGCGGCGAGGGCGCTGAGGACGGCCATGAGAGTGGATGCTACGGCGGCGGGTGCGGCGGCGGCAGCAGCGATGAGTCCAGGGGTTGCGCAGCTGTAGAGCGGCTGGGCTGGGTTCTTCTGTTTGTTTCGCTGAGGATGCGAAGGGGGAAGCTTCAATGGTTAGCGGGCACTATGACAGGAGAAGAGCTGCTGGAATCTGTAAGGAGGGACAAGGAGCAGCACATCACGATGGCATATTTTGCAGCGATCACATGGCGTATGGAGGTAACTGGGCTGGATACAAGAATGGCGCGATATCCACGTCTTTGTTGCTGTTTGATCTTCGAAGTTCAGGCAGCGCTCCTGGAAGCTGGCTTACGTAGATGGGGAGGCGTACATGCATGGAAGCATTTCCAACATACCGAACTACCAAAATGGCTGGAGTATTCAATCATGGTTTGCCCGGCTAGCTACAGCCACCCTGCGCTCCTCCCGACAATGAGGAAGAAAAGCTCGTCATTCTGCCCGCCTCGGAAAGGGAAAATAAACTTGCGGCTTCCAATCGAGATCGGCTCTTTCATCGACTCCGGGGGGCACGCCTTGGACCGGTCTGCCACCCTCATCCAACACCGCACTCTCCGGCATGGAGACAGGTGCAGACGCGCGGCTAAATGTCTTGATAAGAATCACGACGCGACGAAGAAAGAATCGCGGTTCATCTCCGACCCTGTCCCTCTCCAGCTTACCAACATCCTCTCGTCTCCCGAAGACTATGCAGCTAGGTACCGGCGTCTAGCTCCATGCACAGCATCCCTCGCTTTCCAAGCTCTTCCTTATCTCTTCTCTCATGTCACTCTCTCCACTCAGGCCAATTGCCAACCCCGCACATCCTGCTGCATATGTGTGTAATAAGCTACAGCGGGAGGTTGAAGCAACATGTGCGCATCGGCCGCTCATGTCAGCACTGTGTGTGCGGTTATTACGAGAGCCTGGCCAACGTGTTGCGCGGTCGTGATCCGTGGGATCCTGATCTTTTTTTTTCAATGTTTATTTGACGACAGTAAAGGTAGATAGTAGTGGTTCTGGGCGGGTCGAACAGAGGCTGGCTGAGATCTACGTGTTGATCTGTAGTGCGTTGGAAGGACGATAGCGCAGGAGAAAGGCGTTAGAAGGGTTAGTCAAAGACTCGATGAATGGCTGGAAGAATTTATGGAGGGAGAGTCGGAGTGGTAAAAGCGCGGGCGGGTTTGCCGGTGTGCCAGGTGCTCTTGTGGAGGCAGTAGAGTGCACAGACGAGCGTCCAGCCTCCCAGCCAGCTTAGGAGGGACGAGAGTTTTCCATCGATGCGGCGATGGGCCTCCAACATACAACAGCGAGGGGCAGCGTCGTTTCGTGCGAAGATACTAGGATACGTGGTCGGGGGGTACCAAGAGCCATCGTGCACAATCTCAAACTTGAGAATAATAGCGGGAGAACTGGAGAGTCTCGTCCTCGGATTGCGTCATGCCGTGTTCGTGGAAACATGGCGCTGGAGCTGTGTAAATAAATCGGGGTAGGCTATGCACGATTGACGCGGTGCTGAGATAGGAAATCCATGAGACGAGGCGTGATAGGTGGAGGAAGATGCGAGACTGTCTACGACTACAAAGATGCGGACAAAAAGAACACATTTGAAAATCCAACCCGTGAAGACTGTGCCCAGAAGATACACAAACTCAGTTTAGCGGAGCAGTGGCTTTCCAATTGCAACTCGTCGAACGACAACTCCACGTCCACTCTGTTCATGATCCTGTAGTACTTCGACGTCCCGTGAGTCCCATAACTACCGGGAACAGCTTTCTTTGGTTTGTTCTCAAAGCCGTCCCCGTGAACACGGCTGTGCATCTTTCTTAGGGTCTCATGTCTCACTGGTGGTGTTCTACGGCCGCTGAGGGATTGGATACAGGGGTGAGATGACGCATCAGTGCAGGAGCCTCGGCATGATTAATACGAGGAAGGGTGATAATAAGAGTACATCGCCTTGAGAACATGGCACGATCGTTTCTCGGACTATGAGGTTGAAGATATGAGATGTTCTTTTGCTGACGATTGTGTGAACGAGTAACGATTTCTGGCACCGAGAGGCCGAGCCTAGACACAAGGATGTTGTCGCCCAATCTCGAGAAGGACAACAGTAGCCGGACGTGTGAGATCGCCCCCACACTGGAATATCCACGCGGATCGAGACAATACTAACAGACTTACAGTACAGCAATAACGCTGCGATATCTACTCATTCCGAAGCAGTCCGAATTGATCGTCCCCGCTTCCGAAGCGAGCCAAATTCAGGTGGCCGAAGGCCGGTATGGCATCTGAGAAGAGCGATGCGACAGCCTTAGTTACATGCGCCGCGTGTCTCGCGAGGAGGAGACCCGATTTCACCCTCTAGCAGCAGCTCAACGACTGTCAGATGGTGGAGACACAGCATCCAGAACCGAGGTTTCGATAGCCTGGCTGGTGGATGTCAACCATGTCACCACGATGCTCGTTTTCAAATTTGTTGCCTCGGGACAAGGCGCCGGAGGACCTCCCGCTTTGGGTTACTGCGACATCTATGGTCGAACAGCGCCAGAACTCAGCTCTTCGTCAATTTCCAGCACAGTGAGATGGAGGAAGAGTCAGGGCAAACGACCACATCATGTCGCGTGCAGGCACTCTCAGCCGCCCTCGGTTCTGTGCCACGCACCTCTTCCAGCGCTCTTCCTCGCTGCGTCGATCGTCTTCTGTGCGTGCGTGTTACCGTACCAGCTCTACACTGCTGTGGGTCAAGAGCCGCACAGCTGCAGCAGACGGAGCGGTTGAACGCTTGCACGGAGCCGGCTAGCCACTCCGACCCATTGTCACCGCACTGTTCCGACCGAATCAGCTACTGAACATTTGCGCCAACAGCGCCGCTACAGTATTACCGGCGCCGATTACTTTTGATGGGCGCGCGGATTGGCTGCAGTCCGCACGGACTTTCGCGGAGAGTCAGCACTCCGGACCCACGTCTGGGGAAGCCAAGCCGTCGCTAGCCCGCAGCCAGCAGATCCCCCTTTCCCATTCCAGCGCCTCCGTCATCTTGCCACGGCCCAGCCCACACTGACACCTGCTCCACCATCTCCACAGCACGCTTCCGCCAACTGACGGCGGCCAAGTTTAGTGCGGTCAGCCAAGCGCAGATCCATCAAACGGCAGGGGCGTTTTCATCCAGCCGAGGCTTCTTTCCTGCGATCGCCTAGGCAATTTTGTTGATTCTCCAGGTTTCGCACCGGAAAGGCGGGGGACGGCTTGGGGCCCCAGAGTTTATGTAAAGGGCCTGCGCACGCGCAAAGTCTACTTTAACCACCGGCGCCGCTTCCTCTTCACTTGCCGTACAACACTCTGCCAGCACCCGAGCCTCAGGGGTTCACGTGTGACAAGTGCTTACCTCTTCCCGCCCCTCGTGTCATCCTCGAATTTTTTCTTCACTCTTCCACTCTTGAAGTCATCCCGAACTCATACTCACAATGGCCACCCACGACAGCATGGAGAAGGAGCACGCCCACCCGAAGTATGTCGATGACCACGGATTGGACTCGGACTCTGGACACATCGACGAGTTCCTGCACGAATTCACCCATGCGGAGCAGCGCAAGATTATCCACCGCGTCGACCGACGTCTGGTCACGACCGTCGGCATCATGTACTGCATCAGTCTGATGGACCGCACGAACTTGTCTGCCGCAGCGCTCGCTGGGTACGTCATCTCCGTCTCAGTTGTGAGAATCATCCTTCAGTATACTGACAGCAGTCCAGCATGACCCGCGAGCTGAACATGGTGACCGGCTACGGCTACGTAAGTACCAGCTCATTCTAATACCACGACCACGCACTCATCAGCATCCAGAGCATTGTGACCCTCGTCTTCTTCATCTCCTACATCATCTTCCAGCCGCCCGCGACCGTCACTGTCCGGAAAGTCGGACCGCGCGTCTTCCTCTCCCTCATCACTCTTCTCTGGGGCTCCGTCATGATCGGCATGGGTTTCGTTAAGGACTGGGGCACGCTGGCCGGCCTCCGCTTCATTCTCGGTATACTCGAAGCCGGCTTCTTCCCAAGCTGCGTTTACCTTCTTAGCACGTGGTACACCAGATGTGAGCATCACCCCTCAGCCCTTGTTTGAGCACAGTCTGACGTCATCGCAGTCGAGGTCGGCAAGCGGTACTCCTGCTTCTACGTTCTTGGATGTGTCGCCTCTGCCTGCGCCGGTATCCTCGCCTTTGGCCTCATGCAGCTGAACGGCAGGGCTGGTCTCACTGGCTGGAGATGGTACGTTTCGCCGTTCACATTCAGCTACCACATCCTCTAACAGTCACACAGGATCTTCATCATCGAAGGCGTAATCACCTGCATCATCGGCATCGGCGGCTACTGGGCCCTCGTCGGCTTCCCGGATGACGCGCACAAGTCCTTCATGTTCCTGAACGAGCGCGAAACCAAGATGATCATGGCGCGCGTGCAGGCGGACCGCGGTGATGCACACACCGAGCCCTTCGCAATGGCCAAGTTCATTCGCGGCGGCGCCGACATCAAGATCTGGGGTTACGCCTTGATCTTCTTCGGCACCACCACCATATCCTACGCCCTCGCCTACTTCATGCCCATCATTCTGCGCGAAAACATGGGCTTCAGCGTCGGCGCCGCCCAGTGCCTCGTCGCCCCCCCGTACGTTTTTGCCGGTATCGTCATGTACTGCGTCTCGTGGATCGGTGACAAGTACCACATCCGTGGCCCGATCATCGTGTTCAACATGCTGCTGGCTGTCATCGGCCTCCCGATCATGGGCTTCCACAGCAACGCGGGCGTCAGGTACTTTGGCGTCTTCCTCGTGACTGCGGGCGCGAACGCAAACGTCCCGGCTACCATGGCGTACCAGGCCAACAACATCCGCGGCCAGTGGAAGCGCGCTTTCTGCAGCGCTACGCTCGTCGGCTTTGGCGGTATTGGCGGTATTGCTGGATCGCTTGTCTTCAGGTAAGCAGAACCGCCTCGATTTTCAGCATAGATGTGACGGTACGCTGACTCTGAATCCACAGAACCCAAGATCGCCCGACATACTACCCGGGTATCTACGCCTGCATTGCGTGCACCATCATGAACATGATCATTGTCGGTCTCCTGACCATCCGGTTCAGGATCCAGAACAAGAGGGCCGACCGCGGCGAGGTCGTGCTCGAGGAGAGCGGCCAAGGCTTCAGGTACACCATCTAGAAACATAATATCTAGACGATGGCTTCTCCTATTTATTTCACTTGGGTGGCACAGGAGGGCTACAGGATCACGGTGCAGGCAGGCAACACCAATACAGGTTTGGTGTGATTTTGTTAATCTAATGGCATTGGCATCAGTTAGAGACTAGAGTCAATATGAAATGGATGTTCTGAATTAGCTTCAAGAACCGTGCGATTCGTGAATGTGCTTTAACCGTTCGTACCTTACATTTGGCATGCATAGTACTCAACCGCCCGGACACGGCTATTAAAACAATTACTCCGCTTGCCTGAGGAAGCAGGACTGGTGCTGCTGTCCAACTTCCCCACTGTCGATCCCTCGAAGCGTCAGGCTTTTTCCTGTGCGATTCTCCAGAATCGAGACAGAGAAATGCGAAAGCCCATCGTGATATTACAGAGGACTAAGGTGCACCCGTACTGCTCTTCCCACTGGCTATCGTGTTGCGAGGGTCCGGATACGACCAAGGCCAGCTCAACATTCTCACACCTACAGCCACAACAGGTGTCTTTGAGTTGGCCATAACACATTAGGACGAGCGAATCTCTATAGAGGCGGCGACGAGCGTCACCGACCATGCAGGCCTGCGTAGGAAATCACTACAGCGAAACATACCGTCCGACAGATGAAGCAAGCAGCATAGAAATCTACCTCTACCAACAACTCATGCCGGGACCAAAGATGCCCTTGCGCCCTAACCCCCTTTTGCCCAGAGCCCCCCCAAAAAACCACCAGGCAAGGAACTACACCCCTAAACGCCGCGGGACTAACCTCAGCAACATCCCCCTCTTCTCCTCCTGCCCGAGACCCTAAACACCTCCTCCCACTCCCTCGCCCCCGCCATCCACCCTCCCCCTCCGCCTCCCCCCGTCCCGCCCCTCCTCCTCCTCGCCCCCGCGCCCCCGCTCCGCCCGCTCTTGACGCTCCACGCATCCTCGCCATACGCGTCGCCGTACTGGATCCCGCAGCGTGGATCGTCCGGGTCGATTTCGCCCAGCTCGATGCGCGTCAGGATGATGGTGGCGAGTTTGTGGAAGAGCGCTGCGACGCCGTCGCCGGACAGGGCGGAGACTTCGGTGGTATATGGGAGCGGCGGGGCCTGCGTGGAGGCCCAGGCGGTTGCTTGGGCGGTCGAGACGAGGGGGGTGTCGGAGTCCGGCGGGATGGTTGTCGCGGGTGCGGCGTGGCCGGCGGTGAACTTTCGGGCCGTGGTGGGCGTGCTGGAGGCCGAGGTGCGCGGGGGCGTGCCATAGCTGAGGGCGGAGTAGCGGCTCGAGAGACTCGATGGCGCTGGCGATGTGCTGTCGACCCACGATGACGGCGCAGACGTCTCTTGCTGCTCTTGCCCTCCCCCGCCCCCTCCCCCGCCCCCTCCCTCCTCGGCCAGATCACTCTTACACCCCGCCAGCACAACCGTAAGCTGCGGACTCGCGAGCGCCCGCGCATCGCTCAGGAACGTCGGCAGCGCGCCGAAGCTCGCGGGGTCCGAGACGTCGTACACGAGCACCGCGCCGGCGGCGCCGCGGTAGTAGGACCGGCTGACGGACCGGAACCGCTCCGTGCCGGCTGTGTCCCAGAGCTGCAGCTTTATGCGCCGGCGTCGTGACCCGGAGCCGACGCGCACGACCTTGGAGGCGAACTCGACGCCGATTGTTTGGCTGGAGAGGGTGCGGAATGTGGAGTGGGTGAAGCGGTGGAGGAGGCAGGATCTGCGGGGGTTTTTTGTTAGGTGGGTTGGTGGGGGGGTAAGGGGGGAAGGAGGGGTAGGGAGGGTGAGAAGGGGGGGGGATGCCCACTTTCCACTGCCGCTGGGGCCGATGAGGATGATTTTGGCGAGGTAATCGTACATGCTTGCCAGCTCTTGCGGGTCGCGTGGGGGGTTGGAGCTGTTGGTTGAGGCGTTGGAGGCGGCACGTTGGCGCGCCATGGCGGCGGTTGCTGGTGCGATCACTCGAGAGCGATGGAGGAGTGTGTGCGAGGCCTATGTTTATCGGATTATGCTGCTCGAAGATGCTATCAGTATACTTTGCTGTTGGTACTCGTATGACGCCTGTCGTGAGGAGCCGGCTATGGGGCTGACAGCGGGACGAGCCGCAGACGAGGGGAATTTCCGAGCGACGGAGAATGCGCCGGCCATCGGTGCCATCTTGCATGCCACGCCCGTCTCCGCATCAGCGCCAGATCCATCCGCAAACATTCACCTCCATTAAGAATAGACTCGCTACTCCTTCACGCTGGCAAGTCCACGAAGCACAACATTCACTCTTGTAGGTGAAGCGGGCACAACATGTCTCGCACCTTCCGCCGGGAGCCGCAGCGGATGACGGCTGTCACCTTGGCATGGAGCCTCGGCAAGTCACAAACGTCATCAAGGCGTTTCAACTTTTCCTGTCGCCGCTGCTCGCGTGTTCCATATCAACCTGCAATTCTTCCAGGTCCCCCCCGTTTCCTTGACTTCTATCTCCTTACCATCCTCTCAGTCTCTCAGTCTCTCAGTACCACCAGTCCACCATGTCCTTCCTCTCTCATTTGAACCCAACACCCGGCTTTCCGTCCTACACAGGCCCATACCAGGTCGGCTCAGTCGATGTAGAGATACCGGTGGCGGACCTCGAGGCTCCAAGCCCTGCGCCGGACTCGACAATTGCAACCACCGCCTTCCGTGTCTTCTACCCGTGCGAACCTGGCACACACGAGAGACCCGTAAGATGGATCCCGAACCCTCAGCGTGGCTACGTGAGCGCGTACGCTCGCTTCCTAGGCGCCGGTTCCGCCTTCTCTGAGCTCTTCTCGTGAGTACATCCGCCTACTCTGCAGTCAATTTGGGACTTGCTCAATTTCCATGTCCGCGTGTCCGTGCTGACAAGCTCGTGTGACCAGCTTCTTCCCCCAGCTCCTCTACTACATCTCGATCCCTGTCCACCGCAACGCGCGCCTCCTCCCTGCACCTACCAAGTCCGCCCGCTGGCCTGTCCTCGTCTTCTCCCACGGCCTCGGCGGCACCCGTAACACGTACTCGCACCTCGCCGGCTCGCTCTCCAGCCACGGCATCGTTGTCATAGCGCCCGACCACCGCGACGGCAGCGCCCCAATCTCCTATGTCCGCGCTACGGACAAGTCTGAAGCCCGAGAGGTGCCCTACCGCGCCGTGCCGCACAAGCCCTCACCCGATACTTGGGCGCAGCGCGACGAGCAGCTCAAGATCCGGCTGTGGGAGCTGGGGCTCGTGCACGACGCGCTCCTCAAAATCGACCAAGGGGCTCCCCTCAAGAATCTCGACCCCAACACGCCCAGCAATGGTCACTTTCACAAAGGCGGCCCCTTCGACGCCCTTTCCCTCTTCCGCAACGCCCTCGACGTCCACCGCCCAGGCGCCATAACCTGGGCAGGCCACTCCTTCGGCGCCGCCACAACCGTCCAGTTCGTCAAGAGCGTCTTCTACCGCCCCAGCGCCCACGACGCCAAGAAGCACAACTACACCCCTCTCTTCAAGCCCTCGCCCGACTCAGCACTAGCGCAGCAAGTCACGCCGCAGAGTCCCGTCATGCTGCTCGATCTCTGGTGCCTCCCTCTGCACTCCCCCGCCACAGCCTGGCTCTGGGCGAAGCCGCTCCCCGCCTACGCCCCCTCGGGCGCCGGCGGCACCGCCATCCTCGCCGTCCTCAGCGAAGCCTTCTTCAAGTGGTCCTCGCACCTGCGCGAGACGAAGCGCGTACTCTCCGAGTCCCCGACCTCGGACCACCCGCGCCGCGCCCAGCCGGCCCCGCGCTTCTTCTACGCGGCCGCCTCGGCGCACCTCAGCCAGAGCGACTTCGGCGTCCTCTTCCCCTGGGTCACGAAGCGCGTCTTCAAGGCCGAGGAGCCCGTGCGCACCATCACGCTGAACGCGCGCGCCATGCTGCAGGTGATGCGGGAGTGCGGCATCGAGGTCGCGGAGACGTCCAGGGCGGATAGAGAGAGTGCCGAGGAGGGGAGCGACGATGCGGCGATTGTGGACCCCGGGGCTGGGATTAGGGGCTGGATCCCCTTGACGACGGATCTGGATGAGCGCGAGGAGAGGCGCTTGGGGGAGAAGGAGAGGAGGGAGGATGTTAATAGGGGACCGGGCGAGGCGGTTGTGGAGGGCGAGGTTTTAGGGCAGGTAAGGAGTAATGCGTAGGGAAGGGATGTCGCTGGGGTAGATGGTGGAGTTTTTGCATAATGAGGGATAGATGATTTGCTAGGTTAGATAGATCAAGAGCGCGGCGTACTGGCTGGGTAATGTGGCTATCGGGAGCGAGTGGCACCGAACGTTTGGTACTGGCTTGCATGGCATGATATGTGGCTTCACGAGGTTCACACGTGGAGGTTGTCTTCATCAAGAGCGCATCTCTTCAACCGTCTCATGTAGTATACAATTAGCATCGAGTATGGATTCGGTCTCACACTCGAACGACATGGAAAACCCTTAGTCGGCATGCAGACGCGGACAAATGTGAGCGCTTCGCGTGGAAAGTGTTTTGTGTATTGCATTACCGTTACTTCGTGTAAGCTTCAGCCTCCACCGCAACTACCATGTCCCTCGCACCGAAGCAAACGTGGGTATCGTACAATTAACCCGCTCTTGCAGACGAAGGCAAAGTGAACCCGCCAGGTGCTGAGGAGTGCTGTGGGTGTACGCCTTGGGCGGACCTGATGGAAGCTAAACCAAGAAATCCAATGGAGCAATGCAGTAGAGACATCACCCCAAAACGCCGGCAAGCATTGAACATCAGCGTCACTCGTGTGTGAGCTAGAAGCCCGACGTCGGGTCTTCATGCCAACCATGATGCAACGTCAGATGCCAACGGCCGAAGCCAAAGGAATCGAAAAACTAGAAGCGGGATTGGTACAGCGCGTGTGACGGTTCCAGAGGACTGAGGTGGACAAAGGTCAGCAAAGCTGCCAGCGTATATCACAATGGGAAGGCGACAGCTCCTGAATCTCGTGAGAACATTGCTGGACACGAAGCGTTGTCAGTAGGCGGTCCTCATGGAATCAGAGTGTGTATCGTCCGGCGTCCGTATCAGGAGGTCGTTGTACATAAATGGCTCGGAGCTCATTCAGCGGCGCCCAAGCAAATCGCTGACAGACGTTGACTGATGGACAATCCGGACAATCGCAGCCAATACTTCGTTAGTCATCTCGTGAGCCAACTTCGCCTCACGTGCAGCCTGCTGGGCGCGTTCCATTGCCTGCCTAGACCGCGCATGGAAGTTGGCAGTGTGTAGCATGATCTCTCCAAGGCTAAGCAGGCGCGCCTGCTCCGATGCATCGAGCCGTCCTGAGCGAGCTTGCTCGATCAACGCCGTGGCTAGCCTGGCCGTCTCGCTTGATGCCGTGGGTGCGGGCGATTCAAGGGATGGTGATTCGGAGATGTACTCGGATGGGTGGCGAGGGCGAACAAACAGTCGAGCGGAAGGGACTGGGGGAGTATTAACAACGGGTAGAGCCTGCGAAGTCCTGGGTAGCTGATCGTTGTACAAGGACTGCCTTGGTTTTTTGGCAGAGCTACCATGAGACGTGACATTAGCCATGCGTTTGTTCGGGTCTTTCTCCCTCAAGGCAGACTTCGGGTCCCGCTTGTGGAAAATGCTACGGATACCGGAGAGAGCGAGGCGAGCCTTCGAGTCGGACCTCGGCATAGAGTTTCTGGAGGACTTCGTGGATTCGGCCTGTTTCAGGTAATCGCCCACGCTGGAGTAAGGAGAGAGGTCAGCTGAGAGCTTCGCATTCATGAGCGACGGAGCTCTAAGCGTGTGCGGAGCGACGGTGGTCTTAGTCGCTTGGGCAGCCTGGGACGGGACCCTCGACGGGAAACCGATCGACTGTATGTCTTCTGAGAACAACAAGGGACGGTTGAAGTTGGTACGGTTCACAAAAGTGGGGCGCTGCTGTAATGTGGAAGCTCCCGTGCTGCCACGGAGGCCAGCTTTATCTTCAGTGCTAGCGCCTGTTGGTCTCGGGCTCTCAAACATCGTAAACTTGTAAGACACCGCGTCGCCTTCGTCTACACCGTTGTTGCCAGAGCTTTTGGCGCCGTGGTCAGACGGTTCCTTCTGGCTATGCTCCGAGGCCTTGCGAAGCCCGGTAACGTTGCTTGAGTCACGCTTGATGGTGCCTGTGGCCTGCGCGCGGGGTTTTGGGGGCGGCGGTGGTGGATGGTCGCCGTATATGATTCTGTCAGCGTCTTCTGAAACCGTCAAGACCGGAGCGAGCCCAGATGCGCGGCTACATGAAGAGGTTGAAGATAGTCGCCTAACGCGTGTCCCTGCTGCGGTGCTCGAACTGGGGCTTGAAGAATCCCCTTCGAGGGAGGCTGGAGATGGTTTTTGTGACGAGCTTCGGCTTGGGATGCGAGGACCGTCCGGTTGTGGCTTGTTCCGCTGAGTATTTTGGCCGGAAGGAGAGTGGTAGTTTGACGGCGGTGACTGGCTGACTGCGCGGATGGATGAAGGCGATACTGCTTCAGATTGAGCACTCATGACTGTTTGCGAGTTCTTAAGCTGTGGACTTGAAGAATCCCTCGTGGGACTAGCGCTCTGGTTGAAACTGTTGATCAGGGGAGACGGAGCACGCTTCGGCTTGGGAAGTGAACTGCGCGGATGGGTCTTGATGGTCGCTCTTGGAAGGCCTCGAGGAAGGCTGCTGCGAGCCACCGACGGTGTAGGTGTCACTGGTGATGACGGGAGCTTTGTTCGCGCGATGGGTAGGCTGCTCCGAGATGCAGGGCGGGCCTTCATTCGCTTCGTGGCTTGTTCATCGTCATTGGCGCCCTGGTCACCACACACCATAGTCCGTAATCCTGCAGCAACGGGCGAAGTAGCCGTTGCGTCCTGGTTGGCAGAACGTGTCAGCATAGGCCCAGTCTGAACTGTTATCCAGGATCTGTTGAAGCCCCGAGTGTTACGACGTCCACAGCAGATATATTTGAGTGACTTTGACCAGCCGGATGTACTTCCAACAGATGAGTCACAGAGTTAAGGAAGACAGTTCCGGGGCATCGATCAGTGAATGAGATATCCGCGCGATGTGTTAGGCTTACCTCAAGCGTTCTGGCCGGATCCGCGACTGATTGGCGAACCATCACGGCGGTGGGTTTGTCCATGAATTGCGCTTCGACCGCGTGAGACACTTCTAGGTCTTGAATGGAATGTTCCGCTGATGAGCTCTGTGCAGTGTCAGAGGACGTCGATGTCCTCTCAGGGGATAGAGCAGGCCACTCCGCCTCCTCTGGTGTTCCGGGTGACTTGCGTAGAGGCCGTTCGGCGGCATCGATGAGCGTACGGCTCGCCTTGGCTGGACTCGAAGTACTGATCTGGGCAATTGGCAGACTGGGAAGACGTTTCTCGAGAGGAGAGGAGATCGCTGGCACGCCGCTCTTCGCAATGCGGGCTGTCACAACTGCTGATAGCGCGCCGTTGCTGTGATCGGGCGTTTTGCCGCGTCCACTGCGGACTCGCTTTGTAGCTAGCGCAACCCACGCTCGGCCCTTCGCAGCGGTACTCGAGAAGGAGGAAGGCGTTACAGCACGTCGCGGGAGTTTTGAGCGTGAAGCCGTGGCTTGGGCACTGATCGAGGCCTTGGTGCTGGCCATGTAGTGGGGCGAGTCTTGCTCGGGCGTCTTCTTGGGAGTTGTAATCGAGTTCTCATCCTGCAACTGGACGAAAGAGTTCCGCTGAACGGTCTTCTTAGGCAGACGCTGGTGGTTTGACCCGATGTCTGCCAACGGGCCACCCATTATCGGGGAGCTGCGTTGACAAACGAGTGACGCTGTCGGACCAAGTTGCGAAGTAAGATTCTGTGCTTGAAAATGTAGGGATGCTGAATGAGAAGAACGAGCGAAAGTTCGGAACGATTGTATGGAAGAGATAGAGATGTTCCCAGCTGATGTGTAGAAACGTAGTCTGGAGGTGATGTTGATATTGGGATGGAAGCGCGTCGTGATGTAGACGCACGCGAGATGACGTGAATGTCCCTTCACCGCGCAATTTCGCGTCCAGAGCAATTAACCATCTGGGCTGGGCATGCACATTCACGTGAGAAACAGTTGATGTCCATGGAAGTCTACCAAGCTATGAATTGCGGTGCCAGAACACGACTCACGCTTGACATGATCCAGAACCGACAACCCAGTTACACTCTGACAAGACAACTCAAGAATTAACGAACGGCTGTGTACTTGCAGGAGCTCCATGTCAATGGATCTAGCATGGGCATATGCATGGCCATGTCCTCGCCCAATCCATCGTGATTTGGTTGCGTTAGAATTACCAGAATATGCTTGGTTGTAAGGCCATCGTACGTGCCTCAGTTGCCATGACATTGAAAGACCTCTGGCGCGTTCTTGGTCACTGCCTGTATAGTTAGTAAGATTGGCACTTGGTTATCGCCAGACATGGTGCAGTGCAGATAGCATTCGTTCGAAGTGCTGTCTGGAAACGCGAGCTTGTTCCCGACAGTGACGGCTTGCTGCATTCCCAACGACACGGGCGTCTCGAGTACTGCTGGACGGCCACATCCAGTGACAACGACAACTGTTGCAGACCAGGTTTTCTCGGAGTACCGCGTTTGTCAATCTCCGGTTCGAGACAAGACGGTAAGTACCTAGACAGATGAATCATTGTGGGCCTGCGTCTAGCGGGCGGATAGGTCAGACTTCGGTTTCTAGACTCCGCAAATGGGAGCTCTCCTAGAGAGTTTCGGCGGAGGCTGTGCTTGAGAGTAGCAGTTTTCCAATTCTCTACTCAGCTAGGTAATACTAAGCTAACGGCTGCACGCTGGCTGAGAAGCAGACAGTTCTTGGCAAGATGTCAGGATGTCCCGGGGTTGGAAGAACACTTTCTCCATCCAAAGTTGTCCGTGCGAGGGGCCCTTCTCACGAGCCAGCCAGCCTTGTATCCATTAATAGCATCCAGCGCAAGAAGTACATTTCTCTAAAGATGCGCAAGATCTCAGTGCTTCGCTTCTTGTTGTCAAGCAATTTTTGCGTATAGATCATCAAACGTAACAGATATCTTGGTTAGATCTCCACTACACGCTGGGTATATGTTATCACGGCACCAGAATATTCCTCACAATACACAACTGCCCATTATCCGGACACACCTTCTCCCGATTCAGCTGCTTATCCTTCGGCCCCGTAGGCCCACTGCTATACTTCGGCACCCCGAAAAACTCCTTCTGTCTCGGGTCTGATTTCGGGTATTCCCGGTCGCCCCATCTACCCTCGAAGTATAGCCAAGCCGTTGGAACGCCCTCGCTGCGCGCGGCAAATGTGCTGCTGGCGCCATCGTAGGTGTAATACCAGGTGCTGAGCAACGGATCCCATTTGATGCCGGCGTCGGTGTGGTCTACGAGCAGCCCGAAGGGGAGATTCAGGTTCGGAATCGTGTGATCGTGTTTCCCAGTGATGGCATAGAGGGCGTGGCTGCCTTTGGAGACGTAGACGAGGGGCTTATAAGACTGTTAGTGGACGAGGATGCGGTGGAGTCGAGGGTTACACTCACGCGCAAGCCGGATTTCTTTACGGTGGAGTACTTGAAGGCTTGACCGTTGCCATGTTGAGAATACCATACGGCTTTCGGAACCCCATTTTGGAAGCGGATCATGTTATGCTCGAAGTCCCCTACGTGGTTGCCTTTGGAGGAAGGTCAGGCTCGAGTTCTCCATTCTCTGTTGTCGGAGATGGGATGGGATAGCATACCAAGGTTCTTGCCGAGGACTTCGCCACCCCAGTTGTTTGCCCAGAAGTACATGTAGAAAGCATCAACGTTGCCGCTGCCTTTATCGTTCACAATGACAACACAGGGCGTTGCGCCGCTGATCTTGCCGCTTGAGTCAGGCCTGGCGCCATTTAGCCAGGCCGGGTTTGTTGTGATGTCAACCTTCGACGTGAGGTATACATCTTTTCCGCCTAACGGGTTGAGCTGATCAAGATTATCCAGCGTGAGCGGGTTAGGTGCTCCAGCGACGACCTCGAAGTTGACTTCCGGTTGAGTGTTGGCTACTTGCGCCCCGATGTCGGACGGCATATACTGGTCCGCAGAGTGGAGGTAGACGAGGGGTGCTGCATCACAGTGTTAAGGCACAGCAATTTCGATCAAATTGGAAGTAAGAGATGTCGGCAATGTTCGTGGCCTTGCATTCGCATGTAACCGGACCGCTCCGTGATGCCGTTCGATACTTAGAGGCTCGTAGCAGAGACGCGCGAGATGTACGAGAGTTCCGTACCGTAGTCAATAACATAAGGGGGAATTTCCGGAGGTGCTCGCCTCTCTAGAACCCTAGCCGTGGCTATGGCTGAGGCATAACCTGCAGCAATAAAAATCGTAAGAGGGGTCATTTGAAGATACATCATAACGCGCAAACAATGCCAGGACGGACCGTTTCGAGCGAAAGGCTCCTCAGTCTCCTCAACTTTCTTGGTCTTCAATACGGCTGCTAGGAATCGTTTGAATATATTCATCTCTAAAATTAAGAGGCTCTTGGGGAAGCCATA